TACCTCGAGCCAAAACCCATGCCGAACCCCCCGCCTGGCCCACCATAGAAATTACCCACTCGTATCAAAACTACCCCGTTCTACCACATACCTGCAACATTTACCCCACTTACACAGAAATAAAACCAGAATACACGGTCCAGAACTTCCCCACTGCAGAAAATAACACAAACGATCTCAACGATCCGCTAAAATTGCGTCGAATGCCAAATAGATACGACAACACCAGAACGTTTTACGAAAACCCAGCAAATATAAGAACTGACGTCAACAGGACGCCTTTACGATCTCCAAATTACTTAGCGTTAGGTGAAACTAGGACTTACGATACGAACGGCTGCGGAAGCCCTCGTAATGTCCTAAACAGTAGTCCACGAACGTATATACCCGATGTATCGAACAATAACTATGAAAGCACACCGTTAGATAAGCCTCGGATACAGAATAACATTTACGGGGAGAACCAAATAGGGGAGTATTCTGGGTACTGCGAGAGCAGTCAGTACCCGAAATACGAGTCGAAAGAGGAGTACGTTTCGGCGTTGCATACCGCTTTAGCTAACGTCCAAAGCATCGACAATATTAGGAGTACGTATAACGAGGGTGCGTGTAACCAGTACGGGCAGAATTGCGAGAGGATGTTTCCTTACCCGGGTTTAGCTGGGAAGAAGATGGAACAGATGAGGAAACTGCAACGGTGTAGGACACCGGAGATATTGCTGGCTCCTCATTACTTGGAAGGCTGCAACCGGCAAGTCTGCTGTCATTGGGGGCCGCCTTACACGTGAGTACCATCCATGCTTTAATGTTTTTGTAGCTTTTTAAGAAGAATATTAGTTAATTGTGCAAGTTGCTCTTCTCAGGCGAAGTTATCCCTCGAACTTATATCTTGACACAAAGGTGTCCCTAAAACTCCGCCTCCAAAGTATGAACGTACACTCGTAATACGCGTGAGCAGCAGCGACTTGTATGACTCAATAATTTTTATTCACTTTTCAAATGTGCCAACAATACCCTCCAAAAAGTTAGAGAGCGTGACTAAAAAACACCTTCCCGCTATTTTACAAGCTTTTATTTACTTTCACATGACGTTTAGATTGAGACTATCCTCCACTAACACCATTGCACTGTGTTCAAGACCGCAAGAAGGAAGAAGAGAACGCGAAAACAGCTTCCCTCTATTCCTGTACCTGGGCTCTTGTTTTTACCCTCAACTTATACCATTTAACTGTTGTATACAGAACCCGCAAGAAGGAAGAAGGTGCGGCCAGCAGCGGCGAAGAATCCAGCCCTGACGGGCCCACGCGTGACACGCCGCGACCGCCCAGCGATATTGACAGCCAGGTACGTAACTATTAACTTATACAGCAACTACCCTCAAGTAAAGGGACCGAAAAACCACTGAATATCCTTATGAATTAATTGTTATGTACCTACTCGTTCGTTTGTTTCACACACGATCAATGCTGGTAAAAGCCTAAAACTTAGTCTCCTTCTGTCTCTGGGGGATACTATGAAAGATGGCAACCTTCAAGGAGTGATATGCTAAGTGACCCAACATTGGGAGACCTTGGGAAACCATTTTTTTTTTATGCATAACAAGGCAGGTATTTGACCACAATCGCACGTGATGTTAAGATTTGGTACAAGTATTTTTGTTATTAACATTTCCTTATCTATTTTTGTCCTCACAGATCTCCTTGCCGCGATCGTACACGCTGCCAAGAGAATTCCGCTACTGGCGACGGAGGCCGCGCCTGCGAGACGCTCACGTTCCTAGCAACAACAGTAGCGATGGTAAGTTTGAGTATTCTACTGTGGTTGTGAACTGTGACGTTTTCACCAATAAAATGTAGTACCAGGTGCCAAGGCAGTGCTTAGTTACCAGATGCACTAAGGTTTTGAACGTCTGGACCAAACCGGTCGATCGCAACTGCGTTTCCACGATCGACACGAATCCGACTCCCTTACAGCAACCATTAAGGTTCTTTCAAATTAGACGTTTTCAGCAGGATGTCTGTCGTGCGTTTGCAAGACTGCACATTGACTATTGATAATTATCCATTTTATTCCGACGCAGTTGAGTTGTCATACCTGCAAACGCACGACAAACGTCCAGCTCATAATAACATCTAATTTAAAAGAGCTCTTAGGGTTTTCTAGTGTCCACCATAATTTGGAATATTCTCGCCTTGCTCTATTGCCATACCTCTGTGTAAATTCTTCCATTCACCTTTCTAGGTGACGTAGACAGCGCAGACAACGACAGCGACCACCGCTCCAACTGCTCGGCGTCGTCGCAGTTACAAAGCGCGGCCTACGACGCCTGCCCCTACGCGCCCGACATGCTGCCCGCCGCCGAGCGCCGCCGCCGCGCGCGCCGCCCCGGGCCCAAGCCCGAGACCAAACTATAAGCAACTATAAGGCAGCCTGACCAAACTGCAGCTGGAGCACCCCTGGTCGTTGCTTCTGGACTGACTAGGACGAGTCATTAGCTGCACCCAGCAGCATTCCAGAAATCTAGGACAGAATCTGGAACGCACGCCCAAGATCTAGTGCCAGATACCTCTGCACCCAGCGTCATGTGCTCTGGGCTAACCAGGACCAATGGGCTAGGTCAACAACCCAGCGTCCTTGGAATCTTGAAGAGAATCTGGGACAGATCTCAGCAGTCTGATAGAATCTGGAGCCCAAGCGTCCCACACCGGCTGCATCCAGCGTCATAGGTTCTAGGCTGATTGGGAAGCGTCATCTGCTTCCAGGGCCGATCTCTCCTGCTCCAACTACTCGTCGTCACAGTTACAAAGCGCGGCCTACGACGCCTGCCCCTACGCGCCCGACATGCTGCCCGCCGCCGAGCGCCGCCGCCGCGCGCGCCGCCCCGGGCCCAAGCCCGAGACCAAGTTATAAGGCAACCTGACCAAACTGTAGCTGGAACACCCCTGAGCCCCGATTACATTAGTCGTTCAACAGCGTACGTCAGCTGTTTTGACCAATCGTATCGCAGAATCGAGAAGCGTGTCTGGATTGTTGACGTTAAAAGTTACCGTAATCGGGACTCTTGACTGACTAGGACAAGCCAAGCCTCCAACTGTACCCATTTCAGCAATCTAGAACAGAATCTGGAACGCACGCCCAAGATCTAGTGCCAGATACCTCTGCACCCAGCGTCATGTGCTCAGGGCTAACCAGGACCAATGGGCTAGGTCAACAACCCAGCGTCCTGGGAATCTTGAAGAGAATCTGGGACAGATCTCAGCAGTCTAATAGAATCTGGAGCCCAAGCGTCCCACACCGGCTGCATCCAGCGTCTTAGGTTCTAGTCTGATTGGGAAGCTTCATCTGCGTCCAGGGCCTATCTCTCCAGCTCCAACTACTCGTCGTCGCAGCTGCAGAGCGCGCCCTACGACGCCTGCCCCTACGCGCCCTACATGCTGCCCGCCCGAGACCAAGCTGTAGCTGGACCACCCAGGGTCCTGGGCTCATTGGGATAGACCAAACAGCAGAGGCCAGGCCTTCAGCTGCATCCAGCAGCCAGTAATTTAGGACAGAATCTAGTAACCAAGCCCGAGACCAAGCTATAAGCAACTATTAGTCAGCCTGACCAAACTGTAGCTGGAGCACCCCTGGTAGTTCTGGACTGACTAGGACGAGTCATCAGCTTCACCCAGCAGCATTCCAGAAATCTAGAACAAAATCTGGAACGCCCAAATCTAGCGCCCGACACCTCTGCACCCAATGTCATGTGCTCCGAGACAAAACTATAAGCCAGCCTGACCAAACTGTAGCTGGAGCACCCCTGGTCGTTGCTTCTGGACTGACTAGGACGAGTCATCAGCTGCACCCAGCAGCATTCCAGAAATCTAGGAAACAATCTGGAACGCACGCCCAAGATCTAGCGCTTGACACCTCCTCTGCACCCAGCGTCATATGCTCTAGGCTAAAAGCTAAACTATAAGCCCACGGGGCAGCTAGACTTCTGGTCTGACCAGGGTAGGCCAGACCATCAGCTGCACCCAGCAGCATCCCAGAAATCTAGGACAGAATCTGGAACGCCCAAATCTAGCGCTTGACACCTCTGCACCCATTGTCATGTGCTCTAGGCTAAAAGCTAAACTATAAGCCCACGGGGCAGCTCGACTTCTGGTCTGACTGGGATAGGCCAGGCCATCAGCTGCATACAACAGCGCCCCAGTAATTTAAGATCTGAACCCGTACCGAAATTAAGCGTCCGTCACATCCGCTGCATCCAGCGTCATGTGTTTTGGGCTGACCAGGACCAATGGGCTAGGTCAACAACCCAACGTCCTAGGAATCTTGAAGACAATCCGAGACTCTCGCCGTGGACTAAGCTGTAGCTGGATAGTGTACCAGGACTTCAGCTGTTCCAGTCCAAAGCTTACAAAATCATATAAGAACCTTACAGATCCGCCTTATTTAGCTGGCCTAGACCGAACGCTAGGTTTCTCTGTGCTCGCAGCGCCTAGCCTTACTTTTGTAACGCCTGACTAAACCATGTCTGCATCTTCTCCCATCGATTGTATCCTATTCAAAGACTTGCTCAAATAATTATTTCCTAACATAATGATATTCCTATTTTATAAAATATTTCACTTGTTACTAAACAAATTAAAATTTAGAATTAGAGAAAATACCATGACAGCAGATATCTTAGATAATAATAATCCGATTCTTTTTGCATATTACCAATATTGTGTAAATATAATAAATTTATATTAATCCGTCCATTTATAAGTAATTGGATCTCGAATATTTTTTTATAAACTCTCAAATGTATTGTAATACCTACGAGTATTTTTATATTTAAGCGAACTGTATAATAATGTGTAATTTTGTATAATACTGTATATTATACACTAACATAGTGAGGAACGGGAGTGAATAAATAAAATAGACATTTCAAACTTTTATTTACTTTATTATCTATATTCCAATTGTAAAAGGGGGAACCAGTCACTCGCTATCACTCCGTGTATCTACGCCACTACTGATCTTCAGCCATTTACACATATAAAGAAACATCAACCGAAATAAGGTTAAAAATTCACAAATACACATTTAATATTGATTAAATCTAGCTTACAATTACCGGTTGGGGCGCGATGAGAGGTCGCGGGGAAAGGGAAATGAACAAGCTCAACGAACAACCGCTCTGTGGCTAGCACAGGAGGGTTGATGTTGCCGTGCCGACGTCGCCTCGCGCCCCCGCCCCTAGCCTAACTGTTCGCCCACGGACTTCGCGACTCGTCGGCCACAAGAAACCAAATGCTGTGAAGCACCTAAATTAGAAGCGACTGATACGACACCTACCAGGCTATTGTAACAAAACCAATGATAAATCATTCTTTCTTTCAATGAGTAAGCTAGACGACGAAAATATTGATATGGTTCGAGGACACGTGGATTACAAAAATGATTCTTATTGCACTGACATAGAATACTTTGCGTCGCTAGCGACCGGTCGGTGTACATGTCTACGGAAAGAAATAATCTAAACGATCCTACGCTGTTTGAATATAGTCTAAGGTCGGAAAGTATACTACGAATGGAGTTAAAATTTACAATTTGGACTTATCATTATTAGAACACATGGCATGACTACTTGGTTGAGCAGTGCATGCCGCTGCAAACGATATTGTCCACCCCCACACACGACTAACAAAAATGACTTGCTTCCATCAGTGCGATCACCTACTATGCTGTACTTATGTAAAACAAATACATATTAAAAATCGTCTCAAAAAATAGAAAAACAGAGAAATCCAACTGCGCCTAGACGTTAATACATATTCCTTACTTTAGTTATAAAAAAAATATAAAGCACAATTTTATATTTCCGAAGAACAACATTGCGAATCCTGTGTATTATTTACACATCTTAAAAAATACACTTAACCGATTCTTAATTGAATAGTTTTTGCGATAGTGCCAGACTGCGAGACAGACAACTTAGCCCAATAAAAATAACTTCAAATGCCCCCTTTTTTAAATAATTCAACAACAATACCAAAACAAAGTGAAATAGCCGATTCCGTTAATGAGAAATTTATTTTCCTGGAATTTGTACAATGTCTTAAAAATCAACAATATTATGACTGATCAGTACACGTAGAATAAAATAAATGCTGAGCTCACGCATCGATATAGAGAGCATATTTTTATACATACACTATGTTCAATACCTGTCTATAAAAATCGCTGAGATTTATTGGTACGTCTCTATACGATTCGTTTGCTCGCACTGCAGTAATTGTATTACAAAGTTCGCGCCCGCATCATGGCGGCACTAGCAGGGCTCGCGCGTTATCAACTAAACATGGTCCCGACACGTTATTCCATTTCGTCGATATTAAAAATAAAATCAATTTTATGATCTGTATGCGAACACGCGCGCGAGCCACGTCACAAAACGAATGTCAAAGTTATAAAATAATAGTGATTCGTCACTCAATAGTCCAATAGGCACTGAAAACAAAACTTCCTTACACACACTAGACTGTTTACTGTTTATTATCCTTACGCTAGTGGGAATTATTTCTACAACATAAAATTACATAGTCCCGCGCCGCGGCTGTCCTGTAATATAAATGTGAGGACTCGGGCCAATGTTCGACGCAGTTAGACGCGGTTAAATATAAAAAATAGATTCTAGTTCTCTATAAAACTACATGCCTTATTTTCCTTAGCTTCATATACCCAAAATATATTATAGCACTCTTATAGCTACACGTCATTTTATAGAACTTCAATGAAAGCTCTTTTTTCTGCAATTCTTATGCCACTCACCGGCGAATGAATCGTCCGTAAACAATAAAATAACAGGTAATATTAACATAAGTTGTCCGCAACACGAAATACGCTAATATTTATAGACTATATTTAGACTTACTTTCTTTAGACTCAGTAAAACTTTCATGTATGATTTTTACTAAAATTAAATTTGAAAGTTACGACTCGAGTCAAAAGTGAAGTGTCAAATGCAGTGTTTTCATCATAGCTGCACTAAGTAATTTTACTGATGCAATTTTGACCGGAGTCTAAACATAATGTATAAAACTTAGCGTCACCACGGAAAAATACTGACAACACCACTGACTACTGTGGTATTTGTCAAGGAACATTTCATGGTGTTTCGCGTTGCGCCACAATAATTACCATCATAGTCCTTAAATACAAGGAAAAAGGGGAAGTTTTGATGATCAATCAGTGAAAAGTGTGAGACATCTAGTAAAATGGTTTGTGATAATCTACTTTTACAAATCGATTTACACATTAATATTACGATATAGACACTTATTGACATCCAAGATTACTTATATTATAATAATAACTGCAAAATGTGAACTTTTTGACCATCAAAACCGTAGAAATATAGCTCTTCCGTCCATAGACATAGAGGCCATGTCCAACCGCGCCGAACAGAGTGATTAAATAAGTTTGCATTGTACTGCGCGCGCGGGAAATATTCTAGGTTTTAAGTGATGTGGCTTACTTTACTATTATATGTTTTGCGGCCGAGTGGTCACTGCTCACGATGATATAAGCTGGAAAAAAAATTACAGATTAGAAACTTACCATGTCAATAAACTGTGAGCTTTATGTAAAAAAATGCATTATCATATCACTGCAAAATCATTATAACATTGTTGAATTAAAGTTTATAATAATAAACAATCTACGACATTAAAAGCTTTCTAATTAAAAAATAACAATTGAAGAGTATTTGCAAATATCTTAAACATAAATGAGCATGCAAAAACAATGAAAAGCAAAAAAATTGTCTACCTTGTAAAGAAAAGCGGGCGTCTATCCAATCCACTTCATTGCAGTTTTATTTTATTTTCATAATATATTATTATTGTAATAATATATAACTATGTCCTTTTTATAAACTATAGGTATACTATGTAGACATCTACACTCCGCCCTTAACACTTAACATCTTAAATACACTGCAACAAACAAAATAAAAAACAAATCAAAATAAAGAAAATTGAAATCTATCATGCACTTATACAAATACACATGCAGAATACTGATTCAAAAGATATAACAAGTAGCTGTAGTAGTTCAAAAGATATAACGAGGCGAAATAATAGTAAATTATTAATTCGTTCGAGTATAAAAATCTCTGAAAATATTTACTAGTAAAATGTATCAATGTATTCTGTGATAATATAGGAATATTTTGTTAGGCTGTATTATTAATACTGAAAATTGAAATGAAACATAATAATATTTCTTTCAATTTAAACGTTAACCAGAGACTACATACGAAAAAAACAAACAAAAAGAAAACTTGAACTTATTTGTATAGGTCGCGCACAGAGAGTTGAGGCAACATTAGCCAAGATTTGTGTGTTATATCTCTGCATACACTCGCACACGCTGAAGTCAGAGTGACAAGCGATTTCTATCCCGCTTGCACATATTCGTTTTATTTAGAAAGAGCGAAGTATCTAGTTTATTCGATATTTTAAACTTGATGTTTTTTATATGACCTACACTGATTCGTTCCAGCAATGACATTTGCAGGAGGGCGCTACTATCAATATTGGATTACTTATTTAAAAATGTTTTAGTAATAGAATGTGTTTCTTTAATTGGCTTATGTTCAAGTTGTATCTTCCTGCACATTTATGTACAATTTAATGCTGTTGAAACATTGTTAAACAAATAAAATAAAAATAAAATAAATTAGTTCCGATTATTGCCACGTTGAACAATCATAATGATGACATTTACAGGAGAGCGCTACTATCAATACTGTGATGTTAGTTTTTGATTATTGTCACTTGACGTTTCAAAATCGTTTGAGTACCGTATTCGCCTCAACTTTCGCTGCGCGAACTATGACAGAGACGTTATATACTTACGAGCAAAAGTATGGAATCACTCACTTGTGTTTTGTTTCCAACGGTCTGAAGAACTCAATGACTATCTATGGTATCAAGTTAAAGTTGGTAATTACATTACCTTTAAACTGGTACCATTTTTTATTTAATCTTCATATTCGTTTAGCTACAAAGATTACTCAAAACGAATGGGGTGATTCCATACTTTTGCTCGCGAGTGTATTAGATGTGTAAGTGGTAAGCCTTAGCACTCACCGACTTGACTGTGGCCTTGATGAAGTCCTTCTTGTGCGCGAGGTCGAAGTCCGGGTAGTGGCTGTAGACCTGCTTGCACACCGTCTTCATGGTGATCTGCTCCAGGTTTGCGCCCTCCAGGATCTGCTTCACGTACTTCTTGATCTCATCGTCCTGGAACAAACGGTTCGTTAGGGTTGTGTTCGGAATCTACTTGTACAATAGAGGTCCTCAAGTCCAACAAGATTATCATTAGGTTCGATTCCCAGTGGTAGTGAATTTTGTTTCTTGATTTAGTTGGAGGTAGGGCTTGTTCTAAGTTGCTGGTTAACTACCATCATCTTACCTAAGGGAGCGCACACACGGTTGACGTTTGGTGACAAAAAAGTTTCCGTCACTGTCACGTCACCTTCGCGCACCCCATAAATCTTCATGAACTTGGTATGAGTGACGAAACAGTCAAGGCGACAAAAATCACCCGGGCGTGTGTTGACGAGATGTTATAGCTGTCGCCATAACAACAAATACAACAGCATTGCTGTATTCCAGCAGTTGAGATAGCCTCATTCTTCGATGATTGAAAATTCCGAGTGAAGTTCGCTTCGACCTTCGGCCTGATAATCACTTTTTTTTCATTCACAGGACTAATGCCACAGAATAATAATAAGTACTACGTACAGAAGTTTTACTTCGCAAAGGTATTTAAAAAAATGTATGCTCAATGTCATTAATAATATGGTGTAATTTAGCCTGTCTCAAGAGTCAAGCACCATTTTGTTGACAAACGTCAGTGATCGGCACTGCGCCGAAGCTATAGGGCTGACTTCGGTAAAATGATGTGACGTGAGGTGCCAAACTGCGGAAAATGGCGGAGGAAATACATGATTTAGCATGAATTATGATGAATAATATTAACTACTTATTTACCTCTCAGTGTCTTGAGGCAACTTAAAAAGTACATTCTGTGTTTTTATTATTATTTAGGCAGTTAAATACTACACAGTATTTAGTATTTTTTTCCATCATACACAAGACGCGTGCGTGAGTCAATGTTCGCTCGTATGTGAGGCCTTGTCGAATAGTATCCTGTAGGTGGGCCATCGTGCGTTTTTTGTTTTCGATGTAAACTCGCGGAGATGAACAGGCCTGCTAATGCTTCCTTGTTATGAATGAAGAAAATAGACTGGGTACTCACAGTGGGCGGCCGCTTGGGCTTCTTGTCGGCGGGCGCGTCGGACTCGTCGCTGCCGTCGTCCTCCTCGCTGCCCTCCTCCTCGTCTCCTCGCTGCCGTCGCCGGACTCGCCTGAGGCCACCTCGCCCTCCTGGTGTACTCACAGTGGGCGGCCGCTTGGGCTTCTTGTCGGCGGGCGCGTCGGACTCGTCGCTGCCGTCGTCCTCCTCGCTGCCCTCCTCATCGTCTTCGTCCTCGCTGCCTTCGCCGGACTCTTCGTCTGAGGACGCCTTCTTGCCCTTCTTGGCCGGCCGGCCCGCCGGCTTGCCTGCTGCCTTCTTTTTGCCTAGGAAGAAAGAAGGATATAATATTAGTCTGTGAATGCCTACATTAGGGTTCGATGTCGTAGTTAGCAAAAAATCTGGAACACAATACGTGAATCTACTTAACTCAATGACAACTTCAGCTTCCTTAGACAAGTGGCAAAAAGTGACAGTTGTAATTTCGAAATCCCTGCTCCCCAGCATTTGTTGCGTAGTTACGTCGCTCTCTGAAGGAATTTCGAACTCAAAACTCTAGTTTTTCCATTTATCTAGGGGGGCAGAATCTGCTAGCGATAACTAAATCACGGAAGAATCTAAATAATGGAATTAAAAGAACCAATTCTGCTCGATTCGGATACAAGTCATGACTATTCTATTCTATGAAGCAAGTAAGTTTAACTAATTTAGTACTTTAGGTTTGTGTTCTCAATACTCACCAGGTGGCGTGGGTGGTTTTCTCTTGACCGGCGTCGATTTGGCGTTGCCAGCCTTAGCCACGGGCCCCTTGCGGCCTTTAGACGCCACCGCCGGCGGCCGTCCGCGCTTGGACTTGGGCTCCTGTAAAAAGAACAATCGTCACTAACTGTCACTATGTGTCATCATGTGATGACGTATACTCGGCGTAACAACGAGCGGCTATGGAACTCAAGGAAGGATCAAGACTGTTTGTGTTTCTTTGTCTTAGATAATAATATGCACGTTAGACTATACCTAACTACTACTCTAACCCAAAGTTTATAGTTTTCATCTATAGTCTGGTCCGTGAGCACGTAGAATTTTGTCCAATGACCCCAAGCTACCCATCCTTATCGCTCGCGCATAATTATGTTGCTATCGCGCTCGCACACTCACTGCGGGCGCCCGTCGCACAGTCGCGACAGCAATATAATTACGCGCGAGCGATAAGGATGGGTAGCTAGGGGTAATTGGACAAAATTCTACGTGCTCACGGACCGGGCTTTACCATGTAACACGGCCATAGCCAATAAATGACTTTGCTCAAGTGACGTGGAAACACTAGCCATAGAGAAGAAGAGAAGTTAATTAAATTTCTGTGTACGTCTTATTTCAAGAATAAAAAAACAGTATTATATTATTCTCTCCATGTTGTTGCTTATGATGTTAGTTATTGAGTCCTGCGATATTGCTGGTGTTCTACAAATAACCCTGTATACCACAAAGAAGAAGCATAAAGTACTTACGTCGGACTCCTCGCCTTCGCTGCCAGACTAGTTAATAGTTAATTAAATTTCTGTGTACCTCTTATTTCAAGAATAAAAAAAAACAGTATTATATTATTCTCTCCATGTTGTTGCTTATGATGTTAGTTATTGAGTCCTGCGATATTGCTGGTGTTTTACAAATAACCCTGTATACCACAAAGAAAAAGCATAAAGTACTCACGTCGGACTCTTCGCCTTCGCTGCAAGACTCGTTCTCGCTCTCACTCTCGGACTTCTCACTTTCCTCTTCGCTGTCTGATTTGGCTCGCCTGCCGCGGCCGGGTTTGCCCGCCTACAGAAAATACAGACAATAAGGTTTATGCTTAGCATAGCCTGAAATTTTGTCTAATATACATACTTAAAAAGTGTGAAAAAGAGTATTGATACAAAATAAAGGTGACGTCATGATCATGCCTCGTTTCCTGATCCAACTTTGTTTGGTAGTTAATATTTTTAAGTGGTCATTTAGTCTCTTGATTTCGTTCTTCAGAAGTTCAGAGTTACACCCAACTCGAGTGTCAATCTGACGCTTATAGCCGCAGATCTGACCCGCGTGCCGTCAGCCTTTAATTGGTCTAGAGAAAAACAATGTTCATTGGTTTTGAACCCTAGCTTGTCTAAACATTAAGTTCAAAATACGGTGACAACTTCCATCAGCAGTCAAAGAGCTAAAACCCACACAAGATGAAAAAACAACTCACCTTGCCCTTCTTGCCCTTAGGCTTGCGGCCTCTCTTGCCGGGCTTGCCGCCGGAGCGACGCCGGCCGCCGGACTTGCGCTTGCGCCCGCCGGCCGCCGGACCCTCGCCCGCCTCCGGGTCAAAGTCAGAATCGGCCTCTTCAGACCCGCTCGGGTTGAACGAACCCTGTGCCGGAAGTTAAATATAAGTATCATTTCTTTGAATTTTAACTGTTATAGATCGCGCAGCGAGAGTTGAGGCGATTTACACAAGCAAAGATTTGTATAGTCTGGTCACCGAGCACGTAGAATTTTGTCCAATGACCCCAAGCTACCCACCCTTATCGCTCCCGCGTATTTATATTGCTGTCGCGACTGTGCGACGGGCGCCCGCAGTGAGTGTGCGAGCGCAACAGCAACATAATTACGCGCGAACGATGGTATTGTAGCGAGGATGGGTAGCTTGGGGTCATTGGCCAAAATTCTACGTGCTCAAAGACCGGGCTTTATCTGTATACGCTCTTCTCGCGTTGAAGTCTTCTCACTGATTTGTTCTGAATTTAAATATTACATTTACATCAGTGTGAGTACATGCTCGCCACAACTTTCAGTGCGCGACCTAAGACAAGACATAATCTACACAACGTCCGTTTTTTTTTTATTGAGGACTTTACTGTTAAACTTTGACACATTCTAAGCAGCATATGAAACCAATGTATGCATAAATATTACATTGATAGCAATATTGTGGAGTTAATTACATCACTCCATGCATTTAGTTGAAACTTGCTACATCATATTTTATTTGGATTATTAGATTGAAACGAATTACACAAATCCTTTACGTTTGTAGCAATTAAGCCATTCCACATTGCTTTAGAAAGTAAAACAAATTAAAACACATGCAAAATAATCGTGTCTTTATACAATGACAGATCAATCAAAAATAATCATTTTCATAAACAAATCAAATCAAAAACATAACTCCATATAATTTCGCATATCCCTTCAAAATATAAAATGATAACTTACATCGCGCAATTCACTCTATTAGGAGATACATGAAAAGCAACATTGTTTTATTATATGGTAACAATAACACGTGTTCATCGAATGAAATCATGCGAAATGTAACGTGATAGGGAAGAGAATAAATTGTAGTATTGAATGAATAACTAACACTCACATCGGAATCCTCTGAGCCGTCCTTGGGTGGCTTTGGTCCTTTCACTTTAGTCTCTGGGTCCGATTCGTACTCTTCATCGGAGTAGCCTGCGAAAGAAAAATCTAATCAAACTAAATAAAGAATTGTATAGGCACATGCGAGGATTAGGCCCACACTTGGCTAGGATCCGCGCCGCGATAAGCTTTATCGTACCATTTTGTCGATTATACGTGATAAGCCCATACATTTGTCTTCTAAAATCATCGATTTATCACGGCACGCATCCCGGCCGATGTTTGCACATTTATCACTTGGTTGCTTAAGACATCCACATAAAGAGTAGGTGTACCTTTTCTGCTCTGGCGGAATCACACGGCCAAGTCAGTTTTAATCATAATTTCTGTTTGATTGGTGATACAGTCTTTTCTTTGTCCACCACTATCTACCTAACTACCTCTCAAGAGCTTCTTAGAAGAAGGTAAGAAAATCTTTGAATAAAATCTCTTTGAACGCGATCGGAGGAAATCTTTCTTCTCAGCACCATATTATGTTGTCCCGAAGTGGTGGTACGTGTAAAAGTGCCCTGAAAGGGCCTAAGTACTGAATACATGTGGTGATTTTGATTTTTGAGAAATCGTTTGTTTCAAACAAACGAACTATAGTGATGTGCACTCACCGCGGTTGTGCACTTTGACGGCGGCGGAGCGGAGCGGCGAGTGCGACAGGAACTTGAAAGCGAGCGTGCGAGTTTGTTGCCCATTGTTGTTCAAAGACCAGGCTATCATAAGTTGGACGTCCTTTGGTTGAAACAAACGATAGTGTTGTGTCCTTGTGTGTTCACCTTGACGGTAGCAGAACGGTGTCGGTGGCGGTGGCGTGCAGGGATTTACCTCCGATTGTTGGTCAAAGACTATGCTGTCTAGTCATTAGTTGGACGTCATATGGTTAACACTAACGATAGTGTTGTGCACTCACCGCGGTTGTGCACTTTGACGAAGCGACGAGTGCGACAGGAACTTGAAAGCGAGCGTGCGAGTTTGTTGCCCATTGTTGCTAAATACAAGTTACAATAAAAGTTTAAGTATTTACCCACTTACCAGATATGAATTCAGGAGAGCAGTTAAATTATTTCTTCTTTCGTTAGACTATAATGAAACCGAATCGCTTCTTACATAGGATCAGGTTACATAGATCAGTTGCCACCTTACCACTCAGCACAGACTTGCACACCTCACTCACTTACACACTGATAATTTCACTCACTCACTCTCACTCACTCACTCACTCTCACACAATAACACGTTCATTCGTTTGTACTCTAATTGTTATGTAACACTGTTTTAAACTAAATTTAAGTCTTCTTTTTCTTGTTTTAAAAGTTTTGGTTTTGTTTTAAAAGACTAACCAATCGGACCAAGTCATTGTATTTAAATCTTAGTTGAGGAATCACTGGCTACTAAGATACAGGTTGTAACCTAGTTTAGTAGTCATGGGACCCCCGATTATCATGCCACTTTTTGTAACTTTTGCATAGTAATACATGCATGATGTAACTTTTGGTTCAAATAAACGTTTTTATATTTTTTTTTAATACCATTCTGCCTAGTCCCTAACTAACGATAGTGTTGTGCACTCACCGCGGTTGTGCACCTTGACGGCGGCGGAGCGGCGCGGGCGGCCGCCGGCGGTGGCGGCGGCGGCGGCGGGCGCGGCGCGGGCCTGGCCGCGGGCGTGCGGCGAGTTCGCCGCCGGCTGCTGCAGGAAGCCTACGAGACGCGCCGCTAGTTCTGACGCGCCACCTGGATGTAGGAACGACACGAGAGTTAGAATTACTATTTTTATTTAAGTTTATAGAAGGAAAGTAGTGTTTTGCAAGTGCAAATTGACGGTCACAATCATGACTTTATAAAAATGCATAAAAACTTTAGTGTAAAGGTGTTCAAGAGCTCTGTTGCGATACATTGTAATCATCAAAGAAACTGTCATCTGTCATTCATTATGTCTGATTTCTTTGCGAAAACTATTCTAAAAATATTTGCGAATTTTTGTGGCAAGTCTTAGCCGGAAAGAGTAAAACTTGTACACATCTTGCCACATATTGCCTGTCACCAACAAAACAAATAGTTATTAGTACGACCAATTTTTATTTGAGTCTTTGTGACAGAAAAGTAAAAAAAAAGGTTAATTACATAACAAAAACAATCTGATTACAACTATTGTAGTGATAACTATCAGCCAAAATCCAATGTTTCACTGATTGAAATAAACCTTCAACCATAAATAATCCCACTGACCTCTCTTATCCAGATCCAGCATCTCGCACATAGTCCTCAGCTGCTTCATCTCCATCTTGGCCGTCTCCTCCAGCTTGGCCTTATAGTCGCTGGAGCCGATCGCCCACTCGTAGCCCTTAAACTTCTTGATGTTCCGCTTGACGTTGCGATCCAGGCACAGTTGCTGTGGGAATTTGGGGAGATTGACGAATAAATTCGGTATAATATAAATAAGGCCCAAATACCTTGGAACATACCCTAAAACATAAGAACTTTGCTGTCCAGACAGTTGCTGTGGGAATTTGGGGAGATTGATGAATAAAATTGGTATAAATAAGGCGCAAGACACCTTGGATATCCCATGTCATATCAACTTAACCATGCCGATTCTGTCATTTGAATTCTACCCCAAAGGATGCGGACACAAGGCAACTTACTCCATATAATCGCTACAATGAATTCTAAAAGTTAGCAGGGGCAGTTACATAACTTCTTGTTAAATCTGTTTGGTTGGCCATTTAGTGTCGAACCCATGGATATTTCCTTCGTTAATTTAAAATATTCACTGGTGACAACAAGTGACACAAGACACAAAAGGGTCTACGTTTGTGCAGCATCTAAAGGACGCCTTCAAATTAGTGGCATATTATGAGGAACCGTGACAAACACAAACTGGTAGTGGTGTGGCAAGCGCTACAGGGGCGCTTCCACACGCCTCTAATTTGAAGGCGCCCTTAGTAGGGTTGCCAGGTGTCCGGCTTTAGCCACAGAATAATATCGACCACACATGGGCATACTAATTGAGAATTTGAGACCCGTGAGATGCTTCAAAAAGGTGTGTCCGGCTTTTAGGTTTAAATAATTAAAATGAAGCACCGAGTCCGGTTTTTGGGCCTGGCAACACAAGTTATACCTAAATGTTATTCTGAACTTTGCTACGTCTTGTTTGGATAGTGTATTTGGTACTACCGTTCTATTCATCTACTTTATAAAAATAAGTCGGGTTTTCCTTCCTGACGCTATAAACGAACGCCAGAACGCACGAACCGAATTCCACGTTTTTGCATTCGTTAGAAAGGTCTTGGGTTCCGTGAGGTTTATAGCAAAGAAAATTCAGGAAAATTTAACAAACGAAATTCCACGCCGCGGGCGGAAAGCTAGTGAATAAATTAATAAATAAACAAGTTAACTTACGCCGTATAGATACTGGTGCAGTATCTTCTGGTCCTGGGTCTTGAAGCGCGACAGGGACACCTCGACGTTGCTAATGTGGCCGAGCGGGATGCCCTTGCCGGCTGGCAGCGGCACCGGAGGCTCTGTTGGCTGCGGGATTAATGTGTACTTTAGTAGGAGATAAAAAAGTCTATTCAACTAACCCGCAGACAACAGGGCGGCTTGGTGTCGGCGGCAGCGGCAAAAAAATCATGTCGACGACTTGTCCGCGCGTGTTGTGGCCATGTCGGCTAAATATCAGCGATTGTCCTCACTTGCCCACCGACATCATGTCGACGACTCGTATTAGCCGCGCGGATTGTGGCTATGTCAGCGAAATGTCTCCGATTTTGCTCATTTGCCCGCCGACACTAACAACTGTTTCTAAACGCGGATGCTATGGTGATTGTCACGTTGAGAGATGATATCAACTGCCAAAATAGTTCGTGACGTCGTGCCGCCAACAAAGTATTTCCATTTGAACGAGATTTGAAGTCGCCGGCTAGATCGTTGAGAAAAAAGTCGACGACTCATATCGGCAGATCAGTAGGTTACTGCATAAAGCACCTACGTGCGCGTTCATATCACCTATCATTATCAAATTATTTAATGGTAGATCACGGTACAAGAATAGTCCTTCGAGCCGGATTATTAACGTAGAAACATAACCTTAATTAAGGACCTTACCTCCTTCTTGGGCTTGGGCTTGGGAGCCTCTTCCTCTTCTTCTTCCTCCTCCTCCTCCTCCTCGCCCTCCTCGTCTCCCTCCTCTTCGTCGCCCTCCTCGTCGTCATCCTTAAGCCGGATCTCCAGTACACAATCAACAAAAACATGTCAACATTCAACATTTTCTGCTTTCTTTGAACGTTGAAATGTTTTGGTTGATTGTGTAGCGCAAAACACTCGCTGGAGACCCGGCTTTAGCCTTCTTGGCTGATCTTTTACCTCTACTCACATATGGCGGTGGCACGTAACGACATTATAACGTGTTATGTGTAGTGGAACTTACCTCCTTCTTGGGCTTGGGCTTAGGAGCCCCGTCCTCTTCTTCCTCGCCCTCCTCGTCTCCCTCCTCTTCGTCGCCCTCCTCGTCGTCATCCTTAGCCGGATCTCCAGTACACAATCAACAAAAACATGTCAACATTCAACATTTTCTGCAGGCAATTTTTTTGAATGTTGAAATGTTTTGGTTGATTGTGTAGGGCAAAACACTCGCTGGAGACCCGGCTTTAGCCTTCTTGGCTGATCTTTTACCTCTACTCACACATGGCGGTGGCACGTAACGACATTATTCGGTTTTTAGTCGACATTAGTCGGCCGTTTGGTGTAGTGGTTCAGAACGGACTACTATGCCGAGAGGTCCCGGGTTCGATTCCCGGCCGGGCAGAAATTGAAATGATGAATTTTAATTTCTGTGACGGGTCTGGGTGTAAATATGTATAATATGTATGTATTTAATAAAAAAAAAAGTATATAAGTAGTATATCCGTTAAGCTAGCACCCATAAAACCCATAAAGTACCCGGAAAGCTGCAGTCCGCGAGGAATGGCGCCGTATTATGAGGAACATCACTCTGAATCGTGATTCAAAATGATGACCACGACCACTCTGACAAGAGTGTACCGACTGAGAAGAAGAAGAGCACCCATAACACAAGCATATTAATTGCTTACTTTGGGGCTAGATGGCGCTGTGTGAGATTGTCCAAAGATATTTATTGTCCAAAGATATTTATTATAACGTGTTATGTGTAGTGGAACTTACCTCCTTCTTGGGCTTGGGAGCCTCCTCCTCCTCTTCTTCCTCCTCCTCGCCCTCCTCGTCTCCCTCCTCGTCGTCATCCTTAAGCCGGATCTCCAGTACACAATCAACAAAAACATGTCAACATTCAACAGACAATTTTTTTGATTGTTGAAATGTTTTGGTTGATTGTGTAGGGCAAAACACTCGCTGGAGACCCGGCTTTAGCCTTCTTGGCTGATCTTTTACCTCTACTCACATATGTCGGTGGCACGTAACGACATTATAGCCTGACCAGGAACATAAAAACCCTGGCATAGAGGCGCGTCAATTGCATTTGATAGTGCAACACTGAGTACAGTCGTACCTGTGTTAAATTAATAGGCTAACTTTATGTATCAGGATTCAGGATTACGGGCTAATTTGATATTTTCATAAATTAACGAAAAAATATTATTATAGGTAACCTGATTTAAATAAATTAGGCTATATAACGTGTTATGTGTAGTGGAACTTACCTCCTTCTTGGGCTTGGGCTTGGGAGCCTCCTCCTCTTCTTCTTCCTCCTCCTCCTCTTCCTCGCCCTCCTCGTCTCCTTCCTCTTCGTCGCCCTCCTCGTCGTCATCCTTAGCCTTCTTGGCTGGCTTCTTGGCTCTATGAGAAATATTTGGGATATTTTATGTAGGTAATAGAGATGAGACGTATTTACTAGAACAGATCCCTACACTAGGTATTTTAAAGTACTAGGCGGCACCTATTCCAATTTTTTAAATACTTGATCCATCTAGTATTTTATAAATTACACGATTTACGACCCTACCATCAAAGTAATAGAGGTTATTATTGCGTAATCCGTAGTCGTGTATTACGCGCACCTAGTATTTCTCGCTAAGCTTATGTGCGAACGTAGAGATTCACTCCGTCTCTGTCTGACCAAACAAATTTGAGCGCGACGAAGCAAACGCACACAAACGTAGTCAAACCATATTCATGTAAATTCATGTAAAAAAGAAAAAAAAATGTAAATATTTTTACGAAATTGATATCTTTTAAATACGCCAACTTTTAAGTTGCCAGTCCTAAGCCTGTTGAAGTATGAAGGGAGAAATTATTATTCAATTTCAAATTGCATTATTCATACTACGGTTGTATCTTTTCAAAGAAAATTGTATTTTAAAGTCATATTACGTGGATTAGTCAGCACTAGTCGCGTCAAGTATGCTAAATTACTACGTACTAGGTGGAATAGGTATTTGGATCGAGTATTAATAAATACTAGGAATAGGTGCACCTAGTATCAAATTTACCTAGTATAACCCATCTCTAGTAGGTAACGATTGTTTTGTATGCGTCAAGAAAGAGTTCGTTTCAAAGTACCGCTGTCCACTGTTGGACAAGGCATGCACGTATAAGCGTATTTATAAAGATTATAGGCTCTTCAATAAAAAGACAACTTTTTCGAATGTATCAAATAATAATGAGAAAACTCAATATGTCTGGAAGAGACCGCTTTACACCGTTAAGACCGCCTAAATTGTGCCATATCTATTTTAATTTCTTTTCCTTTGCTTTTTTTTTTGGCTTGTACAACTTGTTTTGAAATATGCAAAATTCAAAAATATCTTAAATAGCGCATCTTTTAAGAGATGATTCTTAGATGGCATCATCGCAAGACATAAAGTGCAACACAAATAACTTTCTATAAAGATACGAAGTTAATTCGATAACAAGCATTTCCTCGGAGCAAGTATGAAATTGAATGTCCTGTTGCCATCCTCTTAGTACACTCGACAGCATCATTTGCTAATAAATGTGCCAATTTCACAGCACAAATCAAAGGATCGCCGCACACCGGCTTCACGTCACAGCCACAAAACGCCGCCGCCGGTGTATAGTATTTATTTACTTTTTTTATGTCGACTTAACAGTTGCAAGTTGCAAGATTGTTCTTATTACAACTATAGGTAAAGCGGTTAACTGAGTCAGTACCTAAGATATGGGAACGGCACGGGAGAGGTGACATTGACAAATTATGACGTGACAGAGCATACAAATCTGAAGCACATTTGAAGACTCGCTGACATTTGACGTCACGAAAACACAATCCCTTGCCGCTTCTATCAGGGCCGTACCGTGAGTTTAGGGGGCTCTTAGGTGCCCATCTACTATACTCTTTCGCATTATCGTCTATCTTTGACTTTCACTTGACTTAGCTGGGCCCTTGAATAAACGGCGCCCTTGGCTGAAGCCCAAACAGCCATATGGTAGATCCGGCCCTGGCTCCTATACCACAGGCACTGACTCAGCAGGTTTAACTTGATTGTCTATTGCTGTACAATATTTAACCTTATTTCAACAGCGTAAAGTTCAAAATTATTTGCATTTTTTGTACTCACTTCTCTTTGGGCTTCACTTCATCTTCGCCTTCGTCTCCCTCCTCCTCCTCTTCCTCTTCATCCTCCTCCTCCTCATCTTCTTCTTCAGTGTCCTATTTAAAAGAAACCTTATAATAATCATAATAAGATTTAGTTTACGGTATTTTGACCTCTATCTTCCAAGTGCTATGGGTGAAATTTACATTATCGTCATTGAAGTTTTTTTATGCGTGACAAGCCAGGTATTTGACCGCCATCGCACCTGGTGTTAAGTGAGATGCAGTCTAGAATGGTACATATCTTCCCTGTAAGTGCCTAACATAAGTCATTTTTTGCCGGTTTCAACATTTTGATGCCATAGGATGAAGAAAGACCGCGTGCTTTTTTCCGACCAATCTTCTGTTAAATGTGCAATTTTTGACTTACGCACTGTTAGAACGATTTTGAACTTTCATTTAACACATTCGAATGCGATCCACGACACGAGATTCCCCGTTCTCAATAATCTCGTCTGGTCACTTTACACGTTGGACGCCACGCGGCTCACCGGTGAGCCTCGAATAATATTTCTACTGTGTCTAGTGTTTCGGCAGTAAACGACTTAAGCGTGACTTAAGCTACTGTGCCGCTAACTAATTTATTGACTTTCGGTCGCGTAATTCGCCCCGCGCGATGTCACTTACTACTAAGTTACTACGCAAAAACATTGAATGCGCTGTAGCGGAAACGCTTGCTAGACGAAAGGTTAAGTGCATTGCAAGAGCCAATAGGTTACATATTAAATAAGATTGCTAAAGTATAGTTCTTGCATTTCAAAAACTCCTTTTTTTGAATGCGAATTTTGCTAAATAACAGGTTATTATTAAGCATGTAGCTTTAACTTTACTGGAAAGCGAGCCAACAGAGATGATCATCATCATAATCATCATCATTTCAGCCATAGGACGTCCACTGTTGAACATAGGCCTCCCCCAATGTTTTCCATGGTGATCGATTGGTAGCGGCCTGCGTCCAGCGCTTCCCTGCTACCTTTATGATGTCGTCGGTCCACCTTGTAGGTGGACATCTCACGCTGCGTTTTCCGGTACGCTGATAGATCCGGTACGAATAGAGATGATAGATTACTGTTAATTGATAGCCATATTTCAAGAATATGGTCAAGCATAACCGTAAATTATTGAAAAAACAAAAACTCTACATTGTAAATAAGTATTGTGTTGTTTCATAGAACGCAACTACAAAATGAAAAGAAATACTAATACATTACCTCTTTCTTAGGTTTTTTCTTGGGAGCGGGCTTCTTGGCGCCTTTGTCATTTGCTTTTACGTCATCCTTTTCGTCTTCATCGTGTGTCTCGCCGTTCTCTTCCTATTTCCAAACAGATAATTAATTACGATTGACTTTAATTTCAAAGGTAAAAACCAAACCGCACAATTTGCATGCTGTATTCTTGCAAATTAGGCTAATGACCCAATATTAGATTCGTTAATTTATATTTTAATTTAAGTAAGACACCACAAATTAGTTCTGCCAATGCCTAGGCCTTTTTAAGTTATGCGCGATCGTAAGACGCGCGTCGACGTGTCTAAAAAACTTGGTGTGCATGCCCTAAGACAGGGATGGCGAACCAATGTCACGCGTGCCACAATATTTAGGGTACGCAACGTTAAATGACAAAAATATTTTATTCAATTTAGACCACTGGTGGCACTTATGAACGTCAAAATATAGTAAATAAAGAAAAAGGTATCCCTTATGGGGCACACATCACAATATTCATTATGAAATAAAATAGTAAATAGTGTTTTGAATGAGGGGTGGCTAAGACGATGGCGTCAACTGGTGGCGCTGAAAGGGTAGAAAAACTAGAGTGGCGCCTCTGTAGAGTAAGGTCATGTCTCTCTCTCTCTCTCTCTCTCTTGTACGATAGTCATTGATATCATTAAGTGCTATTTGATAGCCCGTTTATGACTAGGTAGGTACGTACATTTTTTTTATAAAAGTGGCACGTTGATTCCATAAAGGTTCGCCATTCCTGCCCTAAGACATTAATTAGACTTTAAATATGATTGTTAGAGTATCACAAACCTTTTTGGAGTCACTGTCTGCTTTTGCATCCCTCTTCTCATCCTTGGCGTCATCAGCTACGTCATCCTTACCGTTGGCCGTGGTGGATTTCGCGTCACCTGCACAAATCGAAATATCCATGTATCATTTGAATATTTTAATCCAAAACTTTTAAACCTTAAAAACCAAATATATTTGACAACGGGACAAACTTGACCCTCACTGGTTGGGTTTTTATTGGCGGTCAAGCTGTAAGTCCTGGCTACACAGGAGTTGCAGCGGGGGGAACGAGAGGTGGGAATAGTCCCGAAACCAAATATATTTTCACAATGAATGACAATTGGATGATACAATGCACTTTGGAAGTCAATGTGAAATGTGACGACTTTACTCCGAATAAATAAATAATTTCTTGATCTGTTTTCCTACTCAGATGTGCATAGTGATGTGTCAAATTTCTCATGTGTTATTTATAAGTACTAGCGATGCCTAAAGCTTAGTACGCGTGAAAGTCATCCAATTAACCGAGATCTCTCATTTATATGGGACTTCTTACAGAATGGAGGTCAAGCTACATGTCAGGATCTTTAAAATTGTGACTAAATAGCAAGTAATGTAATTTGCATGTGTCAATAAGAATAAAATCTGATCAGTTATTTTAGAGTCGAAAAAAACACCAGGCTGAAGGCATGAATTCAGGAACATAGGTATATAGGTCAATAATGAAGTCCACTAGAGTTAAATAATTGACCTTACTATGAGTACATAGGGATACTAATGTATATTTTTAGCATAATGGCTCAGTTACACTGTGCGGGAAATTGATCGAATAGAAGTGCGAACACGTACACTGAAGTATGGGCGATCCACGGCGAAACTAATTGAAGTGGGCGTTCACACTATGTCTCGATAATTTTCCCGAATAGTGTAACTGCGCCATAAAAGTTGTTATTCGTACTTTAATGTTCGTAGCATAAACACGATTTTGTATCGTTATCGATTTTAATTTGTCAATAACTTTGGTTGTTGATCCAAAATGTTCTCGTACAAGAAAACAATATAAACAAGTTCACGTGCAACGAATATTGTTAATTAAATGTTATAATTACAAATAAGAATCATATTTCCAGTTTGGATTTAAGAGCGTGAACGAACATAGGTACCTACTTCATCTCGGAAAGTTATCCGTATTATGTACTTTTATGGAATTTACCGAATGATTTGAGGTAAAATTATTAAAATAACATTACATTAGCATTTTTATCTCTTGCATCGAATGTCGTGTTTGTAATTATGCGCGGTCTTTTAAATGTATTAATCTGAAGTAAATAAAAACAAGAAGTTTTGTCTTTATTGCAGTTTGTACTACTACAACGCATGTCTTTACTAAATTATCGTATAATTATACTACTCATAATAAAGCTCTAAAATAAAACTAATGGATATTTATTAACTTTAATATAAAAGTACTACTTAATATGTTTATCCAATGAGGCCTTCCATTATTATTTTGTTTTTTTTTCTTTCTTTTTAACTTTTTTTTATTAAGCTTTTTTAAGTGTTCCAACAAAACGGCTGTTACGTTATTACAAGAGTATCAGAATGTAGTTTAATAATAACTTAAAAACAAGCTGGCAGTTAGAAGTATAGTTAGGTTTGATTGATAGGTAATCCGGCTGCATTTTTAATAAAAGTGAGGTCATTTCAATTTGCAAATTCGACGAGCCGGTCATAAATGAACATCGATGACGTCATAAATCAAATAAGTCTTGTAGATCGTAATCCACATTTTGTTTTTAAGATATTTCAGGTTCGTTTGAGCTTCAATACAATTTATAAATAAAAAATAAACTGAAAGAGGTTACTGGCCCATTTATTGTCCTGAAGCAGTCGTGGGGTAATATAGGGGCGTGTAAAAGTGCTTTTTAAAAGCCTACTTGCATAAATAAATGAGTTTTATGATTTTTTTTTTACTGTCTGTTTCTAGTCTCAACCAGATTAATTTCACACTATTTTTTACTGAAAAATGCATGAACAATGAACATACCACACCAGTCACCCCTGACCCGGTCAATGATTTTAAACTGTAATTACCAGTGTTAAGGCTCCAAATACGATTTTGGGCTGACACAATAAGCTGCCGATTGCGTAAATTCACGCGTAAAGCCTCAATCAACGCCACGTGCTGCTGCGTCAAGCAAAAAGTTGGCGCGAAATCGTACAACAAAACCAGAGATCATCGTCCTACGTTTAAAATTAAACTTTACTCCGTTGACTTTAGGTCAGTGTTATAAGTTAATGGAGTCCGCTACTAAGCGTTAATGCGATCTTGAAACACGTTTCCGTATTCGTTATTAATGAATCAGTTTATGCAAAATTTGACAATTTATTTTAAATATTGCGGATTTGAATTCTCCAAATATACAGCGGAGCAAATATTTGCATGCCAATGTAATGTTATTCCTTTCCGGGCAGAACAAGTCCAAATTTTTCATTGTTTTTGGATCTTAAGACAAGGGAATAAAATGTAATATGGTGGGAACTATATTCCCACTGCCGTTTAATGGGTTAAGAATGTTAAGATTACATTTGTATCAGCATTATGTAGTTTATTATTTGTTGTAAAATCACACTTATTGCAAGTTGAAAATGAATGATCATCATCATCATCATCATTTCAGCCATAGTATGTTCACTGCTGAACATAGGCCTCCCTCTCCCAATGATTTCCACAATAGCCGGTTGGTAGCGGCCTGCATCCAACGCCTTCCTGCTACCTTTATGAGGTCATCGGTTCACCTTGTGGATTAGACGATTAGGTAAATCGCTCGACTACCTATTTTATTAAGAGACAAATGATGGTCCCTGACAAAAAAGTAACTCAAAGTAGTTCACAGTATGTAATTTATAGCCCACGTAAAACATCGCCGACTATAACATTGACGCCAAACTGTCTATGGTCCTATCAAACCACTTTAGCGCTCACAAGTTGGTGCCACTGTCTTCGCTATAGGTGTACCAGAATCTCATGGCAAATGGGGAAAATAAACTTTGTTGAGTGCAATACTGGGGAAATTGGATTAAACGATCTTGATACTGTTTAATTTTTATTTATGACTAATATTAATGAACATGAAGTACGAATGCCTACCTATACATTTTAGGTATGTGTATGAAGAATGTTGTTATACATCGGGTTTTTAACATAGGAACATGTCTTGAAAAATAAGTAAACCGTATATTACTGTAAATAATTTTATTAAGTATCATACTTATAACTTATCACTTCATTCAGAACTAGAAAACGATTCTAAGAACTCCACTTGCATTTCTTGTTCTTCAAATAGATGATCAAGTTAAAGAGGTATTAATACAAGGTGTCTCAAAAGAAAGTTTACATTTGATTAGCATACTGCGTGAACGCAACAAATCCGAGGTGTGCGGGGGTTATGTCAATCAATAGCCTGGCTTTTGGGAATTTAGGTGCTATGGAGTATTTCTCGGGAGCAGACCGCGCGTTGTCTTTGCGAGAATTTTACAAAAATGGTTATTCTGTGACTGTAGCGCGTAGATTTCGCCACTTAAATGATACTCCAAGCATTCTTCTTATTAGGAAATGGGCCAAAAAGTTTTAAGAGACCCGTACAACGCTGGAATAGTAAAAATCCGGGAAACTATGGTCATCAAAAACGGTAGAGAACGTGGAGAGTGTTAATCAGTCCGCTCGTGACGACCCGAACCTTTAAATTCGGCAGCACATTAGTGCTTTAAATGTGCATAGATCATCATTACACCACATTTTTCACAAAGACCTAACGCTACACTCCTACAAAAATCAATTGATACAAGAGTTAAAGCTCCAAGAAGCCAAACAGAGGCTGGTCATGTGAAATTTTCTTTGGAAAATTGAACTCCAGGAGAGAAGTCATCAATTGGCATCCACACAGTCCTAATTTAACCACTATGGGCTTTTTCCTATGGAATTAACTTAAATCTAAAGTTTAAGCCACTAAACCAACTTCCCTGGCATATTTGAAAGAAAATACCCGTCATGAAATGGCAGCCATCACTGAGTTTACCTGCCTGAGCCGTCATAAGTGATTTTACTGTTCGATTAAATGAGTGCTACGAACGCGAGGGTCTACATTTGGACAATATTATTTTTAAGAAATAAATTCCCAAAATGTGTACTTTAATAGTTACTAAACATTTTTTCGATACACGGCTTACTTTTTTTTTTATCGATCCACTAAATATAAACTTTCTTTTGAGACACCTTGTATAATATAAATCGCTTTTTCAGCATTTCAATTACTCAAACTTGCTTGATGAATACTTTTTCAATTTTTATTACATGGTCATAACATTTTCACCATTCCTCTGCACCAATGCATGAAATACACCTGAAAACCCCGATAAAGCAGCTATTAGGTAAGAATAATATAAAACCAAACATAACCCTCCTTCTGACGCAGTTAGGTAATAAACTAAATGTAGGTAAGTATCAAAACATTTCACTCCAACTTACTGTCAACTCAATTACGCGCTTTAAAATCAAAGATTGACTTTGAATTATGCCTTATTTTACAATACACTTTGAAAACAATATGACTTGCTTGAGTTTTTTCGTCTTTTTCACAAAAATAACAAATAGGCATGAAGAGATTACAAAATTTCTGCAGCGGCTGACAGATCTCTTGATTTACTTTGACAGGTGACAATAAAGCCATAGACAATGGCCATATGAAAAACACACTTTTCCAATATTTTTGTTTGCCATGAGATTCTGGTACACCTAGCAAGTGACAGGACCTTACTCTACAGTGGCGCTAACTGGTGAGCGCTAAAACGATAGCCCTCATTAAATACAAGCAAATTGAGGCTTTTGGTTGATCGAATTTCAATATTTTAGACCAATCATAGTACATGACAGAATCTATGACTATAGTCTATCCAATATAGCTTGATTAGAATGACAGCTGTCATCAAAAGTAACGACATAACTTTGTAGTAGCGATCAATGAGAGCTAAATATTGGCGGACAAGAAATAATTCACGTCTGACCTACAAACAATATTTTCGACGACAGTGCTTCCAATAAAAATGATAATTTCGTGTAAATGCAGCGTTAAATTACACCAATAAGTACTAATTCGAAATTATAAAAATCAAGCTAGAGTATTAACGACGTCTCTACAAGGTTATCTCGAGTTACAAAAATGTTAGTGTTGGGACATATCGACAAATGTCATATTAAATTAATACTATTTTTTTAACATATTTAACAATTTTTTTTTCTAACTTATTTTTTAACACATTTAAGTCAAGTTATGCGTTTTTCTAAATGTTCACTATTAAAAACCAAAAAATATTTAATTCTTAAATAATCAAACATCGGAAATCAATCACCGGTAATTTTTTGGGTATTCATAGCACCGTTGCTCTAGAAGAGATGCCCGCCGCCCTCTAGCGAGAGGAAAAAACCACTGAAGAACACTGATGATAATGACTACGACTTAGGTTGTACACCCTTGACATGAATTTTAAATTTTACTGTCTTTAAATTTAAATCATAATTGTCATTTTTATGAATAAAGATATATGAAGAAAAATTGGGTGCATTTTTTCATATCATTTTTTCGAAAACTTATCGATACATCTATGTGAATCGTACGAAACATACCCATCACTAGTCACATTCGTTTGACAGCCGTCATTCTAATCAAGCTATATTGGATAGACTATAATACGAATTCTGTGCGTTGTTTTGTAAAGGACTTACACCGCGTACAACCCGGCTTGGTGTCAGCAGCTTTATTTCAAAAGTAGACTACATAGTAATACGGACCTTAGTGTGAAAGATTTTTTTATGTGTTTATTTGACAACAAAATGTATAATTTTGGTATGATGAGAGAGTAACCATCTGTTTTAATATTTTTTTAACAAAATTATTAGTTTATTGGCGCGAATTATAGTTGTGTCTTATGATGTAGGTGTATGCACGTAAAGTATGTAGAATACATCCATTTCATATTTATAAAATTGATATGCTTGTGAAGTTGTGATTATAAATGAGTGAGTGTGTGAATTTTAGAATGTTAGAAAAAAATTAAAAAATGATGAATGTTGGAAAAAAACCTTAACAAATAATAAAACATTTAAAAACCTTACCTTATAAACACCACATAAGCGAATTGATGATAAAATGGACAATGATACTATGCCATTAGTACTATTTACTTTTATGATCTACTATACAAATTGGTGTTTTTGTAGACATAATAATTTTAAAAACCTCATAGAAATAATAATTTTAAAAACTATACAATACAGGTACTATGCTAGGTAAATAACGTGTATGATTACTCTATGACTGACTGTACTTTTAGTCGTAAGTAAATAAAAATTCAAAGTTGACCTTTCCAATGTTTATCATAATACAAACAAATTGTAAATCAAGAAAAACATTAACTCAATAATACAAAAAAATATAACCACAGCTTTTGTGGTTAAATTAATGTTTTAGAAAATTATGTAAAGTACAATGGCATAGCATGTTAATGATTATAACAATTTGGAAGCCCCGTAGTTAGTAAATGCGATGTAGATGAACACAGATTGTGAGTAACACGTTGAAATTTTGATCCACAGCGATTCTGACCTTCTAAATTGGGTGGTTCGACGTTACTCGGTTGATCTACATCGGTGTTACCTTGGGCCGGTGCCTCTGGAGGCACAGACTCACCCTTCGAGTCCTGTGATGACTCGTCTTCTGTTGTCTGCCCGTCACCAGCGCCAGACTTCTTATCCTCATCCTGCGTGATATTAATCAGTTTAACATGTTTTTCTTGGCAATATTACAAATGTATGTAACAGTTTACGGTAAGGAATCAGTATGGATGGACTCTGTCAAGCAGGGATTAAGTAAGTATAATGTATTAATTTAATTTGTACTTTATTATGTGAACCAACTGGGACATTTATTTACCTACTTCTTACAATATGCTTAGCTAGCAAGTGCTGGTAAGAGCTTAGACCAAAAATATGTGACAAGTACTAAAAAAATTCAGATAAATATATGCAACCATAAGTCAAATAATTGAAAATAATGCTTTGCCATTATGTAGGTAGAGCTTTACATAAATAAGAATTTTGTCACAGTCGTCTTTCCTTTTACTCAACTTTAAAGAGAAAAGAAAGTATTCTTGTCTCCCTCACACATTTGGAATTTCCAATGTGCAAGACAGTGATGTAAAACTTACTTTGAGACCATTTCAATGATCTTGTTGGTAGGAACAAATTTGGAGGGAAAATTATACTAAGTCAATTTTAAAGTAAATTTTCATCAAATTGAAATAAAAATATGTTACACTATTCACAATTCAGTTAGTATTGGCGATTTTGCATCTTGCTGTAAGCGTCAGTAGGCGATCTATCGCACGCCATTATCAACCTTATGCGTATCAGATAGAGCACATATTTCAATACGCATTGACAAATCTACAGTGAAATATACAGCTGTGTACATAGCAACTAGGCACCTACCTATACGAACATTATCGGCAAATTGTCTATGTACAACTACAGACAGACAAATCAATTTATGAACATCCATCTTCGAATGCATTACAAATCTTACATTGTATCTTTAGTTTAGGCGAATGACGTCGCTTGCAAATCAAAAAACATTATGCAAAAAATAAGGTCAGCATTAGGCCCCAATAGGATTCCGCGTTTTATTTACATCGCCCGCTGTGTTCCGAGCGGAGGCAATGAGATGCGGAGCCGCGGCAATGGGTCGACAAATCGTATCACGCTGCTTTAAAAATTGAATAATCGCAAGAAACCAAATATCAAGGTCATGCGGATTTCCTATCAATGTCATAGCATATCGTGCACATTTAACAAAGGCCCTGCAGCCGAATGCAAAGGGGCGGGGGTGCAAAAATATGCGATTTTCCGAAATATACCCCATTAGAATCAGTTTCGATAACTGATCAGACTGGCATTCACCGTTTTTAATGCGAAATATTGACTAATATCACAACCCTCCGTGGCGTAGTTCCCGCGTTTAGCGGGAAGCAAACGTTCTGTCAGCCATGTTGAGACGCAGGCAAACATTAGTGATATAACACGGAAATAACACCACTTCACTGCTCAAAATGTTCTTATTACACGCGCACAATCATGAAGAAAATTTATACAAATACATATTTCACAACTATACCTGATTGTCACTGATTTTCGCTTTATCGGTATCACCCGACATTTTTCCTACGAAGAAATTGAAAGCGAATTCCAAAGCGTCTTCAAACACCGGACAACACAAATGCACGCACACATAACATTGAAAAAAAAAAGTATGCGTTTCGTTTCTTTGCGGATCTCGAGAAAATTAAGAATGTGCGCAGTCCATAAATTCATTCAATATCTTTTTCGTCTGTTTAGACTAGATTTATCTTTATTTCCAGGTTATTTTAATAAGAATAAATTACTAGATGAATAAAGCCACTTGCGCGAAGCCATTTAGCGGACACTTGCGTGAACGGAGAACGATGGACACTTGCGCGAAAAGTAGCGCGAAAGAACGTTCGCGCGAAAAACAGGTGCCCGAAATAAAAAAATAATATTTTTCGCACATACACAAACTTAGTGGTCCCATATTACATGGCTGATGAGCCGCAAACTAATAAGAATAATTTAAACCGAAAACGTTTCGGGTTCGCTTAAAATTACAAGTCGTTCCCAATGTTCCCATCACGCATGTGAAATCACGCAAGTGTCTTTCACGCAAATATCTTTCGCGCAAGTGTTTTTGGCACAAGTGAGTGTCCTATGGGCCCCTGTGGGTCTAGCTAGCTAGACAAGTAGCACTTTTGATCGGATCGAAAATCGAATACGTTGAAACTCCTTACAAAAAAAGGCTTTTCTACCATTTTTTCTACCATCTTTCTACTTAAAAACTGACACAATTTGCATTTTGTCTAGGGGGCTGATACTATAAATCCACACTGCAAAACTGCAATACAATTTAATAATAATAGGTAATTATTAGTGAAGTCGTTGTCATTGGTTAGTGATATGTATAAAAATAATGAGAAAGCAACACTGTGTGTGTGTCTGTCTATAGCACAGTTATCAGCATTGTTGTGTTCCAAAAGCAAGATCCTCTGTGGTTGAGTTGAGCATAAATCTCGTGAAACTCGCCTTCACTTTCTATCATCAGCAAGCAAAACATTGAACCAATTATGATGAAATCTTTAATTAAGTAATATAAAAAATGTTGTGAAGAGGTAAAGTTTGTAAGGTTGTAGAGGGTAATCTCTGGATCTAACATCTAGTGAACCGATTGTGAAAATTTTACTATTGTAAAGCCACATTAAGTATTTGTGAGTTGTTTTCATAGGCACATAAACCCGAAAAATGAACTTTTTATGACAAGGGTATTTCGCCGAAACAGTAAATTTTCTGTGTCCAGGCAGGCGAACACATGTTTTTTTATATCTATCTGTATAAAACTATTTTTATGGGAAAGTTCATCAAAAGTTTTATTTGTTTTTGCTATTACAATAGCAGACACTACAAATAATACCGTAGAAAAACTTAATCAAAAGTAGTTTTTCTAATTTCCTTGTTATGTCCATTACTGTTGTTTGCCAAAATGAAGGCTCATTATAAAAAATTGAAGCGTAATTTAATTCTAATAGCACTCTCTTTACATTTGAGAAACGTTTGGCAATCGGAAAATAAAAACTTTAAATGTCAAATACTTATAGGAAGAAAATAAAGTGAAGTTAAGTTCTTGTCCAGGTCAAAAGTATAATTTCCCTGGGTCTTCGTTTCGACCATTGTTGTAACGAAACGAAAAAACTTAGAATGTAACGTACTGCACCACTACACTCGGCCATTTCATCCCAAGAGGCCATTGCGGCAGGACAGTACGTCGTTGATCAGTTTCGCGACAAATCGCATAAACAGGTCCCTCCTTGGGTTTTTGTTTACTAAAAAGTCAATTTCTTTGGCCGGTTTTTTGCAGCTAAACAATGGATTAATTTTATTGTTTATTTACACAAATGTAGTGTCTGTAGGGGTAAACCCATGATTTAAATAGTAAATGCATAGGGTTGCAACGGGGCGTCTAAGCTAGCTCAGTCCGACACCCCGCTGTTTAGTACTAAGTCCCAGTTCGCCTTCTGCGATGAGGGATGTGTACCTATCCAGGATGCCTACAGGGATATTCGACCAAGGAAACACACAATCAATAACACAATGGCACTTATAATTCAGGTTCCACAATAGTTTACTTATTCTAGTTTCACTGACTCTAAATTACTCTTATTTAAACGATGAGTAAGTTATTCCACAATTGCAAATCTACTATGACAAGAGGGATAGCGACGCGCCCGGTTCGCGTCCCGAGACTAGTTTACGTAATCCGCGAGAGGGGCGGCGCCCTGTGCGAGGTTTAGCAAGTGTTAGTCTGGATACTTATAAACTAGGGGGGTAGGACGGTCCGCTCACCAAATCGGTAACCGAGGTCAACGAAGTGGGGGTTCGAGTACCAAAGGTAAAAAGGTTTAGGACCTACGTGGCGAGTGGGGAGGAATCCAGGAAGGGTGGCAGCGGGATTGCTACCGCAGGTCGGGATTGAGTAAAGCATGCACTCGGTAAGGATTGGAATGTGTATACAGGCAACGATGGTTCGCTCGTGTCACGGAAATAGGTTTTTGTCTGTGGTGTCTTTTAGGCATAAATCTAATTTCTTTGGTCCTAATTTCCTTGTTTTCCCTGGCATAAAATGACCTAGGAAATTATAAAAGACCTTTAATAATTCGGCGTTAAGTCAAATTTTGAGTATTTCTTTATTGGAATAAGTTTAAAATTTACATTTTAAGAAATAGGTATCAGAATAGATAAAGAAAAACTTGTTTTTAACTCTTAACTCAATCTACTGCATTTATCTTCCTTAGTTGTGTAAAAAGGTCGTAATGATATAATATTCATTGGCATGTTTGCTTGCGAAAGTACACAAAAATGAGGCGAACAAAAAAAAAAGCAAACCACAGAAGAAAACTTAGAGAAAAAAATATTTATAATAATTTCCTTGGCTACCAAAAATTTATGACCTCATAACTTTGTTTCTAAAACGAATTATGACACCCCTTCTAGATATATTAGCTTAGTTTTTACTACTTAATGCATTGGGAAACAAAAAATAGTTAAAAACAAAAATAAAATTCGTGCCAAGGAAATTAGGCAAAATTGACCATTTTTGGCGAAATACCCACAAAACGTAATTCACGCGGACTGGTGAAGTCGCGGGCAAATCCTTGTTTGATATTAAAGATAGTATTGAAACCTCAGGTATAGCCTGACCAGGAACATAAAAACCCTGGCATAGAGGCGCGTCAATCGCATTTGATAGTGCAACACTGAGTACAGTCGTACCTGTGTAAAATTAATAGGCTAACTTTATGTATCAGGATTCAGGATTACGGGCTAATTTGATATTTTCATAAATTAACCAAAAAATATTATTATAGGTAACCTGGTTTAAATAAATTAAATGAAACCATCAATCGAGCTAGTAGGATTTATTTTATTATTCATCAATAATCAAATTCATAACTTGAATATTCAACTGCAATGTTTGGTCATGAACGCTTCAAACTCGGTACTTCTTTCCCAATTCCATAAAATTCAACACTTAGAAAATTTTAAAGTGACAGAAAATTTTAAAATAGGTAGTTGAAACAAACCACAGCTAATTTTCATAGTGGACTGTACTATACGATAAACATGACAGTCAATTTGACAACCTTTGTCGGAAACATTATTTAATGAAAATATTGTCCGAACCCTTAGTATTTCTCTTCGACAAATACTTTAACACATTGTGAACCACTTTTCTTTCACGACTATAAAAAGATTTTAGCAATTTAATTCACAAAATCAATTGCGCACATTTAAAATAAAGTTTGTTTACACTTTGACAGCAATAGACTGACATGCAAGGTGACATGTCAATGAAGTTTTCAGTTACTGTTGCCATTAAAAGAAATTAGTACCATTAGTTTTCCGCAACATGGCGAGGGTTTTTATGTTCCTGGTCAGGCTATACAATAAAACATAGGATGTTAAGTTACCTACAAAAGTTTTTGAAAACGTAAAGAAAAAATAATTGAGCGCTAGTTACGCCACCTAGCGCTAAAATACTTTTTACTAGCTGTGGAATGGAAAGGTGAAGAAGAAACAAAACGCAATAGTAATAGACAACTGTCAAAATCCACTTTTCTCTAGAAATTTTAAAATAAATGGATAATTTCGATATTTTCAAGTGTCGTGAGGTTTCAAAATGTATGGAATTATTGATTTAATACCTGGTTTGTAACTTTTATATATTTATGTATACGGTGAATTTAATTAATTTTTGTAAAAGTGAAAGAACATAGTATTTTGCAAAAAAAACTACAAAACTATTGTCTATGGACAGCGTCTTTTCGCCATCAAAGTTGCGAGGCAAACCGTGAATTTTTTGGATCTTTTGATCCGTTTTCATGGCTGTCGTATTTAAACATTGATGTCTGCTTTAATTCAAAAATGAGTGACTATCCTTCTATGGCTACGCTTCAAAATAATAGTCAAACGGCGGGATATGTGGATGCTCTTCAGCGTGCGAAATTGGTAAGCTTTGTATGCATAATCGTTTGCTTGCCACCACCGTCTTTATTTTACCGTTATTGCTATTTTAGAGACACCCGTTTTCATAAATTTATTAATGTTGATAGTGAACTCGCTGTCATTGGTTAGTAAAGTTGATATTTCGTTAATTTACGACGTTTTTTTGGTATAACCTACACGGGTTAGTAAAAGCGGGCCATTTCCATGGAAATTGATTCTGAACCTGTTTTGCTTGATTGGCGCGTGAATTTTTGATGAAATGTTTGCGTAGTATTAGTAATGTGTTTTTGTTGTAGGTTGCAGCAAAAATCAGCAGTACTAAACGGCCTCTAGAGGAAGGATCAGAACCAAGTGCAAAGAAATCAGCCTCAGATTCTTTTCAACAACCACAACAACAACAACAACCAGCAATGAGGTAAGACCATAATAATCATGGTATTTTTGATACAACAATACATTTCATGTACATTAAACAGAACATGACACTACATTTTACTTAGAAAATACCACATAAACTGCTATGTAAAACACCACAGTGTGTGTTGTGGTATTTTTGTAGCATCAGCTGTAAAAGTATAAAAAAAAGCTTTTAATAATAGGACTATGCACTTTAATTAATAGTCATTAAAAATTTTTTGATGTGTCACAATATTGTTACACGATAATTTGATAGTGAATTATTGTTGAAATGTTTCATAGGAAGACCTAATAAGATATTTGTATAACATTTATAATAAGAATTGTTCATCAACATTCATGTACATTCATCATTTTATACTTTCATAACATAGACACTTGACCTGAGCTTGTTTTGTATTATAAGTATGTCATAGCTAGTTCGGAACAGAGGCACAATGCACAAGCCTAATGAATCCTTGAATCTCCTGTGCATAAGAATTTATGTGCCCAGATGCGCGACCATCTGAACTTAGCCTAAAAGTAGGGCCATCTCTAAAATTTGGCAACTAGAACAAGCTGCATGGAAACCCCGGATTTTGGAGCCCAGAACTTACATGTCAATAAGTTTTTTAAGCTTATAACAATAAAAAGTTGGTTGTTTGTGGCGTGCCTTGCTGAAGTAGTATCGTTGGATTCAGACTACAAATTAAACCCTGGCCACATGCTCGTATAGGCCTGGTTAAGCGGAGCAGGAAAGTACATATTTGAATAACCAATCAGATTTCCTGGTTTCCTGACTAATAATATCTGATTGGGTGTTCAAAACTCTCTGCCTTGGTTTAAACCGGACCTAAACTAAGACAAAGCTTAGACGGATGGCACCTCTACATAAAAGTAATAGCCACGCCTACTCCCAGTGCTACAGCGGCAGCGGCAGCGGCGGCGGCGGCGGCAGCGGCGCGTATCGCGGCGTCGAGCGGCGGCAACGCGCCGGCGCCCCCACCACCCCCCATGGCCCCCGATCAAGCGCTCAACGAATACATCAGGGTTCCGGACAAAATGGTTGGCCTAAGTAAGTGGCTTCTTAATCTATCGAGCTAGAATTTTAAATTACGTTAACTAAAGCCTGGTCCGTGAGCACGTAGAATCCCGTCCAATGACCCCAAGCTACCCATCCTTATCGCTCGCGCGTAATTATATTGTTGTCGCGACTGTGCGACCCGCGCCCGCAGTGAGTGTGCGAGCGCGACAGCAACATAATTACGTGCGAGCGACAAGGATGGGCAGCTTGGGGTCATTGGATGCGATTCTACTTGCTCACAGACCAGGCTTTATGATGGTTTTGTTAAAATTGCGTAATAAAGTGTCTCAAGTTCTCAATTATTAAATAGAGGTAGTAGGGCTTGGCTTTGCTGATGGCCATGGCTTCGCCCACGAAGATTTTTATAGCATTATCTGCTATAGTTATGTATAAGCTATAACATTGTAAAATTTCATGATACCCAGTAGTTTTTACGTTAGGAATAGGTTACAAATATCCATCCATCTATCTGCATAATATTTAGCATTTATATTAGTATAGACGGAATTAGAATAGAGAGTAGAATTTTCACTAGTTCTTGGCACAAGGTTAACGCTAATATTCACATAGATAAATTATTGCCAAATGCAATTTTAGAGCCATACATCTAGTTTGCTTACAGTATATTGCGAATTTCACTTAACAAGTACAAGACATACTTCAACCAAAATACAGTTGATGACATTACTTATAATCATTTTGATTTATGCCAGAGCTCCCGTTAACCGATCAGCTGTTCATTGTAAAATAGTTTCTTATGCCACATAATCTTTTTCCATTCACACTCGCTGAATGAATGATGGTAAGTATTTACCATTACTGTTTAGTCAGTGTTTAATGTATAATTTTCGTCCCACATTATCAGCCATATTATGTTACGTAACCATTATTACATTAAAATGTTATGTTTTGTATCATTATGATAAGTTATTCAGCGTTGATTACTTTGGCTATTCCTGTAATTTTATTTTGTTAATTTCATTTATTGTGAGTAGAGCTTTGATATATTTAATCGGACATGTATGTCTATTTTTATGCAAAAGAATGTTTAATAACTTCCGGAGTGATTCTTTGTAGTCATTGGACGTGGAGGTGAACAAATTACACGGTTGCAAGCTGATTCGGGTTGCAAGATACAGATGGCACCGGACTCCGGTGGCCAGCCTGACAGAGTTTGCACACTCACCGGTTCAAGGGAAGCTATACAGCGCGCCAAGTAAGTGTATCTATCCATAAGTCTTTATATTATTTAAAATATTTCAAGTGTCTTATTTGCTATGTCTTATATTCATATCATAGCAAAGCAAAAAGGCGAAAGCATTACATTCTATTGTGATATTATTCTAAAATGTTGGTTGTAAAACACCAGAACATACATTTGTAAAGTAGGGTTGCATGTTTTAAATTGTAAGACATATAAGATATCAGCACACTACTTATGCCGGCTGCACACGTTGGTCCCAACCCCACTCGTCCAACGTGAGGATTTAGTCATATTGACACCAACTTTGGGACAAGCGTTGGGAGATGGCCGAAGCGTTTGCATTGTCTAGTCTGGACGCCCAACTAACTCACAGCCTATCATCCAGGGAGTTAGTGAACCAAATAGTGAATCACCGGGGGCGGGAGAACGCTCCTCAACACCAGGATAGCCCGGGCGGCGGCGGCGGCGGCTTCGGCAACGGCGGCGGCGGCATGGCGCCTCCACCGAGGGGCGGCGGCGGTCTTGGAACCACTGTGAGTATCGTCATCATTAACACCAAATCGACCATTTTAATCGTAAATTAGAGAGGGTCATAATCTTATCTAGACATTTTATCGATTTTATCACATCTATTGTCTAAAACAGTAGTTCTTAACCGGTGGTCCGCGGACCACTGGTGGTCCCTGGAGGCATTCCAAGTGGTCCACGAAGAAATCGTAATAAACAAGTGACGTGACGTGATGAGTCGAGTCAACACAATGTAAACGGCGCACAGTGGGCGAGAAATCGACCTCCCCTTTCATAGGATTTTGAAAAAAAAGTGGTCCCTGACAAGAGAGAAATTTGGTAAAATGGTCCCTCGTGACTTAAAGGTTAAGAACCACTGGTCTAAAATCATCGATAAGATTATATCGTCCCTCGTAACCTTTTTTTTTTTTTACCCAGGAAAATGGCCTATCCATACCTACCGCCGGGGGACGGCAGGTTATGTGGGGCTCGAACCCACTAAAAACCTGGGGTGTTCCCTCTGCCGCATAGTGGTCGGCGCCTTGGGTACTAGAAACGACCAAGGCGCCTTCCGCGGACGTCCCGCCCTACACGGCGGGACCCAACACGCCCCCACCTAGTGGGGGGCCGACAGGATTAGCCGGGACCACGAGGCCAATCCCGTCCGACGGCGGTGGTAGCCTGTGCAATGCAGGAGGAGGCGCCCCCGCGTCTCCAGCCTGCTGGCCACCACCAAGGGGAGGAAGAAGCGAACGGTCATACAACCGCCTTCTAACTCCCCTCCTCCGTCTGCGAAGCGGGGGTGCAGAGGGGTCGTCCTCGCGTTCCCGCTCCGCCGCCTCCTACCTCAACGTCAACATGTAATTTAGTCTCCACTACAGGAGTGCAAATATTTTGCACAATAATAAAATGTGGTGGTCTTAATTTACTTGACTTGGTCTGGTGGAACCACACGACTAGTAGTACACTTATTTTGGAATTAACAAGTCTAAAGAATAATGACCAATATAAAGGTCAGCAAGTTTCTATTGTCATAGAAAAAACGACCAACGTGGAGAAGTGAAGTTGGCGAGTGTAGTGTAGGTGACATGATAAATCGGCTTTTTTTATTTCTGTCAAGAACTATATTGTCATTCACTATAGCAGGAGGAAATCATGCTTCCGGGACCTAAAGTGGGTCTCATCATCGGCAAGAACGGGAAAACCATCAAGCAACTACAGGAGCAGTCTGGAGCCAAGATGGTGGTTATACAAGATGGACCCAACACTGAATATGTAAGTTTTCTTATCTTCTTTTTTTCTTTTAACTCAAGAATTTACAGGAAATGTCTGTTGTCTAGTACCCATAGTACAAGCTTTCCTTAGTCTGGTACTAAATGGCGCAGTGTAAAATGTCCAAAAATTTATTAATCCATAGATCGCTGGTCAGTATCCGGCTCGAAGGACCAAAATATAGAACGCGCAGGCGCCATGTCAGCACAATTACTAAACAACTTAATTGCTCGTACAGTTACTCGGCTTTTATTTTTTAAATAGACAATTTCTCTTGCAACAGACTTTGTCTATGACAGTAGTTGATAGTGGTCCTTTCCCACAGGAGAAGCCTCTCCGCATATCCGGTGACCCGGCCAAAGTGGAGCACGCAAAGCAACTGGTACACGAACTATTGGCGGACAAAGACATGCAGCCGGGCGGCGGGCCGCGGTCTCAATACGACGACTACGGCTCCGATCCAGGCAACGGGCTCGCTACTAACTCCACTGAGGTGAGTTACGAAAAAACAGGGCTCTTGGTAGACATATTTTGTATTTATGTGTTCTTCATTGCACCAAAAATGTGTTCAGACTAAACTACATAATGCCTGGAAGCATTTCTCCTAGCCTAGTCAACCAAACCTTCACTGGTTGGGTTTTTATTGGCGGTCAAGCTGTAGATCCTGGCTACACAGGCTGGAGTAGCAGTGGTGGGAGCGAGAGATGAAAATAATCCCATAGTGGCGATTGTATAAGTGTGTGCCTTATTTCACGAGGCAGAGTATGAGAATCATAAAATTGCCCAGCTATCAGAATTCTCCCATAGGTGTGAATGTGGAATGTTTTTTTTTGTTTTTAAGGCTTTCAAGGCTTGAACATCATCATGAATAAAGGACCATTATATTTTACGTCCTTCAACAGGTACTGGTTCCCAAAATAGCGGTGGGCGTGGTCATTGGACGCGGCGGAGACATGATCAAGAAGATCCAAGCGGAGACGGGCTGCAGAGTCCAGTTCCACCAAGAGAGGGACGACGGACCCGGCGACAAAAGGTAAGGCTGCCTTGTACATATGAAGATGAGTATAGACTAGAGCATTGGTTCCCAAAGTGGGGGGCGCACCCCTCAAGGGGAGGCGCAAAGACCTTTAAAGGGGGGCGCGGGCCATCTGTGTACTTAAATATAAAAAAACCTGCGACCGCTTAGGCTGGTTTTAGTGTCACGCGGACTGTCCGGTGCTGACCCGTTCCGCACGGCCAATCTGTATGAACATCTAGGGAGCGTTTTAGAGTAATGCGGTCCGGAGGAACCGTTCGCTCCCTAGCAGTTCATACAGATCGGCTGTGCGGTGCGATCCGTACTGACAGTCCGCGTGACACTAAAACCAGCCTTAGAGAATGCATTCCAGACTGCTCGGTACGACCAGTAAATAATGTTGACTGGGGGAGGAGGGCGTGGATTTTTTTATATGATCGAAAGGTGGCGCATCTCAAATAAGTTTGGGTACCCCTGGACTAGCATTTACTTGTATAGTTCTTGTAACTCACGAAGGCAAGCGAGCTTTACTTGCGTATACATGTACATGCGACACATGTACATAACGATAGTGTAATGTCTATCTAAACTTGAAAACCGAACAGTAGCGAGCCACCACACGTGTAAAGCTCACTCGCATTCGTGAATAGCAATAACTATAACAAAACAACGAGCCGCTCTATGAAATGTTCTTCCTTTTCACTTTACCATTCGTAAGAACGTTACATTGCATAGAAATGTTCGAGTCTATATTCACCGTAACCAGTACGGCTAGCACAAAAAACTTTCCGAGTTCAAATCGTTTGCGTACTCGAATCGCCATCAAAAAATTTAGTAAGAAAACTACAACAGCGCCCTCGTGAACGTGTCGTAAAGTGAACTTAGTATGAGATGTGTTTGCAAAAACTTATTTTGAGAATTAAAATTGTCACGTTATCGTTTAATTCGAAGATTGAGTATCGAATTTTATCGAATACGCAAACGATTCGAAGACGAAAGTTGTTCATGCTAGAGGTACTGTTTAGATGTATAGTCGACAGCAGATTGCTACCACAAAAATAATTACTAGAGTATTTGCCAATTAATTTTGATCTTTATACCTTTGTATAAGGCTTAAAATCAATTGCAGTTTAGCATTTCGTGGTAGTTCGATGTGCTCTCGACTGTTTAACATCAAGAAGCAGGTCTTAGTGCTTTAATGCACTTCAAGAGACAATTTAGAGTAGACCATTATGTATCATGTATGTTTTTAGATGTTACCTACAAGGCAAGCCCCACCAAGTTGAACAAGCGAGACAGATGATCGAAGATTTGATATCTAGTGTAAATGTGAGTATTTTTTTAAAATCTTAAGTTTCCGCAGACTACAGACTCATCGAACTATAATATCCGACAGTTTGGGTTGTTAACTATAATAGTTAACAACCCAAACTGTCGGACTAGTTAACTATAATAGTTAACAACCCAAACTGTCGGATATCTATGACAGCTAATTTGAATGAGAAATCGGTCGATACTTAATCGTTGTAATGTGTGCACTTTCATTCATATGAAGCCACGATAGCCGAATGGTGAAGGGGTCTGACTGGCCGACTTGTCATCCGAGGAACGCGAGTTCGAATCCCGCTCACGCTCGACTATTGTGGTGAGCCCACTCGTGACACAAGCATTTAGCTTAGTACGAGGGGCTAACGGGACTAGTAGTAATTTATGCAAAAACAAATGACTATAGTTCTTGCAACTCATGAAGGCGAGTGAGCTTTGCTTGTGTGTGTACGTGTACAGTACATGTACAAAACGATAAGTAATGTCTATCAAAACTTTTGAGAAACGAACAGTAGCGAGCTAGCGAGCCACCACACATGTGAAGCTCACTCGCCTTCGTGAATTGCAACAACTATACTAATCTTAAAAAAAACCGTCTAAAAAGTCTGTAATCTGCGGGGAATCTTAAGACCATGTTAACAGCTGTGCACTATTTGTAAAACAGAGTAAACAATATTTATTATAACACAGAGGCGAGAACAAGAAGTGAGACAAAGCGGCGGCCGCGGCGGTGGTCGCGGCGGTCAAAGGAACGGCGACCGCGGCGACTACCAACAGTGGCAGGAGAATCCGGAGATCCGGGTCACGTTCACTATCTGTGGGAACAAGTGCGGACTCATCATTGGCCGGGGTAAGTTGCCTGTGCCATCCGGTCATAGTTGGTCGCGGCATTTACCAGCAGTGGCAGGAGAATCCGGAGATCCGGGTCACGTTCACTATCTGTGGGAACAAGTGCGGACTCATCATTGGCCTGGGTAAATGTCATTTGGTTATTTGGTGTCCTTAATTTCTTGAACGTGAAAATATTCTTATAACTTTTATGGTGAACTATCTTTCCGCCTATTTTGTCTGTCACAGAATTTTTTTATCGCCGCGTCCCTGTTTCAAAAACCGGGACTCAAACTATCTCTATGCCAAATTTCATCAAAATCGGTTCATTGGTTTAGCCGTGCACAGACAGAGTTAGTTTCGCATTTATAATATTAGTATAGATTATTATAGATATTATAGATTAGTATAGAATATAGATGTGAATCGCTGTCGCATCAGGGCAGAACTGAGTGCCGCTAAAATGCATTTGACTTCTACTGTCGTCTGTCACTCATAGGACCTCGTTTACCATCTCTGATTCAAGTGTCAAGTAGTTGTTGCTCAAAGTCACGAGTAGCAACAAAACTATGTCACTGGCAAGACTTTGGCGCTAATATACATCCAGTAACTTAAACTTTACTAAGTAAATACTTAAAAAATTACTCTGATATCGTAAAAGAGGCCTATAGTCATTTTTTCAAATGATTTCAATCAGAAGTTAACTAAATAATAAAAAAAGGCTTACGATACATCATACTAATCGAATTTATATTGTGCGCAGGCGGCGAAGTAATAAAGCAGATCAACGCGCAATCCGGCGCGCATTGCGAAGTGGACCGGCGCGCGACGGGCGCGGATCGCAACAACCGCACTTTCTTCATCCGCGGACACCCTGATGCGGTAGAACACTGCAAGCGTATCATCATGGAGAAAGTCGGCATGGTAAGTTGGACAACCTGTAGCTCATCGAGCTGTAGGAGCTAGCTCGCGAACTAAAGAAGATAGCTCGTGAGCTAATGAAATAATTTCGCGAGCTAATAAGTCACGACGCGCAAGCTAATAAGTCATGACGCGTGAGCTAATAAGATATATCGCGCGACCTTAACAACCGCACTTTCTTCATCCGCGGGCACCCCGACGCGGTGGAGCACTGCAAGCGTATCATCATGGAAAAAGTCGGCATGGTGAGTTAGTAGCTAGCTCGCGAACTAAATGAGCTAGTTCGTGAGCTAATGAAGTTAGTTCGCGAACTAAAGAACCTAGCTCGCGAGCTAAAGAAATATATCTCGTGAGTTAATAAGTCATGACGCGCGAGCTAATGAAGCATGGCTCCTGAGCTAGTAAAGCATATCAACGCATGGGAAGGGTACATTATAGCACGCAAAACCGACGGGTGCGTGGCAGAAAGATTCTGGAATGAAAGCCACTCATACAATCGCAGTCTGGCTGGAACGTCCACTCACAAGATGGACAGTTGACCTTAGAAAGGAAACTGCTGAATGCTACCAACTAATTTGGATTTGGAAATCATTGCAGTCTATTCAGCAGTTTCTGGAATACAATTGATACGCATTTTGTGCATTCGTCACCAACTCTCCTATGCTTTGTCTCAGATTTGTGCAACCTCTGTCAACTGCTATGTCTCAGATCTAAGACAAGACTACTTTGTCATTTTGAAACATCATTTGAAAACCGTAGCAGTTGGGGGTGCAGTTTTGCGCGGCTCAATAGCACGCCAAAGGTTAATTATAATTCCAAGTTGACCATCACCCTAAACCACGTGTTCGTCAACAGCCCATAAACTTCATCCAAGACGGCGCCAACAACGGCGGCGGCGGGAACGGCGGCGGCGGCGGCGACTACTACGGCGGCGGCGGCGGCGGCGGCGGCCCGGCGGCCTGGGGGTACAACCCGCACTGGCACCAGCCGAGCGCTCAGTCGCAGTCACAGGTAAGCCACTAACGCCCAGGCCCCTCTTTCCCACCGGGCACTTTGGGCACGTGCCCAGGGCCCTTAGTGCTCCCGTTGTTGGAAATCCCACATAGATTTATAGATGACCCACTGTCGCTCAAAAAAGAGAAGCAAGAGCCATGTGTTCCAGTCATTTGCACAGGATCGCTGTCTCGCCGAGTGCGGTCACTCGTGACAGAGTCGCATGTATGGTAACTACAAAGAATAATGATAAATGACTCCCCGGCGCTCGCGGTATTGCTCTGTACAAATAGGCGAGCGCTGACGTTGATATATGGTACGATTAAGATTGGATCTTTGTAGCAATTTTGGCGGCGTCGCTGCCTCGCGCTAATTCCCAAGTTGAAAGACCTTTGATGATAAGGGCCATCCTTAAATGCCCAGGGCCCCTAGTAAGTTAAAGACGGCCCTGCTAACGCACCTCGCCCGCGACCACGGCGACTTTTTGTAGTGATGCTGTCGTGCGTTTCGTAAACGAATGACAGCATCGCTACTAACGCGCGTTAGTCGCGTTTATATTGCGCTACAGAAGTGATGCCAACGCGCTACAGCAGCGCGATTGTATCGATGCAAACGCGCGACCGTGTCGGATGACATCGGGGAGAGAACGGGGGGAGGGTTACTGAATCGCGTTTGCATCGCGACAGTGTCGCGTTTGCATCACGACTGAATCGTGTTTATGTGGGCGAGGCCACACAGTTAACGACCGCAGACGTATGCGTGAAAATAGTTTGAATAATATTTCCCGTTTTTACAACATTTTAAAGCCGGCCAGGTTGGCTATTACCTCTATTTTGGCGTGATAACTAAGACCTTATGACCCCTTATTCTGATAACAATAATGTAAATATTTATTGAACTACTAGACATTTCTACTCAGTAATTAATTTCTAGTTGCTAGTTGAAACACTGCACATTTTGTTCGGTGTGAAAATGGATACGGTATGTGCGGTACTCTTGTATGTTTCTAATGAGTGACTGTACATTTTTTTTTTTCATTCTAAATGTGTCTGAAGCGACGAGGGCCCACTATTAATAAACAGTTTGAACTCGACAAAACTAACAAAGACCGTATATTCACAGCAGCAAGTGCAAATCAACCCAGCGACCGGGCAGCCGGACTACTCGCAGCAGTGGATTGACTACTACCGCTCGTTAGGACTCAACAACGAAGCGGAGGCTATTGAACAGCAAGCCAAGAGGCAGCAGCAGCAAGGTAGCTATCGAAATTATTATAATTATTTACTTGTTTATTTATAGTTTTTGTCTTTATTAAGGTCACAATCATCTTCCTAATCCAAATAATTTCGCAGTATCTGATATGTCATTTGTAGATCATTAATATCTAACTGAAGTAACAGAAACTGTGATACCTGCACTGAGTTTTCCATAAGTTTAATTATACTGTTATTACACAAAAATGGTCTAATATTGTATTCGTCACTTCCTTAGCAGGTCTTGCACAGTGTGATATGACAGGAGGTAGGTTATACACACAGTAGTGGAAATACATATTTTATATGATTATACTATAACTTACTGTAGTCAATTGCTACAGTTTTGTACCTAATAAGTAAATATAAGGTTCAAATTATGGCGACTGAGCCCTGTAAAAAAGAAAAGCACGTCGAATACCCCAACTAATTGGGGAACATTGGACTTGTTGGCGCGTTGAACTTTCTGTGAGCCTTCCAGCAGATTATAAAATAAAAAATAAACATGGGTGTTTGGAAAACCGGTTTTTCGCATAACAGAGTTATATGGTGAGACTAGCTTTTGCCCGCGGCTTCACCCGCGTGAAATTTAGTTTGTCACAGATCGTCATAAATTATAGCCTTGTTATTCTGGGTTATAAACAATAATACTGTAAAGTTTCATCAAAATCCGTTCAGCAGTTTTTGCGTGAAAGAGTAACAAACATCCAGACATCCTGACATCCAGACATCCATACAAACTTTCGCATTTATATTATTAGTAAGAGTAAGATAGTTCGGTTGATTGACGTTCGGATAATCCGATAGCTTTACTTTATTATACTTTATTATCTTAATGTCGTGTAGTCTCCTCTAGCCCTGTCCCCTGGGTTGACAACTGTGTATTGTCTTCCATCGAAGGCCGACAATACACGGACCGCTTGAAGCAGTCAGGGTCGACAGCTTCAAGCTGCGACTGCACAGTGAACTGCAGAGTTCTATGGACGCACATACACGAACCGGTCGAGCAGTTGCAACTGATTCGGGCGGTCGACAGCACGGTGAATTTTCATCGTGCGGTCAAGCAGTCGCCAGCCATACACTGACTGCTCGAGCTGTCGACAGCTCTCGCGCAGTTACCTCCGCCCACTTTCTTCATTCCACGGCGCGCGCGCTTGAAATTTGTTGAGCAGTTAATGCCAACTGCTCGAGCAGTTATCACTGGCAGCTTCAAGTTGTTGACTCTTGACTACAAGAGCGGTCCGTGTATGTTGATCACTGACTAACTGCTCGTGCTGTCCATGTATTCAAAGTCAAAGTCAAAGTCAAAATTTCTTTATTTGTTTAGACTAATAAATAGTTCTTACAAATCGTCATTTTGCTCTTAAGGAGCCTACATGTCTCATAATCTTTTTACCCTACCAGCGCTTCGAGACCAACATTTGGCAAGTGCTGAGAAGAAGCGCCGCAACAAACTCAGTCACCCTCACCACTGTCTGCCGGTTAATATAAATAAATAGAAAAAGCAGTAGTAGGTACATTTGATTCAGGAGCAGTTCACTGAATTTACCACGCATTCTTGTATGGTGTATCTTATAAGAATGGGTATACAAAATTGCCGGCCTAACATCGATGTCTCCTCGCAGACATGGGCAGCAGCGGCGGCCCCGGCTCCGGCGGCGGCGGCGGCAGCGGCGGCAGCGTCACGCCCACGCCGAGCGGGGCTGACTACAGCGCGCAGTGGGCCGAGTACTACCGCAGCATCGGCAAGCTCAAGGAGGCCGAGGCTATCGAGGCGCAGATGAAGATGAAGGTTGGTACACAAAACAGGTCACCCCGTTCACAGGTTGCTACAGATGTAGCCCTGGGTTACACACCCACACATGTTGCCCTGGGTTATCCATCCACAGAAGTTGCCCTGGGTTACCCAGCAATAGATGGTGCCCTGGGTTACCCATCCACAGATGTTGCCCTGGGTTACCCACCTACATATGTTGCCCTGGGTGACCCACCCATAAGTGCAACAGATGCCGTGACGATCAGCTGTCCTACAAGAGACAAAACAGCGTCCTACGGCTTTTAAATAGGACAGCTTTTGACCAAAGCAGCGCGCTGGATTTGAAGATACAAAGGTTAGTCACTTAACCGAACCTAGTTTTTTACTACCACTAACCATTTTTCAGGATCTTTAAAAGCTATTTATAATTTATTTATAGTGTAACTAATACGATCTATCTGTAGATATCACCATCGACAGGTTTTGAGATCACTAACAATTTTTAGTAGCTATTATTGTGTGAAACTAATACGATTTTTGTATCTGTCACTAAGATCAGACACTTAACCTGAGTTTTGAACCTAGGGTGATACTGCCACTAATCATTTTTCAGGAGCTATAAAGCAGATTTTAGTAAATCTATCTCTCAACTTTAGATATTAGGTATTTGCATCAACACGAAGACCAAACACTTAACCTGAGTTCTGAACCTAGGATTTTTCTGCCAATATAACCATTTTTCGCCATTTCAGGAGATATAATGCTGGTTATAGTCAAATATACATATAAGATGAATCACTATAGGTGTCATCGAAATCCAATTTCTCAGATGCCAAAAATGAAATGAGAATTTTAGTGTAATGTGTAATACCCAAAGAAAGCGTGTATGATTATTGCTGTGTCGAAGCCTACATAAATATTGGTATAGTAACCGAAGAAAGTGTGTGAAATATACGCCGAGAAGGTCAAAAGCCCGACTGACCTTAATAATATGCCGCCTTTAGTACATGTTGTGTCGTCTACCGCTGTTAGGGTGTAATCGAGAGTCCCTGATAGGCTAAATAGGTTATTGTAAAGGTCAAGTACCACTGCTTTAGGAGCTATAATTCTCCACAGGGCATGACTGTGCTGCCTTTTATTAGTTTACTAGCTTTCCGCCCGCGGCTTCGCCCGCGTGGAATTTTGTCTGTCACAGAAAAACTTTATCGCGCGCGTCCCTGTTTCAAAAACCGGGATAAAAACTATCCTATGTTCTTTCCCGGGACTCAAACTATCTCTATGCCAAATTTCATCAAAATCGGTTGCGAGGTTTAAGCGGGAAAGCGTAACAGACAGACAGACAGACAGACAGACAGACAGACAGACAGAGTTACTTTCGCATTTATAATATTAGTTGGGATGTGTCGTCTACTGCTGTTAGGGTGTAATCTGTTGATAAGTCATATGATTATTATAATTGAATAGATAGGGGTAAGATAAAGGACAGATACCGCTGCTTTAGGAGCTCAATGCTCCACAGGGCTTCAACTTGTGCCGCCTTTTGTTCATATGCCGTCTACCGCTGTTAATATTATAATCAGTATCCCTGTAAATTCCATAAGGGTGTAAAATTGAAGGTCAGATACCGCTGCTTTAGGAGATAAATGCTCTACAGGGCTTCACCTTGTGCCGCCTTTTGTTCATATGCCGTCTACCGCTGTTAATATAATCAATATCCCTGATAGGCCATAAGGGTGTAAGATTGAAGGTCAGATACCGCTGTTTTAGGAGCTAAATTGCTCATAGCGTTACATTGTGCCGTCTACTGCTATTAGAGTGTAATCAGTATCCCTGATAAGCCATAAGGGTGTAAGATTGAAGGTCAGATACGGTGATACCGCTGATTAGGAGCTAAATGCTCCCCATAGCGTTACATTGTGCCGTCTACCGCTGTTAATATAATCAGTATCCCTGATAGGCCATAAGGGTGTAAGATGAAGGTCAGATACCGCTGCTTTAGGAGATAAATGCTCCACAGGGCTTCACCTTGTGCCGCCTTTTGTTCATATGCCGTCTACCGCTGTTAATATAATCAATATCCCTGATAGGCCATAAGGGTGTAAGATTGAAGGTCAGATACCGCTGGTTTAGGAGCCAAATGCTGCCTATACCGTTACATTGTGCCGTCTACTGCTATTAGAGTGTAATCAGTATCCCTGATAGGCCATAAGGGTGTAAGATTGAAGGTCAGATACCGCTGCTTTAGGAGCTAAATGCTCCACAGGGCTTGGTGGACTACGCGTGGGACGACGACGGCGCCGGCGGCGGCGAGGCCGGCGACGAGCAGATGAAGACGAAGGTCAGTCTTAGGACCAGGGTTCTGTATTAGGGCACCCCTAAGAGGGTCAATAGCGATTGTACAAAGCGTTTCTTACCCGTTTGCTCATTCGCGTTCCATTTACGTTTCACACATGTATCCATAGCTATTGCACGAAGCTGATAGATATGAAATAGATCGAATTTAACTCGCTTGTTCTTTCGCGTTTCGTTTATACTTCGAATAAAAAAATACGAGAATTTTAGTGCGAGTGAGAGAAATTGCAGTTGAACTCATCATGGCTGCGCGCTTCAATTTGTTAATCGAATGACAAAAGTTACGAAAATAAAACGAGATTTTATGAGTGTTTAGACAAACGAAATCGCAAGAGAAGTTACAATGAAAATTGATGGGTGGGTCAAGGTCAAGGGCAAAAGTTTCCCTGATTGTTCATACAAGATTGAGAAGGTTAGAAAGCTGCTTTAGAAGCTATAACACACAGGGCACCGACTACACGCAGTGGGCGCAGCTGTTCCGAACCCTCGGCATGTTCAGTGAGGCTGACGCCATAGAGCAGAAGATGAAGACGAAGGTCAGTCATTGAGACTTCTTCGTGATAAGCTATTTTCGTGGGTAATATCAGACCAATAAGGTCGAAATTGGCTCGCGTTTTTAATGAAATAAAGTCAGAGTTGCATTTAAATGAGAGTCGCGGCATCCAAATTTTTTTCCACCGCGGTGAGTCGAGCTCAAGCTATTTTATAATTACATCCAATGACAAGAAGGTTGAATGTGACTCGTTTTTTTCACGTCTATGTTGAATAAAATCCAATCGAAATCGAGTTGCATTTGAATAAAAAAAGAGGCGCGGTATCTAAATTTTGCTTCACCGCGGTGAGTCAGAGATCAATTTACATTGGCCAATTCATACGGGGGGAGAGAAATCAGCTTAGGTCGTAGGTACACTTGGAATTGGTTAGAATACCGCTGCTTTAGGAGGTCATGATACACAGGACGCAGACTACAGCGCGCAGTGGGTCGACTACTACCGCACCATCGGCAAGTTCAAGGAGGCCGAGGCGGTTGAGGCGCAAATGAGGATGAAGGTCAGTCGAAGGGCATAGACGATGTGCAAATTGAACGAAAACACTTTATGTTGAGGGTAGAAAAGTCCTTTTTTCAATGTCCGTATGTAGGCTTTCAAAATAGAGTACGATTCTGTTAGATAATGCCGTTATGTGCATCCGAATTGGCGATCCTGGGTTCAAAATTGTTTATCTGTTAAAATGTAAAATTCAGGTATGGGTATCGAAATTATTCATCATTTTACAACGTCATCATTAATTCCATCTCCTTTAAAGATAATGTATGGTATGCATAAATTCCCAAAAAGTAAGTGATTTAGACCTTCCACCGTTCACGGCTGTAGAGCCAAACAAAATTAAAGGTCCCCACAGGTGGGAAGTTTAGTGTTAAACTATGTAACTGGCTAACACGTCTTTAAAGTGCTCTGTTGATTGTTTAAATGTTTTTTCTTTTTTTTTTCAGAAAGAAAAGATTACTATTATTTTGCTGAACACTGTTTTTGGTTATTTAATTTTTTTTACTGTGCTGCGCGAATTTTGTGTTCGCTTATTACCTTATTGTTTTTAGTTTGATTTTAAAATGGCCGTATCTTTTGATTGCATTGATGTGATGTTACACGAATATGTCTACTAGATACCTTAACCTGTGCTCGGGATTAAGGGTCTAGTCTGATCTGACAACCAACCCTACAAGGATTAAGGGCTGGTTCAGATAGTGATAATCACGCGGTTGCTGGACTTTCTCGTACATTTGAATCACATCGTAAGAACTTGTCTGGATCACGGTTTTTTACTCGCGCGATCGTGGGGTAACTAGAGATTCAATGGCAAACGTGCGACTGCATATAGACAGAGTGTATGAATGAACCTATAGTTTCTCAGGATCGCGTGTATCAAATCGCGCGGTATTGAGATACTAGCGGTTCATACATTCTGTCCAAATTGCAGTAGTAGTATTATTATTAAATTGCGTTTTACCAATGATTTTCCAATGAAAGCTTTTTCATAGGCAAAACGCGCGACTGCACGTGGACAGAATATATGAACCTCTAGTTTCTCAAGATCGCGCGATTAGAAACGCGTCATCTGGGCAAGCTCTAACCGCCAGATTAGCGATTCTTCTCAGCACTTGCCAAATGTTGGTCTCGAAGCGCTGGTAGGGTAAAAAGATTAAGACATGTAGAGGCTCCTTAAGAGCAAAATATTTGACGATTTGTAAGTACTGTATTAGTCTATACAAATAAACTTTGTGCGCTCGCACACTCACTGCGGGCGCCCGTCGCACAGTCGCGACAGCAACATAATTACGCGCGAGCGATAGGGATGGGTAGCTTGGGGTCACTGGACGGGATTCTACGTGCTCATGGACTAGGCTTTACCTCAATAGCTCGCCAACAATCCGCAGTTATCACTTCTGAACCAGGCCTAAACAAACCACCTTAATCCCCAATATTCACATATACACCTGCTCCTCTAGCAAAGTCAGCAAGCGAGTCCAGCGCCGCCCGCGCCGCCTGCGACGGCGTCAACCAGCGCGGCGGCCATGATGTCGGGACAGTACCAGCAGTACCCGATGTATGCGGGCGGCGTGTACCCGGGGTACAACTATCCATATGCAGGCGGAGTCGCCCAAGGCCAGGACCACCAGCAATGGTGAGTGGCGTGTTTGATAAGGTGGAAGCTGAACTTTGGCTCAAATCTTTGACTGCTGAGACACAATAGATACAATAGAAGTTTTCTTTGAGGCCCATAGCGTCCAATGTGTAGCCTAAGGCTGCGTTTACTTTTCTTGCGATTCTATTGGTTCTTTATAACACATCCCTCGCTACGCATCCTCGCACGTCTCTGGTGGAAACGCAGCCTAAAGCTGTGTTGTACCATCTTACTTTGACAAACGTCAAAAATCTGTCAAACCATAATACTACCGTTAAATTACCGTTAAAGTTAGGTGCTGCAACTCAGCCTAAGAATCAATTTGTGTATATTTCTTGAAAGGAATATAATTATTCCGTAACCGAAAATTACAAAAAGTACTCAAAAATCATACATAACATTACTTAAATCTTTAAATTCTGTAATCCAAAGTTCAGCTTCCACGAAACTAGTTATGGGATGAGTTAGGTTCTTAGAACGGATGAAGTAGGCAACTAAAGCCAGTTTACATGCAATACTACATTAAATACTATCATTTTAGCCACTGCAAGTATTTATTATTCAGCTATTTATGCCGACCTGAAGCATTTGACGTCATTTAATTTTATATCCTTCCATTTAAACTGGTACTTTTTTATAAAAATGCTTATAATATTAAACAGTTCCGTTGTATAACATTACTTTTGTATTAAATAAGCGGCTATAAAATGCTACCCAGACAAACGTTACTTCGACATTACGTGACTCCGACACTACTGAATATCGACATGACTTCGACACTACACTACTCAGACAAACAACATTTGCCTTTGTCTAAGTCATTGGTTCCCAAACTTATTTGAGACGCGCCCCCTTTCGACCATACAAAAAATTCCGCTGCACCCCTCCTCCAGTCAAGATTATTTATTGGTTGTATCGAGCAGTCTAGAATGCATTCTCAGCGGTCGCAGGTTTCTTATAGATGGCCCGCGCTCCCCTTGAAAGGTCTTTGCGCCCCCACTTCGGGAAACAATGGTCTAAGTAGTGTAGTGTCGAAGTATATTCATTTCGATATTCATTAGTGTCGGTGTAACGTAATGTCGAAGTAACATTTGTCGGAGTAGCATTTTATAGCCAATCTGTGTCAATGTGGTGTATTTGTTTACTCCAATTTTGATTAAACTAACCATAGACTAACCATTAATATTATGTATGCTGAATCCGTTTAGAGTGATTCGACCTAAAATTAAAACAAAAGAAAATAACAATAACATTTTCAGTGACGTTAAATATTTCTTGGTCTCCAATTGTTACAAAATGAAATCTATGGCTTGATTCTATGTTTAGTAAAATATGCATGTGTGCTTCCAACCCTTATTATTATATCTTGGGAATACGGTGTAATACATTGTCATAACATTGTATTTAGATCCTGTGTTTTTATTTCAGGCGCTTATAATGTATTTAATGTCTATTTTGGTGCATGTGTTAATACGGAGTTCTCTTTCAGTTTGCATGTTCGAATATTATTTGAACATATAAATATGCCCAACTGTAGTAATAATCTATGCTGTAGTTTTGTAATATGTGTAGTAGATATTCTTTGATTGACTTTTACATGTGTAGATTGTGACTCGATATTATTTTAAGGTATCAGAGTTAACATATCCCTTTGTGGATAATTATTAACTTTGTATCACGATTATTTATAAGCTGCTCTTTATTTCTTGCTCTTGGTTACTTATTTCGTTATACTTACAAAATGCATTCATGATTACCTTTTATTTTTGGTTATACATTAGTACGTCACATCTACAGCGTGTAATTATATGTTTTATTATGTATAATATTGACACTGCTATGTCACACATGTTTTACCATTGTTTAGTGTGTGTAGTGTTGCAGATGTAGGCCGTGCCGGGGTTGCCTGCTATCGACACATACAATACCACGTATATATTCGCAATGTTGCCATGTCCGTTTGTTCTGATTGCAGAAACCCGGAGGACGAGCCCCCAGCGAGGCCCGAGGACGATTGTAGCGTCGCATAACAACATGGCGGCCCTTTCACACACCCACAATAAATAACCTAAAAAGTTGCACTAGTTAGCGTGTTTTCACTGACGATTGGTGACGTATAGACCTACATTATGGTATCACAATTTTATAGGTGCAACTCTAGGTTGAACTTCTAAGAAAGTGAGATCCACATGTGGCTATATACGTCGCCAGTCACCAGTTTTAAACGCGAGTAATCTGCTGTTAATGAATTTTAATCATGGCACCAGTTACTTTTTTAGCAATTAATATAATTAACCTTAATGTACAGATACACATAGAAGCTTATTTCTTGTGGGTCGCTGACACTAGTTATTTATATATGAGATTATATCTCGAACGGACATTACGCAAAATTTCACGGCTCTGTGGTGTATTTTAGATTATAATTGCCTTTATATTTTATGTGATTCGTGCGAGTAATTTGACTTTATTATTATGCTATTTGATTGTGCCAATACTGATGTTGAAATGCCAGTCTGTCCAGGTGTAAAGTAAAAGCCACACTGCCTTTAAAGATGTAACGAATTCGGCGTACCACGGAGCTGTAGACAATGAAAGCATTGTGAACCACTGACAACCTTCGCCCCGAGGAGCCGAGGTAACGAGTGACACTCACACTTCACATAATATGTAATCTCCTAAACACATAGGAATATCTGGTTTTTACTTTTACTCTTTCGATACATCTTGATAAGTATTAGTGTAGTAGTAATTTGGCTTAAGATTAAAAACGATATATTCCAATTTGGATTTTCTTAATATTAATAACGCGTAGGATACTAAGGTAGGGTGTAAATCGATGAAACTTTCGCCGCTGGGGTCAGCTCACTAGGTAGTAAGCGTCAGTTTACATAGTATATGTATTTTTCATTCAGACTAGAATTCATAATTGATATTAAATGTAAAATAATCGCTAAACCAAGGTAATGTAAGTGGATCTTCATTCCTAGAGCATTGTCTGCTGTCGCCCGACAGCGCCGCGGTGTGCGCTGGTCTTGTACTAATTTTTAAGATATAAAGTGTATGTTAATTGACTGTGTTCATTTTATTTATAATAATGCTTTCTCTCCACAGTCCCCGAAGGTGAGTAATCCTATGATAACTGTCGTATACACTCTCCTGTGCTGTCATGTTGATTTATTTAGTGTTGAACCACTACACATCATACTTTGTGTACACACAACCGTGTTGTGTATACTGTTTTTACATTTGAACGAATGTTCCGATTCATACTTGACTTTTTTATGATCTGAATTTGGGTAGAGATTTCAATCGTGAACTGAATTTATGTGGCTTTGTGTGATATTTGCATTTTTATCATGTGCCTTTCACAGCTACTAGTTAGCGGGCAAGAGCGCTCGGTCTGAATCCCACAGCCCGAGCGGACACCGCCACTGCAATGCCCTCGCCCGGACCGTTACTGTATGACCAATTTTCTACCACATTCTTGTCTCTATGGCTATGTATTTCTGTTTTGATTTTGATATGAACTGTATTGCATTGCAATGTCTTCGTATATCATGTTGTGATTCATCTCTGCCCTGTTTGTTGTCGGTCTGTTAAAGGTGGGAGACCAAAATACGTAATAGTAATCGAAAAGTAAGAGAGTTAACGCTTGGAATGCCTTTGGAGGAGAACGGGACCCTCTGTGGCGAATGGTAAACGTATAACGACTGCATTTGGGTAAGTTCTGAAAGAATATAGTAGAATTTTCAATGGTTAATAAAATGAAATGTTTTTTTTTTACACAAATCTGCTAACAAGAGATCATAAAATGGGGAAATTTGAGGTCTATGCTGTTTTATCAGGGTGAATACGAATAACTAACACACTTTTATATCAGTGATCTAACAAAACACAATAAAAATAAGTTACTTGTGAACACTTTTTCATATTTTTATGTTAGGATCATTGCAGTATACTTCACTAACATTATTTATCAAAATCGAGTTTGATGCTAGTTTATACTGATGGTTTTTGAGGTCATCATTGATCATGGAAATTATTAAAAAAAAAAACAAAATATTATGTAATAAAACTTTCATTCGTAGGGTAACACTAAAACTCGTCTATCATAAAAAATATTTATTCCCAAATTTCGTACAACAAACTCTCAAAACACATGAATACATCAAATAAATAATTATGTTACATAGACGTGCTAGTGAAACTTTAAATAAATTAATTAGTAATATCATTATCTACGTCGCTTAGTCATTTAGATAATTTGGTACTTGACACCGTCCACAAATACCATAATTTTATTATACTTGAAAAGATATCATCAAAAGGAAACTAATTATTTACATAAATGGCAACACTTACCTTGACTTCGAGAACCTATTGCATTTAAATTTAAAGTCTGCAAATAAAATATGATAAAAAAAATATAATATCGGTTTTTGGTGGTGTCAAATACCCGTCGTCATAGAATGAATCTATAGAGGCAAATATATTTATTTAAAATAATCTAGCAATTTGATTACATTTTACGTGTTTCGTAGTCCGATTTTTACTATTTTTCTGTTTTATTTTTGTTTTTTATTGATTTGATGCACCGTATGACTATTTTAAGATTTCGCCCAATTCTGATTCGAGATTTTCAAGAGCAAACGCTGGATTTATTTAAATTTTTCGTCTTAGAAAGTCCACATTGGCATTTGAAAAACTTGAATTGAAATCGAAAATTGAAAAGTTATTCGGCGCATCACTGTTTTATTTTTTACAATGTGTGTGTTACCATTTACTTGCATAACTTTTTAATAGTTTTCAATATTAATTTTTTATGTTTTTTTTATTATTATTTACTGATATATTTGCCCAAATTGATAAATTACTTATTTATTACTTACTGTGTGATGTTGATGATGTAATAATTGTCTATGATATTTATTTCTTGCACTATTACCGTCACTTCATTTTCACAGTTGGACGTATCGCCGGACGAAATAAACTATTTGCATGTAATGGGCTTGTTTTATTTCATTGTAGATCCTACTTTTTAATATAACTTACATTTTACTTGTAACTCAATACTTACGACTAGACCTCAAATGCACGGATACAAAAATTGTTAAACGTACAACTTACACTTAATTACATATACGCTTATTTTAATGCTAAATAAATATTTAAATTAAAACAATCGCAAAATTTTAATTGTAATCAACGTCTTTCATAAACTCGTAAATTAAACCTACATAAGAGGACGTAGGTAGATAAGTTACGTAATTTATTTCTAAAAAGATTAAACAGTTTAATAAACAAAGTTAGAAAACAAATCATTAGCTAAAACGAAGACAGTTTATTTTATATTTTACTTGATGCTGTGGCAGGAATAACTTTAGATTTTGGTACTTAGCATGTTGATAGAATTTAATATTTTGATATTTTATACTTTCCGTCCTTACTTACTTCTAGAAATTGTAAGAAAAACACGAAACAGCTCAATTTTAATAGGTACAGTTCACATTCACAGTTGGTAGAAGACACACATCAGAATATCGTTATTACAGCCAAGAGTTTAGAATGTTTGTAGGTAAATAGGGTCCCAATTTAATTTATTTACTTAGATTACAAAACTTTCTTATCCTAATGATGATTTATCATCCATAACTTATTTACTCTTCTCGATTACCTACAACATTTACAACTTCTTTGAATGGTTAACAATTCGCGCTCATTTTACATCAATCAAGTCAATTTGAAATTCTGTCCTAACCTAACCGCCTTTGATCCCAATAAGTTTAATTGAACAGCAAGACAGAATAAGTACTAATTCAATGTAGATTTAAATGATTGGTTAATTGCCCTTCATTTACGTAGCTTTGTCTAACTCGAAGTTAGAACTTTATTTTGGAGTTTCGAATCTAGACTTTATGCTCATTGAAGTCTTCATCATTGGGTGCTTAGTATAAAATCCTGGTTACCTAATACCTCTGTGGAGACTCATTGGAGGAGCGGGAGGCGAGGGACGCAGTGGAGGCGCTCGAAGACCGTATTAGCCTAGAGAGCCTGGACAACGGCGCGGTCGCCCAGGGCTCCAAAGGACTCGTGGCTTCAGGAACTGGAGACACTCTGTTGGCAGTTGGTTTGTATTGAAGTAAGTATACACAATAGACCATCTGGTCAGAAGGAGCGGGGAGATTTGCAACTATGCTAAAGGTTCCAGTGCAGCAGTGTGCATACAGATATTTTAAATCCGCAGCAACCATAGACACCGCCATAGAGTATGATCGTAGTTCATTTGTTTTACCGAAGTTCATAACTATTTGGTTTTTATTTTTTGGCCAAATTCAAGAAATGTCAGTCCTCTTGGTCACGCGTACCTATAATTTAATTTGGTTAGGGTTTTACGGCCAAGGGAAGCTGTAGGTACCCTTAAAATTTATTTTCCACTGTACCATCAAGGGAACGGTGAGGATAGCTACATACCGGTTTCGTCTCGTTCTTGCAGTCTTCGGTCGCGTCTTCCTCGAATGCTTCGGCGGAGGCGCAGGGGCTCCGCTTTCTGCTTCAGCTCCATTCCCAGGGCCTAGAATTCAAAATGTTAGTTCTGCTACCTAACATAGATCATAAGTTAGACGAGTAGTAGTACCTATGCGTTACCGCAGCGGCATGGTGACATTCTTCATTTACCTTACTATTTATCCATTGGGATAAAAACTAGTTTTATTTTGGAAAAATCTTAGGGGAAATTAACCTGCTATAAACATTGAGTGCTCCACTTGGGGTCCGCCTGTGGCGTGCTGGATGCAGAGTGGCCGCGCTGCCCTGATCCTCGCTGCATCGTCTCGCCGACCACCTATCGCTCTGTACAGAAAAATATGGGTTATTTATGTTGAGTAGCTAGATGATATTAATTAGAAACGTCCTTTAAAAGTCTGCTAACTCCAGAAAATTAAAAAAATACTTCTAAGAAGGCATTGTCCAGCAGGTCGATAAAAAAATTATTCTGAGAATTGAACCCTAATTCTATTTCAAAGTCTGCATGCTACTATGTGCTCTCGACTCGAGTCATCATGAGTAATGGTAGGTTACGTATTAGGTAGAGTAGGTAGGTACACTTACGAGCTATTTCCCGAACTTGGCTGATCCTCAATAGGGGCGTCGCTTTCCATCGCGCTGCTTTCTGATGCCACCAAATACATGGACCTGCACAACATAGTGTCAAACATTTAATGAAACCTACTGAATTATGTTTCTATTGTGTAAGTAATCAATGGATTACACAACACATGGTAAACGGTAGCAACTTATTACGTTGTAACAGGTGCTATTTTCCAACAATACTGTGTAGTCAGTCTTTACCTTGCTGGCACGTAGAGGTGAGGCGGAGGGGGCGGGGCGCGACGAGACGCGGACCGAGCGCGGCGGGCGCGGGACGCGCGCCCCAGGAGCACTGATTCTGAATCGAAAAAAAAATCTTTAAGAAACGTCATTCAGGTACGTAAAGGGTTTTGAAGGGATCTTCTTGCCGCCAGACGAGCGGCCTACTAACTAAAACCTGATGACGGTGTCCTTCAAGTCTATTGAGATGGAACACTTACGAGTTTTTGACCGGGCTAGAGGGCCTTGACATTCTTTCGCCAACCAAGGCGCCCAGCCCAGCTACAGTTTGAGCTTAACCTAGAGCTAATCTGTCTTTAAGTCTAACTACTATTGTTTGCAAATACATAATACAGGTGTACTTTTGAACAGCTAACCATAAGTAGGTAGGAAATTACAAGAAAAATTAAAATAATTATTTAACTACATTTTGATCTTAGCCAAAAGGCCGGGAAGCTTACATAATGAGGATCATTTCGATTTTTAGCTGTGAATGCAGATTTATAGGGCTAAGAAATCCTTAATATACAGTGCAAAAATTTTTGTTCTACGACAAAAATTGACGAAGTTATGGCCAAATTACTAAAAAAGTTCACTGACCGCCCGGCGCGGGGACGATGACGTCATTATATCCGATCCGAACGCTGCCGGCGTACTGCGTGGATAGAAAATATTTTTTTCTAGCCAAATTATCAGTTTTAGAGAAAAACTTGTAATGACATTTATTCATCAGAATAAAGTAAGCTATCGATAGGTAATTTTTATGAGCCAAATTTGAAGTGTTAATGCACAGTAGTTTTTGAATGATGAGGAGTCAAAAGTGGCTCTAATTGGTTCGTCTAAATATACGCACGGTGCAGTCCCCTCCCTGGAACTAGGCTTAACATGCTCCAGCATATCTATAGTGTTTGCTCAATGTTGATATAGTCGATTTTCTCCTGAAAAGAACATGTAAGACAAAAATAAAATTTCCAATTTTACAGACCTTCTAGAGCAGATGCCTCAAAAACTATACAAGATATAGAAAAACTTGACGGTCTCACCTGTAGCAAATTGAATAAGCTTTTTTTGGTTCATAGTAGTCATGTCACTAGGACGAATAGTTTCAGAGGAAGCGAAAAACCGAAAAGTGGTACCTTTAAACCCCCCTCTCTCCGCCGACTCAAGGGCTAAGGGCGGGGACTTTTGCTATGTTCACCACCTAACTAGGCTAAATAAAGTCCCGAGGTCAGAAATTGTGTTCCACGGATTTCTCTCTACACCGTCGTTAAGGCATTCATTGACTGGACTAAAGGTATAACTTCTAACAATATGACATTGCTATGAAAATCATTTCGATGTACACTTAATAATACCTACCTGTTATTTAGTTTTTCTGAGTTAAACCTACGCACCTACCTATCTATTCGCCGTTCGCATGGGCGGGCCAGCTGCTGCAGGAAGGACAGCCGCTCCGTGCTGGAAATCTATTTAATCTTAGCCTAGAAGCTGGGTATGACTTGACCCCCCCCCTCTCCCCAAGCCAGAAGCTGGGTAAGGCTAGCCCCTTCCCCCAGTCCATAAGCATAAGCTAGGTATGACTCCCCCTCGGCCGGAAGCTGGGTAAGGCTTGCCCCTCCCACCAGGCTATAAGCTGGGTATGACTTATCCCCCCCCCCAGGCCAGAAACTGGGTATTAGCATCATATTAAGTATTATTATGTTCAATACAAACAATCATTAATTACACTCACCCCAACCGCGTCTCCGCATTGCATCGAATCCTATGAAAATGTGGTTTTTGGACATAGCAATACTTATTTTTCACAATTTTTATTTTTAAAAATTACTGGTCGATAGGTTACTTTATTTTGAAGAATAAATGTTATTAAAAGTTTTTTTCTTAAACTGATAGTTTAGCCGGAAAAAAAAAAATTCCATCCCATTAGTACGCCGGCTGCGCTCGATTCGGATATAATGACGTCACGCGGCCTTGCGTACGTTGACTTTTAGCGGCAAAAACGGCCTATGTTTATTACTTAATATCTTCGTAAGTAATGGTCCGATTTGGATAATTCAAAAAGATATATCTTTCTTATGTCTTAAAGATTAACGTAGATACTAGTTTTATTGAATTTTCTACAACAGTACTGATCCTCATTAGTACCTATAAAGCCTTGTTCAAACATATCCTAAAACTTTCGAGACGCGGCGCGCCTGTTAGCGCCCCCCCCACCCCCGCATACCCCGCTACACTACTAAGGTCACAATGTGACTGAGTACATGCAGCCGCCGCCGCGCCGGCCGCCCCGCCCGGGCGCCCGAGAGAGCGGGGGGAATGACCGATAGCTCGCCCGCGTATAATACCATTTTCAACCGACTTCAAAAAAGGAGGAGGTTCTCAATTCGACCCGTATGTTTTTTTTTTTTTTCTTTGTTTGTTACGCGATAACTCCGCCAATTATGAACCGATTTGAACAAATCTTTTTTCGGCGTATAGGTAATACCTCAAGGGTGGTCCCATTTAAATTTAATAATAAAAAAAACAACCCCCAAGGGTGGAAAATTGGGGATGAACTTTTTTATACGCAATATCTCCGCCGATTATAAACCAATTTGAACGATTATTTTTTTGTTGAATAGGTATTATCAAAAGGGTGGTTTCATGCGAATTTGAAGAAAATATTTCACCCCCAAGGGTGGAAAATTGGGGATGAACTTTTTTATACGCAATATCTCCGCCGATTATGAACCAATTTTTTTTGGTCTCAGTGTACTGCCTACCTTCAGTGGTAACATCAAGGTAATAATTAGTTATAATTAGTTAACTAAAAAGCAAGAAATAAGTAAAATTTTATAAAAAAAAATAAAACCGACAGTGCAGGCAAACTTTACATGTTTCATAATCTTGGCATCGACTCCAGAAGTATCAATCATGGTATACCTACATAAATATTAATAATTCGTCCTAATAAATAAGTAGGTAATTAGTAATTATTTTTCTACGTTTTAGTGTAGGTTTTTTGGAGTCGGTTTTATTTTTTTTTATAAAATTTTATTCCATGAAAATTTAAGGCTTTTTTGGCATCATCAGTGACGTAGGTACACAACTGAGATGAGTGTTGTTTTACAAAACCACAACCTGTATAATTTTATCTAACTGGATCAGTTGGGCAATTTTTCGAACGACCTTAATACCTAACCTGATATTATTAGGTTCATTGATACTTGATAGATAAAATACCACCACAATAACTACTAAGTAAGTATTAAGGCAAGGGAACAGTATAGTCGTCAAAGGTCGTTAACAGAAAGGGCCTACTTAAGTATTCTTCGGCAGTTTACACGTCCGGTCCCAGCGAATGAATGAGGTCTGAGGTCCTGTCGCTTCAGGTTCCGTGCCAGTAGGTATACTTGTACCTAGGGTTAACTACTAATAACTATGTAGGTAGGTACAGAAAAGCCTTTTATAGGATCGCTTATTTACCCACAGGCCCACAGTTTACAAGTCCTAGCGGATGAACGACCTTTCTACCTGATATGGGGTCGCTGTCGCCAGCAGCCGCTGTCGCCAGCAGCCGCTCCCGGTGCCAGTAGGTATTGTATCTATTTAACTACTAAGTAAGTAGAGAACAGCCAGCAAGGATCTATTTTTTTTACTCCCTCCCGTTAGGCCTTCGTAATAAGCTACTTAAATATGCTTGTGTCACGACGCACGAGTAACCTCACTCACCACAATAGTCAGCGGCGGCGGCGGCGAACCCACGAGTCGGCCAGAGCCCTGATTACGCTAATTTTTAACGTCTCCAATACAGACGCGCTTCTTTTTTCGATTCTGCGATACGGATTGGTCAAAACAGCGTCAGCATTAGCGTAATCGGGGCACTGTTCGACCCCTTCACCGTTCGGCTATCGTAGCTTCATATTGAAGTATTCTTTGGTAGTCCACTTATTTTTGGGCGAAAGACTTTTTCTACCTGATATGGGGTCGCTGTCGCTGAGGTCTTGCCGCTCCCGGCGCCAGCCCGAGTCGGCGGTGGGCGCGTCGGCGGCCACTCCGAAGAGACCCGACACTGCGCCCGCCACCATTTTGCGGGCTGACTTCGCTGCGGTCTGGGAAAACAAAAGAACGTCTTAGGTAGCTACTAGGACTAACGCTCGTATTCACAAACGATGCTTGCAAATTGAACGCACAGCGTTGAATAGAGCTCTGTGATTGGTTCGTGTATCACCCTGTATTTCCACGCGCGCGCACCGTGAGACCTCATAGTAATGTTTGTCAATACGGGCGTAGGTAAGTTATTTTATTTCAAAATACTTAACTGGTCTTCCCCGCCCGACTCGACTTGTCCGCAATTTCATTGAAATCCCTGATGCTGGGGTTTACTTATGAGTATTTATCTTATTTTAGTCATCGAACAGGTTAACTGGGTACCTACTTGCAGTTAGGGTCTACACTACAAGAAACACTATTGATATTGAGGAACTTGAAAAAGATGATAAAATAAAAGACCATCTACAGACTATAGCACATCACACTTATACTCGTACCTTTTTTTTTGTAGTAAATTCACCCGTGAAAAACTACATTACGGTGTTTACCTTGCCTGGATGCGAGCGGCGCGGCAAGACCGGTCTTTGTGGAAATCCTTGGGGGAGGCATTTGTCCAGCAGTGGACGTCTTTCGGTTGAAACGAACGAACGTTTACCTTGACCGTGACCGTGCGTGATGTCGTCGCGTCTGTACATTTCAGAGGGCTTAGTGTGAGTTTACATCAAACGTCGTCACTAGCGAGCGCGTTAAAAATATAATATGAAGATTTTAGTTCTTGAAAGTTTCCGCTAGTGGCGCTGTATAATCCGTCATACATTTAATGTGACTTTTTTACGCAGTCGACATCGAATGCACTTGACGTAAACTCACACTACACCCCCTGGTGACATACCGTTAGAAATCAACTTTCTAACAGTAGGTTGCTAACTCGCTACTGCTACTTACAGTGATGCTGATGTCAATCTCAGGCACATGCCCAAGGTCCGCAGCCTTCTCGGCGAGGCTCCTCAACGCTGGATCAGTCGGCTCTGTGATAGCGGCCATCGTGACCAGCTCGAACAGGTAGTCCCTGAACACTTCCACTGGCGGCGCTACAAAGGTAAGTAAAACTAATGTAAAATAGGAATGGTCTTAGCTTTGTCACTTTGGTCTCTACTTAAAAATACTTATGTAGCTCAATAACGAATTAAGATTCTAAGAAACAAAAAGACCGGGGAATGTAGGGAAGAACAACACAAAACATGATGAAAGGCAAAACAAGATGCAGCTAAGGGTTACCAAACACTTCTAGATCAAAACGACCAAACATTTCACACACACAAAACGTTTTGTGAGTGTGTGAAGTGTTTGGTAACCCTAACCGTACAAGTACTACATACTTAACTAGCAGGCATAGCAAGCGCAATTAGTGCATAAATGAACAGGTTTCTGCGGCAGTAGGAGCTGCTCGAGAGATGTGACATAACGTAACAAAAACACACCGCTTCACCACCTCAGGGGGGCTACTCCGAAAAAAGTGATCCGAAGTTTCGAATGCTGCCACCCCTCTCACGCATAGCGAGATGCCAGCATGAGCGACGGTAACAGATAGACCCGAAACTACGGAAACAGTGTTTCGGAGTAGCCCCTCTGGAACCTATCTACACAGTTGTGCAAAAACAACCGTGAAACCATTCGTGAAACTCACGTGGGGGCTGCACTATAGGAATCGGTTGCACGTTCTGAGCCAATCCTTGGTTGATCCCTTGCATTTGGGCAGCTGGTGTCGATGGAGTCTTGTGCATAGTCAATCCTGACACGCCCAACATTTCACCGGGCGCTCCAGGAGTTTTGGCTGGCACAAAACCAGTTTGACCAGGTTGAGGTATCGCTACGCCTGGTGCTACAGGAGTTTTGACTGGCACGAAACCAGTTTGACCAGGTTGAGGTGTCGCTAAGCCTGGTGCTCCTGGAGTTTTGGCTGGCACGAACCCAGGAGTTTGACCAGGTTGGGGACTTGTTACTATTGGAGTCTTAGGAGCAGTAGGTGTTGAAATTCCTGACGTCTTCACTGTGGGTGTGTGAACGCCGAGTAGATTGGACGATGACGTCACTTGTGGCTGACCAGGAACGGTTAAAGGCTTGGAACCTTTGCCGTTGACGAGAAGATCTGGCGTTGGCTGCTTCTGATTTGGGTCTGAAACTGAAATTGTTGGTTATCTGTGAGTTCCAAGCGATTTCTGACTTCTTTTTGTTGTTGGAATCATACCTATTGTTCCAGTAGTGCTAAGTTCCAGCTCCGTAAAGGCCATGACGTTCAGGGCCGATGACAAGGCGGGTGCGACTCCCGTACCGACCTCAGTGGCCAGGCCTACGTCTCCCGACACCACACAGTCAGGCGGCGGCGCGGCACCGCGACGACTAGGTGGAAAAGAATGATGAAACAGTATTATAAGTTAATCCTACCTAGATGATGTAGGTACTCGTAGACTAATCTAGTCTTTAGAGATTTGCCGTGAGTGCTCTGAAAACTCAAAAACTGGTATAGGTACATCCATAGAAGTTAGAACAGCATCCTTGGTGGCGGATCCCATAACCAAGGTAAGGCCGCTGCCGCTGCGATGCAAGCTTCTTGCTTAGTGCAGAGACCGCCAGAATAAATTGTACAATGTGACATCTTTGAAATACCTACTTAGGTAGTAACTAAGTAAATACTTTTTTACTTTTTTTTACTTAGTTAACTCTTATTAAACTGTGGCAGCTAATGGGTCATACTGAACATTTATGTAATTTTTTGGAGGACTCTTGCTTAAATAGCTTCAAAATAGAGCTTACTTCAGGGGCGCCTTAGTGGGCGTGGAGATGGACACGCGGCCCCACATCAGCCGCCGCAGCTCCTCTCCGCTAATGCCGCGTCTCCGTAACTCCGCTATCGTCACTTTGCCAACGCGCTGGAAAACATTCCTCATTAACTACTATTTTTGTTTAGACCAGAAGTTCCTACCGTATGTGGACTGTCGCCCCTTTACTTACTTGAAAAATTGAGTGCCCCTTTTACATAGGTTAATGCGAGTTAGGCTCGGCCCGGTTTTCACCAAAGTGGAGAAGAGAGATGTGTTTAAATAGAATACCTAACCAATCAAATTTCCGAACCGAAGCAGTTTTTCAAACACCATCTTCTCTCCGCTTTAGTGGAAACCGGGCTTTATAGGAAAAAACGCTATGTGCATGGGCCCTTAGCTTCAAAGGCACCGCGAGCCGGTATCCGAGACATAGCAGGCTCTTTTGGCACGCGCCGCCCGAGCGCTTTTGTAAGCCGTGCGACGCCGGTCGCTTGTCGGCCTCTGTCAAGTTTAGTCAAAGGAACCGCGCGTATCCGCCGGCTAGCGGCTCGGCGTTTGTTTGACAATAAATTATTTAGAAACGGAGTCAAAAGACAGCCGCGCTTACATTATATTTGTAGAATGATCATGACTAAAATCAGTATACTATTTCCTACTTAATTACAACAAATTACTTAACCTTTAACCGACGACGTGATTTTTTTGTCACGCCGTCTGCGACGTGCGTTCTGTGGGACCGCTATACCGTTTACTCGTTTATTTTATATTTTTTGAGAACATTATATTACAAATAAAGATACGTATAATTTGTGAAGAATCAATGTATATTATTTATTTAAATATGGCTAAAACTTTTTTGACCCTTATTTTCATTGAAATTACACTAGAGTTCAATAATACCTATATAACTTGTAAATTTTAATCAAAAGAAGAAAAACTATACTCCTTCCTAAATTTAGTGAACGTAATGAATAAAATAAAAATAAATGACACGTACATTACATGCACAAAAAAAATTTTGACGTAGGGTAAACATTAGGCAAAATCAGGACATTTTTTTTACCGCATGTCAAGCATTTTCGGTATGCATAGGTAACACCTGTAAGATAATTTCGTTTTCAATTTAGGTGGACTAAAATGTGCGTCTTTTTTGCAGCTGGTGCAATGAAATCAGGCTGATTTGGCATATCAGAGCCTAGAATACAGGTCACTGTTTGCTTTACCACCCGTTTCGTGGTATTTTTTTACAGAATACCATCTTTTACAAAATTATATGTCCTAATATCAATATAACATTAGGAAATGTCTTTTCCTAGGTTTTGGTGGCCCAGGATCCATCATTTTTACGAAAAATGAGTCGTCTAAAACAAAAACGCAAGTCTTAGTATGGTACAAAAAAGTCACGTAGTCTGCGACGTGCGGTCCCACAGACCGCTGTTGAACTTTAAATCGAATTATCTTATTAAAACTGCCCTCATCAATGTAACCACTACCTGTAATGGCGTTTGGGCAACTAAACTCGAAGGTACTGAGATGCTCGGGACACGGGAGTAAGTAGAACATTGCAATCCAGAAATTTCAAAAACCGGAGCGGTCTGTGAGACCACACGTCGTCGGTTAAAGGTTAAATATTAATTTAGAAAATAACAACTCAGCTATAGCAAAAACCTTGCTACGGATAGCGCTATCAATCGGCAAATCTGGAAATCTTTGGGGGACGCCTATGTTCATCAGTGGACGTCATGCGGCTGAAATGATGATGATCTACTTTCCTTTCCGCTGCTTGGCCCGGGTCTTGGCCTTGGACTTGATGACCATGACGGCGCGCTGCTCGCAACTTCGAGCCCGATGGAGATAAGTACTCCTGGAGGAAACTCGAAATTCGGAGCCCGATAGAGATGTACTCCTGGAGGAAACTCGTATCTCGGAGCCTGATAGAGATGTACTCCTGGAGGAAACTCGTATCTCGGAGCCTGATAGAGATAAGTTCTCCTGGAGGAAACTCGTATCCAATGACATAAAAACATCTTAGCTCGTATCTCGGAGCCCGTTGGAGTTACTCCTGCAGGAAACGGTGTGCGTCCTTTTGGCCCACGAACCGTTGCCCTATGTGCAGCAGTGAAGTCCTGTGGCTGAAATGATGAGAAATCTACCTTCCAATTAGTAAGCGCGCCTTTCCGCTGCTTGGCCCGGGTTTTGGCCTTGGACTTGATGACCATGACGGCGCGCTGCTCATAGCGGGGGTCATCAGAAGGCCCAAGCCCGATGGAATACTCTTGCAGGAAGCGGTGCGCGTCCTCTTGGCCCACGGACCGTTCTAGGGAGACCACTATTTTCGCCCACTGGAAAATTGGGAATAAATTACTTCTTGAAAGGAGGTGCAACCACGAGGCGGTGTCGAAGCTTGAGGTGTTGTGATTGACTGTAACTTACAATCAAACACTTAAGTAATATCAAACATTTATAGCTGAGGACCGAGGACGACAGTTGACACTTTCAGTGGGACGTGGGGAACAATGACAAAATAACAGTTCCCGGGAAGACGCATGCCGTAAGTACTGTACCTACTTCGGGATAGATCTACGTTCAACAGTAGGTACAGTTAGCGTCAAATAGTTCGTGCCACCCAAACTCAGATCATTGATATGATCTGAGCACCCAAAAATAACCTCGGAGCTTCTGAACGCGTGTGGAAAACCAACACTGAAAGTCCTTCAGACTCTTTAACTCCAATTTACTCCAGGGAAGTGGTGGCTACTTTGGGTGTCACGAAGTATTTGACGCTAACTGTACTACAAGTGGCGAACATAATGCCGTACTTTACATACATACAAACAGCCAATTATTGGGCCAAACAGTAAAATACAAAAGGTATCCAATTTTCTCCAAATATCTACCTGCTTCACCCACTCCTTCTCCGACTGCTCTATGACGTGCGCGTACGTGTTGCCCATCATGGCGATCAACATGTTGAGCAGTAGGATGGGCACGAACACCATGAACACCGCGAACACCGTCTTCGTCAGGTTCGGGTATGTGGTCTGGCCCAGCTCCGTGTACTGTAGGAGAGTTTATTTTAAAGAATAGTCCCGAAATGCTTGTGTTACATGGGATTACCACAATAGTAGAGCTGTCGATGTAGAGTCGACCCCCTTCACCGACAACACAAAGAAAGTCGCAGACAGCATAAATTAAAAAAGGTAAGAGGATAGTTTACGTTTTTGACATAGAAAAACAAAAGAAGCGACTTTGAGCACAAACAACACGAAACATCCACAACTTTTTATTTCAGAATATCTTCCACCATATTGTAGGTACGGTTAACGGCATGAATACAGTTCACAAAATCACCACGCAAAAGTACTTAGTAAACTAATGACAAAACACTGGGAGTACTGGGACAGAGAAACAATTTTAAAACATCACATAGAGCGAAAGCCACACATAACCCGACACCATAGGTAGGTATCACCTCTAGATCCTGTAGACTTGACTCTACATGAGTCGCTCTCGAAAGTACAATTTTGAACCTACCATTCCCTGCAAAATTAATGGATAATTGAACTGAACTGAAATAAAAATAAATAATATAAAGTAGGTTAAAATAAACCGGATTTAAGATTAGAGTCTAAATTAAGATTTGAAGTTTTAGCAATAGACTTACACTGTAATCTCCTAAGGTAATTTGAAAGAGAGCCATCCAAGTGCTGGGGTAGCTTGAGTATAACGTCGACTGCACATTAGGGAAGCCTGTAGAAAACAATACATTTTACCTAATATCATTTACAAGATTTTAGTATTTATTTTTTTAGTAGGTACGAAACGACACAGTTTTATCTGGTTTGTAATAATTAAAAAAATACATGCAAGAAGAGACGAAGAATGAATTTCATCTTGCACGACAATCACCTACCCCTACCTATGTAAATATTGTTCAAGTGACAGGACCGGTTGTTGTGGAAAAGTCCAGCAGTATAAAGTAAGTAGGTAGACGTCATTTGGCTGAAACGAACAACTTTGGTATTAGTAGTAAGAGATTTAGAAACCTTTGTACAAGAAGTAGAACGACTGTGAGAAGCCGAAGAGCACGATGCAGTAGATGATGCCGAAGGTGAACATGTCTCCGGTGATCATGCTATAGATCATCGTCACGAAGGGCCCGGTCAGGCGCACGGCACTAATGGAAAATTAAAAGTAAGATATTATTAACCAGTGGCGTGCGGTTGCGTACCTAACTAGCTACAGGGTGCCCCATGGCATGGCAGAACTGGCAAAATGCCACGGGCCCCCGAGCCGAGGGTTTAACCTTTTAACAATCATAACATAATCAAATTTTTCATTGTTTTTGAACTTTAAAACAACCGAATAAGGCTCAAAATATGGTTGAGTTTAATATTTCCACTGCCTTTTAAAGGCTTAGCTGGATTTATGATAATTGGTAGTACTCATTTACCTACTCCATTCATGAGCTATCGCTCCGTATCAATCATGGCAAGTCAGCAGGCCACGGCCCCCCCTCTCCCCTCAATGAATTTGCCACGGGTCTCTGATGGTACCTACCTATAGACTAAAGTAGTTACTAAGCCACTGATATTAACATAAGTAGATAGACGCTAGATTAGATAACATAAATAACTGGAAGAGAAAACAGCTACTTACCTGACCTACATTTCATTCTTTAAATTATCATGATGAATAGGAACTAAGAGTGTATTGTTGACCTTTATACAAGTAGGTAAGTGAAACTCCAAGAAGTGTGACTCTCTCATATTGAAAAACAAGTTTTCTTTCAAAAATATTATGGTATTTTAGTCTCTATTGTGCATGGTCATCCTAGTCAACCCATTCACTGTTCAACACTTGTTCTTCTTGATCTTGAGTCATAATTATTATGTAAAATTATTATTTTTACCAGACTGTGCCAGAAAGAGGGTTATGTTTTTCATTTCCATTTTACGTGGAGTTTTAAACTGTTAAGTCACTTTTATTTCATAAATGTTTGTCGTAAAGTGTAGCAGGTACGATTATGAGCGCTACTTTTTATTACCAGTGATGACGTCACCAACACGTCAGTCACGTCTCCAGTTGTTATTTATTATGCATGCAAAGGTGAGTGACGAGTGTCACAATTTGAAAATTATAAATAACTTGAAAAAATCGAACTGCCTAAGGCGGGAATTGAACCCACCACCTTCCGCTTGCCGGGCGACTGCTCTTCCAACTGAGCTACTTAGACACTGGATGAACGCGTCGAAATTTTCAAGTGTAATACGCTGTTACAGCCAGCGTTCGTTCAAGTTATTTATAATTTTCAAATTAGTTTGAGATGCGACTCTAAACGCTAAAAATTTAATCACTGAGTGTCACAATATCAAATTATCAAGTTACGTCATAATATGCAAAGTGTTTATATAGTGTTTATCTTATCTTTTAGTACAGAATAAGAAACACCCATTTATTAGTGGCGTAGGTACATACCGAGGCCCGTGGAAAATTCTGTGCTCGGGGCCCTTGGCGCATAACAAGGGTTTTTTTATCTAGGTATTTTTCAGGGGGCCCGAAACCACGATTAGGGTCTTTGGGCCCGTTGCAATTAGCCAGCCCTGCCATCCTATAGTTACGCTACTGACCCATATATCAAACAAAACCTTAATGACAAGCTGAAATTATTTACCCAGCAAAGAACATAAGAAGGAACCATGAGCCTGGCAGTAGGAAGATGAGGATGGCCTCTTCAGTGTTGGTTTGCTGGGAGAGCCTCGCCGGGATGCAGGCCAGGAGAAGCAGGTTCGAGGCCAGGAAAATGAACTGTGCTGGCTCGTGGATCTGAGGACAAGAAATATACCTGCCTAACCACATTTAGAAGAGAAGTACTTATGTATCTTTTGCGAGTAGGCAGACATGAAAGAAAGTTGTGAGGAGCTGGAAGAAGGTACTAAAATACTTTAATGACTTCATTTATCATCATCATCATCTCAGCCATAGGACATGTACGTTATTTTTATATACCCGATGTACGTATTTATACACTGTATACCTAATGATCACGTCGGGCGTATTCATACACTGTATACGTAATGATCACGTCGGGGTCACCAATGTACGTTAATTTTATATACCCGATGTACGTAATTATATTGATATACGTTATGTTCAGGTATATTACTGTTAAGTCCACAAAACGTACGTCAGAAGGTTGGAACAGTAAAACATGTGATTTCTTTAAAGGTGTATTTGCGACTAAAATAAAACTGGCGGGCTCATACGCTCTGTTCATTCATGGAGTTAATTTATTACTCTGATTAATGTGTACCTACATCATCCCCCTCCTTATACAAAAAATAAAACACAATAACACTTGATTGAGTAAATAACAAAATAATGAATATTTGAAACAACATTATAAAACAAAATTCTATGTCAATTAAAAATATCTAGAGACAATACGCTCAATCAAATTGTGCACTTGGTCCATTGCGAAATTACAAGCAATGCACAAGTTTAAGTAAACAGTAAAAACATAAGAAAGTTGTATGTGTTTTATTATATAATATAAAAATGTCAAATACAAATTACTAAACATCAATAAACATCTCAGAAACAAAATAACAAAAATGTTTTGCCAAACAAAATACAATAAATCAATTTTAATAAAGAGTAAAGTAAAAAATCATGAAACCATGTATAAAGTAAGTACATAAAAATACAATATTAAATTAATAAACTAATAGCTAATTAATAATACGCATAATAGTTATACTGTTCCTTGTATGTGTCGGCGGCTGAGCCCGCCAGTTTTATTTTAGTCGCAAATACACCTTTAAAGAAATCACATGTTTTACTGTTCCAACCTTCTGACGTACGTTTTGTGGACTTAACAGTAATATACCTGAACATAACGTATATCAATATAATTACGTACATCGGGTATATAAAATTAACGTACAGGACATCCACTGCTGAACTTAGGTCTCCATGTTGTCCGGTTGGTAGCGGCCTGCGTCCAGCGCCTTCCTGCTACCTTGACATCATTAGTCGGCAATAACTGATACCTCTACCTACCTAACCACTTAGTAACTTTCTAGTTAAGCTGAACTCCAATTCTACATAATTATTATTATAAAAGGCCTTACCAATGTCTTAAAGTAAGCAACCATCCCCTGGTTCTTGATCTCGTCTCCTTGCTGCAGTATAATGTAACACAGGGTGCTGCAAATGGTGCCCAGTTCGCAAGCCAGGCGGATCCCACTCCTGGCATCCGTCACCTCCAGACCCCAGTTGGGGTGGGCGTCTGCTTCCCCGCTGCTGTGTCGAAGGTACACGGAGACGGAGAGGAGAAGCAGGTGCAGCATCAGGATCATGAGACGCTTGAGGAACTTTTTCTGTTGGAAAGGGAGCACATTAAATCACCTGGTCATGGAATTTAAAAGCGAATGGTAAAAGTGATACATACCCTTGCAAACGTCTTCCACTTTTCTTCAAGCAGTCTTTGGATGATGCCTCCATCTAACATGTTTAGATGCTCTTGTTTTGTACCGTTGAGAATGATGAACAAAGCTGAATTCCAGTCTGAAACCAGAAACAAAAAACATGTGGACTTTCCTGATGATTAGATAACCAGGCCAGGCCATATAATTGATAAAGTCTTTAAAGTACTTAGTTACTTACTGGTTTTCCCATCTGGCAGTAAGGTGTCTAAAGCATTTAAAGGATAAGCAGAGCAGGTGATGTTAGAATACCGCCAAAACTCCCTGGCTGATAGCTCCAGCATCTCCCTGAATACAGAAGCACGGCCAAGCTGGCAAGCCAGGGTGAGGGGTGTGAACCCGGCTTTGTTCATACGCCCATTACTTGCAGGCACCTTCGGGTGACGTAGAGCATATCCGAACATATCCTGGATTGCAAGGAAGTTCAAAATAAGGTACTCGTAACTCCTCCACACCACACAAAACAATCTAGGTATCAGCTATTATTTGGTATCATAATAATAATATTATAGTCCTTTCATACTGGACAGGACAGTGTTTAAGCACGGTTTAAGTTAGAGTCACTAAAAATATAACTTTTAAGTTTTGGGTGAAGCCTTTGACTTTGATTTGTGTTAACTCACAAGTTATAGATCGTGAACTTTCTTCTTTCTATCTTACCAGTTTGTCGCAAACTACGACCATGTGTAAAATCATGTTCCCAAAAGAGTCTTGGGCGTCAGGATCTGCCCCAGAGTCCAGCAGCAGATTATACACTGCTTCGTTGGCGCAGCAAGCTGCCCATGCAAGTGGATATTCCCCAAGGTACGCCAAACCTTCGTAGTTCGTTTGTCTAGTAGGAGGTACTCGTTGCTGATCGCGTGGAAGGAAAAAACTACCTAAAACCATACACAAAATCTTCAGGGTCTTTTCCAGAATGTTCAATTCTAATAAATAACCGAGACCAAAGTTGCCAAAAAGTAATTACCGATGGCTCTCTGCATCACATCTGCTCCAGCCTCCACCAAGTCTTGGGCCAATTCGTTGTTGCTGTACGCTATTGCCAGGTGTAGGGAGCTAGCACCTGTTCCGATGTTAAGGAAAATTATAGCAATTCTTAGACGTAAAACATGATTAATTTACCAGATAGTTGTTTACCTAGATATTCCTCTCCTTCCACAACATCTGAAGACAGTTTTGGAAAACATTTCACCAGAGTCCTGGCAAGTCTGGTGTGAATCTGAAATAACAATTTATATAAAAAAAAATTACGGTACATACGTAATATCTGGCTACTGAACTGACCAACAATATACCACGACTGAGATCAGGTTACAATCGAAAATAAGATTTAATAACAATAGAAACGAAGAATAAGAAACTAGTTCATATGATTACCACAGACATAGTCTACCTAGCTGATCTAGCTGTGGACACCGACATGGTATGATGATATTTAATTGAATGGACCTTCATGATGGATTCTCCTATATCTCGTCGAAGCCATACCTACTTCATACTCTTGCCATACCTTGGTATCGCAAATGATGAGTACGTGCAACAGAGACTCCCCTAGAGCTCCGCGGTAGCACATCTGCCAGCAGGCCATGTGGTCTTCCCATTTGGCCAGGGGATCGTGGGGGGAGAGAGACGCTTCTATTGGTAGGACCACCTGTAAAATATCATCAGTTTACAGAAATAAGACTTTTTGTGTCCAGGTGTCTCGTTTATTTAACTAATGGGTTATTTAATAAAATGTTAATTGCTTACTACCTATCTGTTTCAAAGAAAAGGAGCTTTAAAACGCGAGCACATTACTCGTATCTTCTTTCTCGGCCCCTCACTGCTGAGGATCGCGACCACGTATGTATAGTATTCCTCCACAGACTGAGGTCATGAGCTGTGTGGACTGCTCGATGCAGATTTCCGCCCACCATCCTCCTCACCGCATCTGACCATCTCGTCGGTGCCCTAGCCCTGCCTCACTATAGCTTATTATAGGTAGGTGGAGTTTAATACGAGTTCGCATGGTCATTAAAAGGTGGTTTTTAAAAAATACGTCACTCCCAGCTCCATCCATCTGCAATCTTTACCTGCTCCTGGTCTCGGAACTTCCAGCGAAGGTACTCGGCGCGGTTGATGACGCGGCCGCGTCCTCCCGCATACATGTACGCGGCGAACTCCTCACGAATCAGCTTCTCCGCTGCCACCATGCCGCCGCGAGCGTACGTTTCGAGCAATAACCCACCTGAATCACAAGGAGTTAAGTCATATATTCCTCTAGCAATGACTTTCGCCTGCGTATAGGTACTATAATATCACAGAGCATTGAATCAATCACCGTGCTCTGTGACTGTGACTAACATTATGCAGCGAATTAAGTGACCAATTCATGGGTAAACTACTCCTCTGCCGCTAACCGCCATGAGCGTACGTTTCGATCAATAAGCCCAACTGATGAACATGGAGTTCAATCATAATGTTCTTATTTCCAAACCTAAATAAATAAACGCGGAAACTTCATCTGCACGCTTCATGGTCATCCTACAGTCTCTACTCTCCAAATCCACAAATCTCCAGTAGCTTCCTTGGCTACTTAGGCATCTTTAATTTTAACTGTATGGGTGGGACAAAACCGAAAAGACAAGATGTCGTCATATTTGATTGTTTGTCTACTAAACATTGCGGCATAATTAATTCCATAATAACAATAACAAACCAGCTGTTGCTGATAAGGGAAAGTCAGAAAACATTAGAGTAATTAAGTAAACCTCCTATGAAAAATTAAGTTCACCAGCAAAAAAGATTGGGAACTTTAGCCTGGAATGTAAAAACGTGCCAAACTCACCCTTTTTATAATCCGCAAGTTTATACAATACAGTGTGTTCCTCTGTATTCGGTTGTGATATGACCCGATCGAGCACCGAACCCGCGGCCTGCACGTCTCCCGCAGAGAACAATTTGCTAAGGACGCCGCCCATTTTTCTGAAAAAACACGTCGCCAGCTGATGCTCGATAATCGAATTTTGAGGTGATTGTTTGTTCAGGATTCAGGAATTTAATGCAACAGCCACCCATTAGAAAAATCACCAGACGATAATATTGCCGTAATGAAACAGCAATAGTGCAGCGTCATCACAGCACGTGATTAAAGAATTCCGGGTTTTTTTACTCATATGGCCACCCTACCTATCTACCTAACTACTGCCACATCGCCCAATCCACAACCTTCTCTTCTCTTCTTAGTCGGGCACTTGGTTATGGTTGCGCTGACGAGGATACCTACACGGTGGGGGTGTTCGACGATGTCATTTCCGAAGGTAGCTCTCCTAGCGATGTGCTTCCATCTCTGGGTCATATCCACAATTTTACTGTATTAGTCCAGTCAATGAATGCCTTAACGACGGTGTAGAGAGAAATCCGTGGAACACAATTTCTGACCTCGGGACTTTATTTAGCCTAGTTAGGTGGTGAACATAGCAAAAGTCCCCGCCCTTAGCCCTTGAGCCGGCAGGGAGAGGGGGGTTTAAAGGTACCACTTTTCGGTTTTTCGCTTAATCCTCGGAAACTATGCGTCCTAGTGACATGACTACTATGAACCAAAAAAAGTTTATTCAATTTGCTACAGGCGAGACCGTCAAGTTTTTCTATATCTAGTATAGTTTTTGCGGCATTTACTCTAGAAGGTCTGTAAAATTGGAAATTTAATTTTTGTCTTACATGTTCCTATCAAGAGAAAATCGACTAAATCAACATTAAGCAAAAACTATAGACATGCGGGAGCATGTTAAGCCTAGTTCCAGGGAGGAGACTGCACCGTGCGTATATTTAGACGAACCAATTGGAGCCACTTTTGACTCCTCATCATTCAAAAACTACTGTGCATTAACTCTTCAAATTTGGCTCATGTATTGAGACTTGCAAGATATACATCAGCTTTAAATTTCATAAATATACCTCAAACGGTTATTTAGGTATTGACGTTCAAAAATCGACATTTAGAACACTAAAATCTATCTATCACCTGTGAAATGTTAAAATTTTCTGGTTTTTTATTTGTTCCTTTGTATTTACATAACTACATTTCTGGATGCCAAATTTGAACCTTCGAGGTCATCTGGAAGTGGTTAGAATTTGGTCTATAGGTCAGACATGTAGATTTTTGGACGTCAATACCTAAAGAACCGTTTGAGGCATATTTATGAAATTTGAAGCTGATGTATATCTTGCAAGTCTCAACACATGAGCCAAATTTGAAGTGTTAATGCACAGTAGTTTTTGAATGATGAGGAGTCAAAAGTGGCTCTAATTGGTTCGTCTAAATATACGCACGGTGCAGTCCCCTCCATGGAACTAGGCTTAACATGCTCCCGCATGTCTATAGTGTTTGCTCAATGTTGATTTAGTCGATTTTCTCCTGATGGGAACATGTAAGACAAAAATTAAATTTCCAATTTTACAGACCTTCTAGAGTAAATGCCGCAAAAACTATACTAGATATAGAAAAACTTGACGGTCTCGCCTGTAGCAAATTGAATAAACTTTTTTTGGTTCATAGTAGTCATGTCACTAGGACGCATAGTTTCCGAGGATTAAGCGAAAAACCGAAAAGTGGCACCTTTAAACCCCCCTCTCCCCGCCGGCTCAAGGGCTAAGGACGGGGACTTTTGCTATGTTCACCTCCTAACTAGTCTAAATAAAGTCCTGAAGTCAGAAACTGTGTTCTACAGTTTTCCATCTATAATGCTTTATTGACTGGACTATATTATTTCAGTACAATACTTGTTTTTAAGCTTTGGTTGGTTTAATTTCATTACGCACGGCTCTGACTATAATAAAACCAGTTAATAGTCTAATCAGATACTTAGGTAAATCTCTATAATTATTTATACTTACGGAAGCTTCATATCAGAGTCTGATTTACCAGAACTCTGTCTGTGTGATGATTAAACTTCTCTTCCACACTTCACGCTCTGTCCGGAAATTCATCACGGTACAAAAAACCACTAAAGGTTACCAAAACTAGGTCAATAGGTACGTCTTACATGATGTAAAACTAATTTAGGTCTTTTTTTTATCAATGACGCATCAAAAAAGATTGTTCCAGCTTAAGTGAATTACTTAGGTAGGTCAGTGATACCGAAGATGACACCATTCATTTCACTAATTAAATTAGTCTGTAATTAACTGATGGTAAAAGTAAAAGTCCCAGCAACTGTAACACTAATTGTTTTAAGGAATAACATAATTTTAACTATCACAAATAAGGCTTGAACTCTCTAATTTTACTAATTAACTGAAATCACTGTTGTATTCGCTTATTGTTTGATAAAAACAAAAGATTAACTGCAAAACAAACTGTTAACTCTACGCGGTAGATAAACAACTGTCTTCGCCATGGCAACGAGATCTTTCGATAATAATAAGTACAGTACCCTGAGCACTAAACTCTCGGAATCGTATATTGTGCTTCGGGTACAGTCACAGAACACATTTCGCGCACAGTTCGCGTTATTGTGGTTCGCGTCTGTCAAGGTTATTGACCGTAAGTTCATTGACCGTTACATAACTATCCCAGTTTAGCCTACCTTTCATGGTGATTTCAAATCACAGATGTGCAGATAATCTGTCAGTACCATAATTTGAAGGTGACCTAGAGGTTGACTGCGGAGGGGGGGAGGGGGAGAATGGCTTCTGTTATCAAAATGCGAATGTAACTCTGTCTGTCTGCTACGCTTTCACGCTTAAACCACTGAACCGATTTTGATGAAATTTCTTATTTGTTTTTTGAAACGGACGCTCGCTGAAGTTTTTCTGTGACAAACAAAGCGAGCGAAGCCGCGGGCATTAGCCTATTTTACATTAGATGACTCATCGTTTAGCATAAATGTCGGACGATAGCACCCTGTATTCTGATTCTTGCCAAACAGTAATAGTTGTGGTAATAGGTAGACCTACCGCTACCGCTTATTACGTAGCTGTCATAAGTGCTATTTTGCTACAAAAATGTACATGTCTGTGCTGTAATAAAACGAAATGTATAACGAAGAAGTAGGTAAAAATCGTTGAACGCCGCCATTACGTTTGCCGACAGACATTTTTGCCGCGCGCCTACACTCCGGGTGTTTGCGGGGGTACAAGAAGGAGCGGGAGGGGACATCACGCGGCCGCGCGGTAAGCGGGGGTGAGAGTAGGGGGGGCCGAAGTGGAACACGAACGAACGATCGACTCTCCCCGCGCTTCATTCCGCGGCAGCTGTACAACCGCTTTGCAAGCGCGCGCGGCTAACGGAAAGCGACAAGCAAGGCGCGGCGGGCAAGGCAACTGGCGAGATCCCCTCGCCCCGCAGGCAGACCCCGCATACTGAGCGGCACTCTTGTGTTTAGTGATAGTGACTCATGTCATCATGTGTACTTAAAACAACAATGTGTCAATTATTATTTTAGTGATTGGCTTTAATTACAAAATAATGAACTTGGGTGAAAAATTTTGTGAGTGAATGTACCTGTGGTAACCTGGTGGAACAGAAAAGGTAAACATTGCATATCCATTTTATTTTACTCTCGAGCTTAGCACATCCGACATGTAGTAGGTTCAAGTAGAGGTAATTATTTGTTTAAAAACAATGCAGGCAACAATTAGATGTTAAAAGAAAACACATAAAAAGGATAAAGTGTTTTTAATCTAAGCCTAACCTCTGTTTCTTTACGTTTTCTACAAAATCTGTCGACTGTCAACGCACCTACGATGCGGTACCGTGTGAAACCTTCTCACTGATTTCTCGAACGTAACTCGATTCGGTTTTTGTCTACCGTGATTTTACAAAAATATCATTCTTTCTAACATAAATAAATGGTCAATTCATTATTTCATATTTAAAGTTGTAACATCTATTTTTTTCCTCGAGGCGGAGAGTTATGTATGATGATAAACTGATGATTATGCATTATACATTATTATTATACTTCTATGTGATAATGCGAAGTTTGTAAAAATAGATTTGATTGGTATTTGACTGGCAAATTAAAAATTTAGGCTACGTATTACGTTGCTTTTTCTTATGGGGTCGATTCTGATAGGAACAATTCATTTGTAATATCGAATGCAACTGCACGTTTGAACCAAATACTTTTAATTTGATGCTACCGATTAATCGTTAATTGATAATTATTATGTCGTGGGCCGATCATTTGATTGGCCACGTCGTGATGTGCCCGCCCGGGCATATCGTAATACGCCGACACTTCATGATCTATCTTACACCAGCCATGTCATTCAAGTAGTAGTCGATTCGCACGAAACTCGTTCGCACGAATGACGGATGTATTAAAATCGCGTGCTATCGACTCCTTCGAGAACTAGTAATCTCATACATCCGGGCGAAACAACTACTAAAACAATATTATTATTGAGAGGGGACGTTTCGCACATTCATGCGAGTTTCGTGCGAATCGACTACTAAGCCGCCGACCATTTGGCCAGCGATATTTGGACATATAGTTTCTTACGGGTTTCCAAAAAGGTTTTAGTAAATAAAACTTTCATTTTACATTCATCACTTATGGAAAATTATATTATTTCTATAGCTTTTTTAGCATTTGCAACATTATTTTTTTCTCTGTCTTGATTATCTTTCACTGTTATTTTCAACACAATAATCAGCTATTTGTGACGCCGCCATCTTTGTTCGCGATCTTCATGATCCGCCCATTGATTAGTTGCGTTGTTCTCGACGATCCGTCCGACTTTATATGTATTGGGCACATTGCGATTTGGCCGGCCAAATCATGAAATGTCGGCGATTCACGATTTACCTTGTCGATCCGTCCGACTTTATACTGGGCACATCGCGATTTGGCCGGCCAAATCATGAAATGTCGTCGATTCACGATTTGCCCGGGCACATCATGAAGTGGCCATTTCAACGATCGGCCGACGACAGAAGTAGATAATAAGGTTATAATATAGTCAATTATAATTAGTTATTGAATTATTTTTTTATATTCAATCAATATTGTCGATCTCCCCAACAAAATCAATTTGATTGGTGAAGAAATATTTATTAAATAACTAGCTTTTGCCCGCGGCTTCACCCACGTGAAATTTAGTTTGTCACATATCGTCATAAATTATAGCCTATATGTTATTCTGGGTTATAAACAACAATACTGTAAAGTTTCAACAAAATCCGTACAGTAGTTTTTACGTGAAAGAGTAACAAACATCCAGACATCCAAATTTTTAATATTATTAGGATTAGTAGGATGTCTCTCTTTTGACAAATCTTGTGTGTGACATAATATGAAAAATCTTTGAATTTTAAATTAAAGACAAATAAAAAAATATTGGAAGATACGGGGTCAATTCTGATAGGAACAATTTATTTTAAAAATCGAATGCAGCTGTGCTCTGAAGGCTGAGTGTGAGGTTACATCACTAGTGAGCGCGTAAAAAATTACATTAAATGTATGACGGATTGTACAGCGCCCCTAGCGGAAAATTACAAGAACTAAAATTTTCATTTTTTTAAACGCGCTCTTTTTTAACTCACACTAGGTCCTCTGCTTCTGTTCAAATGCTATAGTTATTCGTGGTTATTCTATTTTATGTTCCTCTAAATATTGGCCATATCAATTTTTACTAACTTGTGATTTTTACAGGTTTTATCAATGGCGGACTCGAATATGGACACATTGGACCATGAGATGGCTCTATGCTATGCAGATTGTGACATGGAAATTTCTCTTACACAGCAGCTTACTGATAACAATAACCTTAGTAACAACTATGAAGGTAAGATATCGTACCATTGTTTTTTGAGATTCCGCTCTACTTAATATTTTTGCAGTAAGTAGGTAGGTATAATAAGATTAAATAAATTGTATAAAATTGAATAAAAATAAAAAAAAAGTTACTATACTTTCACCTCAGGCTTATTATTTGAGAAACATTTTATTTGTATAGTTTATTCAATCGTGTGTTTTTTTATATCTATTAGACTATTCATGTGGAAAGCTGTATTGATTAAGATAAACTTTACTTTTTTGCAGATGGTGGTAATTCAATCATTGCTGAAGATGAAGAATATGAAACTGAAGATGTAATTATTAAAGAAGAATTTGAAATTGGAGAAGAGGGTATTATGAATACAAACAGTTTGAGTCATAGCTTAGAATGCCTCGATCCCGGGATCCCGATCGTCTATACAAAAAGACTGGATGATATGACAATTTTCAAGAAAAAAATTAAAAATGAATCTTTTAGTAATATTGTGCAAAAAGTGATACGTGAAAGTAAACCAAATCTTAAAAAGACATTTAATTTTCTACCTGAACGAAAACCTACGATCAATGAACGTCAGTTTTCTAAATTAGAAAACAAAATATTAAAATTAAATGAACTGGCTATATTAAATGTAGCCCCGTCTGAAAATACTGTACTAGATTTAGTTGATGATGTAGATTCTGTAAATGTTGTAGAGTCTGTGACTGAACGTAAACCTACCCTCAATGAACTTCAGTGTTTTAAATTAGAAGACAAAAGCTTAAAGTCAAATAAATTGGCTACATTAAATATAGCCCCGTCTGAAAATACTGTACTAGATTTAGTTGATGATGTGGATTCTCTAAATGTTGTAGAGTCTGTGCCTGATCGTAAACCTACCCTCAATGAACTTCAGTGTTTCAAATTAAAAGACAAAAGCTTAAAGTCAAATAATTTGGTTACATTAAATATAGCCCCGTCTGAAAATACTATAGATTTAGTTGATGATGTGGATTCTGTAAATGTTGTAAAGTCTGTGCATTCTGATGATTCAGAAGAGGACATGCCTTTAAAGGTACTGTCTTCAATAAAGACGGAATATGTTGACCTGACAGTGATAGATAAACATGTTAAAAAAGATACAAATGAGCTTTTCAAATTATGTAAAACATGCTGCGTACCGTTGTTAGCAAATCGTAACGTTAGTTATATTAATGGAAAGCCCTTTCTTATATACGGTTGCACCAAGAAGGCATTCATAAAAGGATTAAGATACACCGCGGGCGTTGATTTTACATACATATCATTCAGAAATTTCAAAAAGAATAAATCACAAGTGTACAAATTCGAAAAAAAAGCATTGGTTCATAGAGAATATGATCATATAGTAGCTCTTGGGTTGAATGTAGATGAATGTTGTTATAATAATAGGGAAAACGTTATTAAAAGTTTGATTTGTCCTAGTAACATGACACCAGATCTCTTGCGAATCCCGCATCGTTGTCCAAAGGATCGATGCAAGTGTTGTTGCAAACCTATAGCCAATTATCCAGAAAAAATTACACCAACATCTTCAAGTTCTTCAGGTGGTTTTGGGCTGACATTGTATAAGTTTGTTGAGACGAAAAGAAAAAATGGAACTGGTCACCTGAATGCTAATAAACCTAATAATACTATGAACCAGCCAGAAAAAAATGACTTGGAAGCAATATTACCGAAAGACTTTGACTATATCCATAAAGCTTTAAGTTACACTCCCAAAAGTTACAATGACTCTTCGAATGATAAAGAAATAACAGACTTACCGGACGTAGACGACCGTTTAGGAATTAAAGTTCTCAAGGACTACAGTGAAATGGTCGAGTTTTATAAATTTACATTAAATGGCAAAAATGTCAAATATATTCAAATGGATTCACTTGTACGAAATGTAAAAAATAATAGCTTTAGAAATGATATTAAAGAATGTACTCGAAGCGATATAGTTTTATGTTGCTGGCACAAGTGTGATGAGTTGATTCGGTCTTTTGATTTAAAGCGCATACCTACAGTAAGGCAATTTGTCAGGACACGCCATCCTTGTCCTCCAGATAATTGCATCTGCTGTTGTAAGCCGAATTTACCTCAGCCCGTCCACAAAGAGGAACCCTTAAAACCTGCTTCAAATCATGCTACTAACTACACGAGTATGATTAAGAAACGTTGCAAATTTCTTGCCAAACGTGAAGAATCGAAGCCGAACCAAAAATTACAAGAAAATAATCTATACGATTACGAGAGCATAATATTACCACAACTGGTATCACAGCACAGACCAAAGCAAACACTATCAAGTCCAAAAACTCCTTTACAATCAAAGGAACCTACTCAATCTGCTCTCAATATGCCTCGAAACAATAATACGGCTGCAACTATTTATCCGAATCTGCCTCAAATCAATAATACGGCTGCAACAATTTATCCGAACCTGCCTCAAATCAATAATACGGCTGCAACTATTTATCCGAATCTGCCTCAAATCAACAATACGGGTGCAACAATTAATCAGAATCTGCCTCAAATCAACAATACGGGTGCAACAATTACTACGAATCTGCCTCAAATTACTTATACGGTTGCAACAACTAAGCCGAATATGCCCAAAATGAATAAAAGATTAGATCCAACTAATAACCCAAGTGTGTCTCTAGATAATAACACATCTGACTCAACAGTTAACTTATTGGTGAACAGCATTTTACAAAGGTTCAGTGATGTCCGCTTAACTATTACCCCTGATGGTAATGTTACTGCGGAACTAAATACACCAGTTCACACGTTATCAACAATGGAACTACAAATTCTGTCTAGTATACTTAATCGCGCCAAACAACAAGTAGCACAACTAAAAGCAAAAGGACATTGGAATCCCGAAGCGAACACTCAAATAAATCCCATCGGGCCGATGAATCTTGCAAATCTTAGCGATAACACAGCACCAGCAACAACTCCAGACAAAACTAAGTCAAAAGCAAGTGTGACAGAACATACAACAAAAACAAATAATGTATCAAGAACAAAAGTAGCTGCCCCTAGCTTGAATAAAAAGACATATTATAAAAGACCCATAGTGCCTGACCGCCAAACACGACAAGATGCTTTTCAGTGCTATACCAATATAAGTGCTTTAAAAATGAAGGAATACTTAGCATCTTGCAAATCTTTACTGGGTAATTTAAATCAAATGCCCAAAATCAAGCATGTGTTTTCAAAAAATCCTTGTGATCAAACAAAAGTGAATAATGATAAAGCTAAAACGAATGTCAATCACCCTATAATTAATACGTCAAATGAACAATCGAAAACTAATAATGCAAAGCTTAGTAAAAAATCTACAGTTGCAGAAGCTAAAACTATTATTAATACGACAAATAAACGATCGAAAAATAATAATGCAAGACCCAGTAAAACATCTAAAGTTGCGGAAGCTAATACATCGAGTACTGAAGGGCAAGTCAAAAGAAAAAATGCTAAAGAAAACGTTAAGTCTAATAAAAATATTTCTGGACCTCCAACTAAAAGGCGTAAAATTTCCAGAAAAATCAATATTTTGAAACCTACTGTTTCAGATCATGTAAGTTCAGATCATGTTCTTACAATAGATTTAGATGATGATGATCCGTTGAATACCGCGGTAGTCTTACCGCCTCCGTGCGAAATCGTACCACCAGGTCGAAAGGCGCCAATATTATCGAATTTGCTCAGTAAACCTGAAGTACCCCCTGGAGCACCTAACACACATCCAAATCTGATGTATGCACCTGTACCTGTCGTGGTACCAAGTATGCCAGTGCCCGGGATGCCAATTCCCAGAATGCCAATGCCCGGGATGCCAATTCCCAGAATGCCAATGCCCGGGATGCCAATTCCCAGAATGCCAATGCCCGGGATGTCAATGTCCACCATACCAATACCCAGTGTACCAGATGTCCCAATAGATGCTACAGATGTAGAACTGATACCGGATGTCCAGAACGATCCGATTACGGCTACCGATACTACGATTGCTGACGACGATTGTATTCTAGGATTTTAATTAGTCACTTGCCAGTCACTTGTCACTACCCAGACTGAACTTTGTCTTAACCAAATTGCTTTCAATCCGCGAAATGTAAAAGAAATATCTGTGTAATTTATTTTATCTATTTTGTTCTAATGTGATTTGCTGGAATGAAAGTGATTTATAGTGAGAGTTGGAATTGAATTAAATGTGATTAAATTATTATTGCTCATTCATTATAGAGGGTGTTTGGCGGAAGGTTAGACAAACTTCGTGGGTGTAACAGTAAGGTAAATGACCAAAACTATAGGTACACCCACGAAGTTTGTCTAACCTTCCGCTAAACGTCCCGTATTGTTTTGTGTGCAACTTACAAATTAGGGACCTACCAATCACCATCGCCACCTTTTCGAATATTTGGTGTAAAAAATAACAATGTTTGCTTAATATGTAATGTGGAGTTTTTTTTGTCGCGTAGGAAAATGCCCTTTACTGTGTCAGCCAAAGTACCTACCGATTATAAAAGTAAAATAATTTTAAATTGGTGATCAATATACCAAAATTGTTTAGAAAATAAATTATATTATTTCAAGTCTTATGTTTTTAATTGTGTTAAGTTTAAGATTACCTATGTAAAATGAGAAAATGATTATTATAGTATTTAATTAATAAGTTATTTGTTTTCCATGACTTTTAAATTTAGATGCTGCAATTTTATTATAGTCTAAGTTACCTATCACAAATGCAGCGCCTTAATTCGAAGATAAAGAGATAGTTTTTTATAATTATTTTTATGGTTTAAAAAATCTGTCTGACTTCTCTCTTAGTTAAAACCCTAAACCCCAACGTTGGGATTTGGGATTTTAGAAACAGTTGACATGACACAAGGTTGCCCTTTGAGCCAAAGTGTGCTGGGTACGCCCATGATTGAATTATTTGTCAAATGTAATTGTAAAATTTAAATTTGAATAATCCACATATTTAATAAAAAAATGGCCCTATGCCTATGTAAGATTAAATTAAATTGTTATCATAGGTTTTATAGTTAAAATCTGCCTTCCATTCCATCCATGGATCTATAAAAAAAAAGTTTTTTTATGGGTTCATGTTCCATCCTACATTTGATTTATCAAATTTATAAACTTCACTACTAAATTATTTGATTCTTTAAAGTCCAAGTCAAAAAGTAGTTTTTTCATAATATGGACCATTACTTATAGCTTGCTTACTTTGTCAAATAATATCTAATTTCTACTGTTATTAAAATATTAAGAGTTGATTTTTTATAGGTACCTACATACCTATGTATCTGGAAACATTCATGTGATTATTAATATTAAGAACAAATAAATAAGAAATGTTTCATTTATTTGTGTCTACTTTATTTACCTACCCCAAAAATGCGGGTTAGTCCCAACGGCCCCGGTGGATCTGCCCCGTCAACGGGGTGGATGGGAAAAAGTGTTTCAACGACCCCGGTAGTCATAGTCTTAGCTATACTCTATAGCTATGACTACCGGGGTCGTTGAAACACCTTTTCCCATCCACCCCGTTGACGGGGCAGATCCACCGGGGTCGTTGGGACTAACCCAAAAATGCTTTGTTTTACTTTCTTACCTAGTTAGGTAGGTACCTGATTGTGACCAAAGCTAGTTTTAGTGACAGCAGAATCATGGTCAACAAAGTAGCATTTAAATACACGCTACATAGGTAGGTAGCAAATCTCAAAATAATAATTATTAAGTATTATTTACGGAATTGCTACCATGTAGGTAGGTATGTACCTTAATTACTCAAAAATAATTATCGGAATACCTTTTATGCAAGTAAAATACATTATTACTATAATATAGCGAGTTGTTCCCAATACAAGTGTCTCTGACTACTTACCGGGAGGACTCGGTAATAACTCTGTATACCTAGTTACCTACAAGTATTTTTGGAAATAAATGAATTTTGTTTTTTTTTTAATATTTTAAATAATTATTGTGTAAATTCCTCTCCCGCGCAGACATGTAAAACCCGTCGTTGATTTCGAACACATACACAACAACAAGGGGCACACGACCTCGAAACGACGCGGTGTCGAGTGACGTCACGGCCACAATGCCCCTACCTCGAGTCCCCAATCTAATGTTACTCGAATGGAACTCACTCGCTCGCTTTATTATCGAGAATAACGATCACTACAAGACTGCAACTTTTTATGCTCAAATGTAGGTGGTAGAGTAAACCGAAGAAAGTTGTACGTAAGTAAGTAAATTCAATTTACTTAAGTAATTTTACCTTCTGGAACGAAATGTTTTCTATGAAATGTGAACGAAAAATATTTCCTACCATTTTCTGTTATATTAAGAATATTCATTTATTTATGAGTTAAATGCGAGTTTATTGAAGTGAGTTAAATATGTAGGTAAGTAATGAAGAAGACATTGAGCTAATTTTGCTATTTCTCAATCATCGTACCTAGTAGGGGTTTTAAGCCTACATACACATACAACGACTGATTAGGTCACACTTTTGTAAAATATCATTCGAAGGCTTAGATTAGTTTTATTAATCTAAGTTCGAAGGTAAATTGTTACACTAGCCGATATAGAAAAGAAACGAAAATAATCGATATTTACTATGACTTATTTTTATACACGTCCATGAGAGCCCTGACATTACATTGTGTAGAATATTTTTATCACATTATTTTAACAAGCAGTAAAGAATATTCTTAAAAACACTACCAAATTGTAGCACGTCCATACCATGTCTGTAACAGTAGTAATCAAATTCATTCGATATGTTTACTTGCGGAGCAGACACCCACCCGCGTCAACGTCTGTTGCTCAAATGAATCGATGCAGCGGAGTCCGACAAAATATTTTTTGTCTCGTTCACGCAACGATTTCCCTGGATACAAGCAACGATCCCCACCCGTGAAACAGAGCATGATCTGCTGTCCCTCTCGCACTTATAGAACGCGCTCACAGCCGAGCGATGTCGATTCTTCGCGCCCAGCAATGCCGCTTTTCGCCATTTTGTTGTGATACGTCAACGTGGTAACCGCTACGGTAAAAAATGCTTTCTGTGACAGTGTACACTAGTTGAATAGTGATTCGGGTGTTAAAATAATATTGCTTGTGATGATAGAGAACTAAAAGACTGGTTTGGATTATCGCTGCGTCGAAAGGTAATGAGAAAACGTGATTTATTCATTTCAAGTTGGCGCAACGTCTGCGCTTGACGCGTTCGAAAGTCGCCAGCTGTTAACTATTTTATTTCCACGCGTAGATTTGTACTTTTGAGCCTAATCGCAGCGTGTTATTTTACACGTCCGCTCCACGTGGTATTGCAAACTAATAATAATGCAACGAACTAGTGGCGGTACTTTGCGTTCCGCCTTGAATTTGTTTTCGCATAGGGACGTGCGCTCGCAAACGCTGTCGGATCATTTGTGAAGAAGTAGGTGGGAAATGGGATGGGTGGGTGCGTAGCGCGACTGTCGGAGTTGCCATCTTGTAATTGTTTGAAATTAAAAATAGACTTTTCTGATAAACAAGGCAAAGATTCTCAAACTTTTATCATTTTCGATTTCGTAAATTAATGGCACTTGGATTATAGGTAGGTAGGCAGATGAAAGAACAAAATAAATTTATACTTATTTAATACAAATTAATGTGCTTGAAATAATTTTATGAAACGAACTGAAACTGAAAACGAAAAATATTTTTTCTTTAACAATTTTATTGTAGGTCAAAGTTAGTAGGGGGGAAACAAATATCTTTCGGTCTCATTTACGAATTAGGACTTGACTAGTGAAGACTATGCGAAGAGCGCGCGGGATTTTTTTTATCCCGGAATTAAGTAATTAATTTAAAAAAGTAAAGTAGGTAGGTAGGTACCTAATTAATTTTAGGAAGTAAGTAATTTTAAAAGTTTTTAGTCAACTTTTTACGAGTTACAAGGTTTTTTTTGACATGATAAGCACCCGAACCCGATTGAGAAAAAGTCCTATTTTTGACCGATTTTAAAATTGAATCAATGAACTTTTTAAAGTAGGTATGGCATGCTATTGGATAGTACCTATCATATTGAATAAATTGAAAATTCAATAAAATTGCGTTGGACGCGATTTGGACGATCATCTTTTTTGTAAAAAAAAATATCCGCTAATCCTCGCTCAGTCGTCTTGTCAGCCGATTCAGAACCTTACGAACAGGCAGATTGGGTAGGTAGTGGACTGACACCATTAACTTTAGTTAATAAGACGCAACATTTAAAATAAACACATTGTACTGGCTCTGAAAACCGAGTTAATTGTCTTGTAATAAAATTATAGGTAGGTACTTATTGTTAGTAAAAAAAATAGTCGGGAACTCATCCCGAACTTTAGCCATACTTACTTCCCTTGCCATAAAGAAATAGGGAGAATCGTGCTTTGACTGAAAAAAAGTAGGGTAAACCGTATAGCTATTGCCCACTTAAAGATTTCAAACTCATTGAGATGAAAAATTAAAGAAAGTATTTTAATTATCGACCATTTATGACTTTTTTCTTATAACTCAATAAACTGTTAAACAGAATATTAACAGTTTTTAGTTAAAACTTACGTAACTTAGAAAATATTGAAATAAATTTAAAATCCTCCAAAAAGCACAGTCATTGCCCATTACTTACACTAATTGCCCACATCAAAGCACAGTAATTGCCCAGTATNTCAAATATTTCTTGAGCTGATATTGATGAGTCAGAATCGGTAGAGACAGAATCATCTACTTCAAAACATAGATGACGCAAAAATTTGAATTTTATATGTATTTATTTTTTTATTTTCTTTGATATCAGTTCAAGTGGTTGCTCAGAATGTTCAATTAGCTGTTGGTTATTCTTCCCTAAAATTGTATCTATTTCCTTACAATTAACATCTTCACTAGTAGATTTAACGTAGGATTTTCATTTTTTGTATTTTCGTTTGAATTTTTATCAATTTTTTCAAGCCAAACCATATTTTTTAGCAATTTAAATCTAGTAGATAAATTGTTGGATACATCTTGTACAGCTTCGATCGCTTTTTGCAAATTTTCTATGCTATATTGAACTTTGGAGTCTTTGGCATACTGAAAATGAAACATTAAAAGCCATTTCAATATTTATGCCTGTAAATTGCAAAACAAGTCTAGCAATGAGCAACTTAAACACTGCTTCTACATGGTGGCAACACTCTAATAATAATTGCCCTGGGCAATAACTATACATTAACATATGGCAATAACTGAAATGACGGTGGGCAATAACTAAAAATATACAGATTTACGTGCAGTGATTACCCACCATTAAAATGACCGTTAGAAATCAAATTTTATCAGTTATTTTCATTGATAATGGAGAAAACACTTATAATTTCATCATGACTATACACCATTAGTTGAATATTAAATAACTTGCAAAAAAAAATTAACCTCTAAGCAAGTAATTCCTTAGTAAAATTGTTAAAGTCTTTACCTGTTTGAGTAACATTTTCACCCGTCTTGACAAAATCCGCCATAACTGTTTTTTTTTTAGTGTTTCCTATTGTAAATTTTAAATCTACTGTACATTAATCTCGGAGCCATCTACTTAGTAAATTCAAATCTAACTTGAGTGATTAAAAGTCAGCACCTGACAATATTATTCTTAAAGCGGGCAATCACTACCAGTGGGCAATCACTCTCTGGTTTACCCTATGTTGATTGATTATATTGGTGTTATTGTCGTGACGATTCGATAAAAAAGTGTATTATGCATGACATTATTTTGACAGATTAGTACCTACCTACTCGAATGTTAATGAAGCGAGGGTCGTGTATCGTAATTTAGTTATTCATAATGTTTGCGTAGGTAATGTAACAGGTAGGAAAGTTTAATTTGACCTACTTCGTAATTCGGTTCGAATGACCAATGATAGTTAGGTAGGTATTTACGTTATAAACAGAGAAAAACATCGAGTTGTAGGCATGATGGACACTGAAAACGGCTCTCTTAATTAAAGCTGATTTACAGCTGCTGTACTGTCTGTACTACAGACAAAAAGATAAAGGTAAAGGGTGGGAGCAGCTATGCCAGAGTTTTTTTTTGGCAAGTCGGGATTTTAGAACTTTTTGTGTGAATAAAAGCGGGATTCTTTCGTCAAAAAGAATATAATCAGAAGTTGTGTGTAGTTCTTTTTATTTTAATTCGAATTAGGTACGTTTACGTGACAATAGACAGCAAAAATAGCCTCCATAGATTTTTTTTACAAAAATATATTTTGAATCAGATTGACCCAATAGTTGTCTTGTTCGTCTTCCGAAAAAAAAAGAAATAAAAAAGATTCGGTCGAGTTATTCCCGAAAAGCAGGACTGGGCCTGTCCAGCCCGCGCGGAACATTAATTTTGATTTTGATTTTAAAAATCGGGACATTCCGCCAAAATCGGGACGTCTTGCAATGCTGGGTGGGAGTAAAGTCAGTCTGTACAGTAGCACAGTTGATTTTATTCTCGCTACTGTCGGTACTCTTGATAAGAAAATTTTAATCAATCTAAAAAGTACCACGCGGCCCGCGGGTCACTAACTAAGAAACAAAATAGCAACATGATTCAAAAGGAATAAAAAATAATTATTAGCTCTACATTATTGATCTAAAATTTATGGTAATACCTACTAGCTTTCCGCCCGGCGCGCCCGCGGCTTCGCCCGCGTGGAATTTTGTCTGTCACAGAAAAACTTTATCACGCGCGTCCCTGTTTCAAAAACCGGGATAAAAACTATCCTAGGTCCTTTCCCGGGACTCAAACTATCTCTATGCCAAATTTCATCAAAATCGGTTCAGGGGTTTAGGCGTGAAAGAGAGACAGACAGACACAGAGTTACTTTCGCATTAATAATATTAGTATAGTAGATGGAGCATTTGCAAACATTCGCGTTACTTTTGAGAAATAAGGTTCGTTTTGCTTTGGCCAAAAAATATAGGAGTTTTGTACAAACGCTGAGATCTAATGAATGTTTAAAATAATAATTGACCTAGTTTCTTGAGCTTTAAGGGTTAAACTTGCTTGCGCAAGTTGCGCAATATCGGCGTAATAAAATCAGGCTACGTCTACTAAATAATCGAAGAACATCGCGAACAACTTGCATTGCAATCAGGGCTGCCATATTTTATTACAGACAAATAAACTTCTTAAAATTATAGGTACTTTTTACTCTTGTTTACAAAAAACTTAAACTAAAATGAACACAAACGAGCGAGCTGTGTGAACGTCGCATGGTGAAAAAAATCTTGTTCTCTTACTCATGTAATGAACATTATGAATAAATTTCTTATTCTTATTCTTAGTATTTGACTAACAAAGAAGTTCGGATATTAGTAAGTTACTAACAGTTGGCAACCCTAGTTGGCACTAGCCAGTGATTCTCAAAAGTTTACACTCGTCACCCAACTTTCTTTGCAAGCGCTTTTAAGATGTCACTATTTTGTTAGGTCAATATTTTAATTTAGCCAAATCCTGCCTTTTACCCGTGGCAAATTAGAGGATCCTCATTCTGCAGTAGATTACTACTAAGACTCAAAAATAACCTTTCGTAGGTACGCCTAGGTCCACGATAGACATTTATCAACAATTTTAAGATTTTAGAATACTAGGTAATTGCCTAAGGTGGGAATCGTATCCACGACTTTCGGCTTTATTTTTAACTTCGAAGTCATCCTGTTCCTCTGATTAATTTCGTTGCTGGTCCAATGACAGTTAACCAGGGCCGGATCGTGAATTTGTGGGGCCCTGGGCTGAAACTTCTTATGACGTTGTCACGACAACAATTTTTTTTTTTTTCAAATTATGGCCTACTTTATAGCGGGAGCCCAATCAGCCCATAGGTAGATCCGGCCCTGCAGTTAACTTTCCCCCGGAACAAACTTTACCTTCACTGGTTGGGTTATTATTGGCGGTCAAGCTGTAGATCTTGGCTACACAGGAGTTGCAGCGTTGGGAACGAGAGGTGGGAGTGGGAGTAGTCCTTGTTTTATATTTTTTTATTTTTCAAGCAAAAAATAGTTTTAAATGCGATTCAATTCTCATATATTAATCAGAGACTTGCCTTCATCTGCACCAAATGCGCAACTTCTTCCTCGTCATAGAGTTCAATTTTCCCTGGCAGTGAGGCGTGAAAATGGCCGAATTTCCTAAGGTGGGAATCGAACCCACGGCCTTCCGCTTTTTTTGGTTATTTAAAATTTAGTTTGAAATGCGACTCTACGCTAGAAAATTTTAATAAACAGTGACTTGTTTCCATCTGTAGTTTTGTCTGTACCAAATGCGCAACTTCTTCCTCGTCATAGAGTTCAATTTTCCCTGGCACGGGACTATTCCCACCGCTGCAACTTCTGTGTAACCAGGATCTACTTTGTAATCTACTTTGAGGAACAGGTCAAGTTTGTCCCGAGGGAAAGTTAAACTGTCATTGGACCTGCAACGAAATTAATCAGACAGAAGAACATACATAGTTCTTCCTCGTCATAGAGTTCAATTTTCGTTCAGTGAGGCGTGGAGATGGCCGAAGTGGACAAGTTCAAGAGGCGGGTGATCAGGGCCGTGGCCCGCCATCTTCGCCAGGACAAGACGCCTGGAGAGGCCATGTGGAAGGCTCTGAGGAACGAGGCCGGGTGTGACTGCAAGCTGCTGTGGTAAGTACCTACTCATCATCAAAATACCTACTATTTAGTGATTAAATAAAAAAAACTGGGTAATTCATAGACAGCTGTAGGTTAGGCAGGATTTCGACATTTGCGTACCTACAAGCGACTCTAATCCATGATTTAAAAAGATGTAGGTAGGTAGGTACAAGAAAACCGACTAAGTAAGTAGAGCCACGTAGAGCTCAAATACGACGTGGATACTTACTTATGCCTCATACAAACCGATATTATTTGACATATCTTGGGCTTAGGTTAATTTTAGGGGCTCAAAAATTAAGCCCAGCTTTTTTGTGACCCGGTTGATGTGATGAGGTTGAGGTCAGCGTGGGGAGTGTACCTAGTACCTAGTCCAAAACCTTTATTTGCCGAGTTACCTGTAGATAGATAATGATGATGATGAGTTAGTTTACTGCTTATTTTAAAATATATATTTATTACTTTGACCACGACTTGGTCTACAACCGGCTCCCAATTTACACGCAGGCAGCGGATGCGAGCCCTCACTCTGAAGAAGATGAAGCGACTGGTGCTGGCTGAAGACCGCCTCAACAACATAGCGGCGGTGGCTCAAATGACGCTCACAGACTGGCTGCTATTCGACTTGGTACTCGTGCATGAAGAGATCGATGTTATTGGACAGGTAAGTACATCACTATTTCCAGCTGTCTTATCTTTTTGACTGAAACAACAGGTCAACAGGAAACTGAAAAAACAACAGATTTCCGAACCGGAGCTGAACGGAGAAAAGGTAGAGAAAATAACGAAATCAAATACTCCTCTCTTCGTTGTAGTAAAAAGCGCGCCTGATTCTATTTTAGGCTAGTGAATTTGGTGAAACTGTGCTCTAAACTCGATTAAAAGCACCGATTCAAGAATCGCCGTGGCCTTCGTCACCGTGGGCCACGGCATATGCTGAGTGGGGTCCCGTTGCAGTGGGCATCTTGTTGGTGAATGGGTGGCACTGCTCAGTTTAACTCTTGTTACCATTCGCTAACGGTGTCAATTCAATAACGTAGAGATATTTTATTTAGGGTTTTACAAATATTTTGTGCAGGCCTGTATCTGAGTAGCGATTTCTTGACTTTTTTGCACTTACTTAATATACGTTATAATTTTCTTCTACAAACCTGTTAGTTACAATACTTTATTTGCAGGACTTAAAAACAGAGCCGGGCATCTTGATGGACCTGTTCAACGTCGTGAAGCGATTCCAGATCGAGGGCAAGCAGGGCGAAGCCCTAACCACCGCCTGGACCGCTGCCACGTTTTACTACAACAGCTTGTAAGCATAAAACTGTACTTACTCATTTATTTACTAAATACTCAATCATTTCACCAGATCGTCGGTCCACCTAGTGGGGGGCTACTACGTCTCTCGGATCGTGGTCGCCACTCGAAAACTTTTCTGCCCCAGCGGCCATCAGCTCTGCGAGCTATGTGCCCCGCCTGTCACTTGATTTTAGCGATTCTACGGGCTATGTCACTCACTTTGGATCTCCTGCGGATCTCTTCATTTCTGGTGCGATCACGCACTGAAACTCCGAGCATACAACGCTCCATCGCCCTTTGGGTGACCTTGAGCCTTCTTATGAGGCCCATAGTAAGGTGAAGGTCGCGGAAGGTGCCTGAATGCGGGCAGCGTAGGACCGGTCCTTGTTGAAATCCATGGGGGAGGCCTTTGTCCAGCTGTGGACGTCTTTCGGCTGAAACGAACGAACGAAAAAGCGATGGGACAAATAGGGAGAGGGAGGATCATTTTGAATTTACAGAAAAAGTCTTTCTAAGAGTAATTGTTTAAAAACCTTTGTATTTATTTCAGCGGGCGCCAATGCTCGCCAATGCTGCTGCAGCGGCGGTGGTACCAGATAAAGAAGAACACCAGGAAGAATTTCTACAAGTTCTGGTTCGAGTACCGCGGGAATGCGCGGCTTGTGAGCGCCGCTAAGGCATTCCAACCAACACCTCTCCAGTCCGCGGTTGCTCAAAGGTAATAAATACCACCAGCTCGCACTAAGCGTTTCGACGACTCCTTTATAATGCGAACAGCTAGGGACTGGAATTCGCTGCCTGCTGCTGTATTTCCTGAACACTATAATCCGGGCGTTTTCAAGGCGAGAGTGAATAGGCACTTACAGGGCAGATATGTACCATCCTAGACTGCATCTCACTTAAAACACCAGGTGCATAAAAAAAAAATATCCTTGGACATTTTACACTGCGCTTCTAGTCCCAAACTAAGCAAAGCTAGCTTTTTGTACTATGGGTACTAGACAACGGATATAAACATACTTAAATACTTCTTTTTGTAAATACATACATATTATACATAGAAAACACCAAGTCCAATACAAACAAATATGTACATGCACACAAATATTTGTACTGTGCGGGAATCGAACCCGCAACTACCGGAATAGTAGTCCGTTTCGAACCACTACACCAAACGGTAAGTAAGTAAGATAAAACAGGCTTCAAAAAACCTCATACTTACTACTTGCATAAATTCCGTTATTTCCTAGCTAAAACTGTAAGAAACTAAATTGCAATTTAATTAAAAAAAGCTACGATAGCCGAATGGTGAAGGGGTCGGACTGGCTGACTCGTGATTCGGGGAACGCGGGTTCGGTCCTCGTTGCCGCTGGACTATTGTGGTGAGCTCACTCGTGACACAAGCATATTTAGCTTAGTACGAGGGGTTAACGGGACTATTGGTAATTTGTGTAATAACAAATTACTAATAATCTTTAAAAAAATATTCAAAGGACAAAAATGCGCGACCAACCAACTTACTTACTGTCTTTCGCTTTGTACTGGAGAGAAGTCGATCTTTAATTTCGAACTCGTCATACGTTATTCTGATTAATTTCGGTGCGGGTCCAATGACAGCTAAGAAAACATGAAATAGGGGATTTTGATGTCGGTTAAAAAGCAGGAGAAGCTTATGCCCCTAATCATGAAATTAGTCATTAGTAACTGAAATCAGAATAAGTATTTTTTATAATAATAGCTGGTCTGTTGTGTCATTTCAGATTCCCGCACATCGTGACGAAGCCCTTCATGGAGTGGGACCAGATGATCAAGGAGAAATACGTCATACTACCCGAAGAATTTGTGAGTATATACGATTACTATAATTTATAACACATTTGCCGTAGGACGTCCATGCACACGGTGGACCGACGACCTCATAAAGGTAGCAGGAAGGCGCTGGATGCAGGCCGCTACCAACGTGATAGCTCTGTTACGTCACACGTCACACCCGCACCAAAAAATCAAAAATATTTTATTCAGTTTAGACCAATATTTTGGCACCACTTCACTACCGCTTAACATAGAAAATAATTAGATTATATCTATCAGTATCTTTTTGGATTGATCTTACTTACAACTAGCTACACCAATAATATTAGTACTAACTTGAACTTTATATTTTTCTAATTTCAGGAGGCAAAAATAAAAAAGAAATATACCAAGAAATCTAAGCCAGCAGGTAAGTTAAAACTTACTTATCATCATAAGGAACATTAAGTAGAGTCTGTTAGGGCTAATTTTGTATTTAGGTGGTATAAGGTACACTTTATGAATATCTAAAAAAAGCTGTCAGATTTTTTACCTTTTGAGAGCTAATCGCTAACCAATTAAAAATAATAATTTAATGTAAAATACTCGAGTGTCGTATTCGTATCTATTCCTCCGTGAAAGCCCTATATTTGATACAAGTTTTAAATAATTCTTTAAAAAAATCATACTAAGTAAAGCCTGGTCCGTGAGCACGTAGAATTTTGTCCAATGACCCCAAGCTACCCATCCTTTTCGCTCGCGCGTAATTATATTGCTGTCGCGACTGTGCGACGGGCGCCCGCAGTGAGTGTGCGAGCGCGACAGCAACATAATTACGCGCGAGCGATAAGGATGGGTAGCTTGGGTTCATTGGACAAAATTCTACGTGCTGACGGACCAGGCTTCAGGTACCGACCAACCCGAGTAAGTTTTATTTTTTATTTTTCTTTATTAAGGAAACAAACAGCATGAGTTTATACATAGTTTTAAGTTGGAAGTACAAAAAAAGTTTTGATTTGAATTGATATTATTTTATCCTTTGTTTTAGCAAATGAACCGGACATCGTTCTTGTGGAGCCTCAAATTGAAACCATCGATGTTGAATCTGACCCAGAAGGAGACAAGGAAGACAAGAATGAATCCAATTCAAACAGGAACACGCCTGAACCAAACACGATGGCTCAATTTCCGACCATCGCGGCTTTACTTAAAAAAGAACCGGTTGACGACTTCGAAATAGACGTAGATGATGTGAACGAGAATGCTGAAGAAACCAGCCACATAGACGATGAAACATTGACAGCTGTTGGAGCGATTACCGATGACGTAGGTGACTCTACGATGACTACTGATGACGACACAAATACAATGCCAATGATATGCAGCGTAGCAGGAAATTTCAGCGAAGACTCTGTCACGAATTCCTCGAAAGAAACCGCCAATGAAGTGATGGATGAAATAAATAGCATACTGACGTCAGCAGCAACCAAACCAAACGTAAAAAGTGAACCAAAGTCACCAATACCAGATGAAACCAGCACTGTAGTAGTTATTAGCCCTGATAAACCACAAAGTGCCAAATTAGTGACAGAAACGATAGAAGAGGACACAGATGAGTTAATGGTTATCGACGAATCGGTAAAAGATAACGTAGAAGGCAACCAAAGTGAGGTTATGACTGAAATTGACAATATTCTTGAATCTGCAATACAAGGGAAAGTGCAATCGCATAAATCTAAAATTGATACGCCAGCTACTCATTCCAAATTAATGGAAGTAGATGAAACTGCGAAAGAACTTATAAAAGAATGCTCAGCAATAGATATTACTGCAGATGACGTCGAACAAGATACTGGAGAAGAGATTGATGATGTTGATAAAGTCAATTCAATAGACGACTGCGTAAAGCGTGAAGTTAATGCTGAATCAGACGAAGATGATGAAGTTAAACTAGTAGATATTAAAAGTGTTGGAAAATCTCCAAAAAGTGTAGAAGAAAATATGACAGTTCCATTGATATCAAGTATACATGGAGGTGAAAAACCGACTGATGATTCTATGATGGATATTTCAACAGAAGTGACATTTGAAGACGATGGAATCGAGTTGGTAGACGATGGAATAGCAATTGAAGATGACGATGATTATGGGGCAGAATCGGTTGAACCTGGTAAGTATAATAAAATAATAATTAAAAGCAAACTCCTTCGAAGTAAGATGGTCATTATTGGTTCTAATCTTCTTTCATTAGTTGCCAATTACTTATTTATTATTTTCTATTTCAGAAGCATCAGAAGATAATGAACCCGCAAAATTCGATCTGAAACTATTGATGCATCCTTGCGTGTACACAATAAAATTAGAAGACATGTACGTTTTCAAAAATAAAGACATACACGAAGTGAAAGACGTGCTCACAATAGAAGCTGCTCTAATCGAGAGTAAAATGCATATCAAAAAGGAATCGATCAATGATTTAAAAGAGGAACTGCAGGACATAATAAAAGAGGACTTGGAGGACATAATAAAAGAGAAACCGGAGATAATAATAAAAGAAGAGCCGGAGAACATGATAAACGAGGACCCGAACGAAATAATAAAACAGGAGCCGGAAGAGGACACAAAACACAGCAGCGACGAGAATTCCAGCGACGAAGACGAGGTGCCCGAGAACAGAAGGGTGAAACTAACCAGCTACATGCTCCAAAAGCCGAAGAGCCGAAGCTACAACCCGATCCAGCTGTGCAAGAACCCCGACTTCAACACGCGACTGAAGAGGCTCACAGTGGGCTTCCTGAGCTCGAACAGGAACAGGCTGCTGCTGAAATACCTGAAGCCGATGACCGTCGATCTGAGTAAAGCGTTCGAGAGCAAGCTGATAGACGGGACGATATATCTGAAGCCGGACTCGGACGGGCCCAGGATCAAACGCGAGAAGGAGGAGGAGACGAGCTCCCAGGCCAGCAGCGCCGTGCTTCCGTCGGCTATGCCCGCGCAGATGCTCATCGATTCCACCTGCACGGCCGCGCTGCGCGACCTGCTGCCCCCGCCCTCGCGGAACCACCCCACCCCTCTCCCGGAGCGACAGAAGACCGTCACCCTCCCCGACATCAACAACATCCGCCGCATCAACCAGAACCTCCTCACGGCGGAGGTCACCCCCATGCGGATCCAGGCCGGCGACGCCAACAAATACGACCCCCCCGTCCATATAGTCTCGCCGCCGAAAGCAACCCCGTTCGTCCCCGAAAACCCTAAGCGGGTCGAAACGCGCCCCGAGAATGTAACGAACGCTCCCGAACCCGACCCCGAAACCGCAGCCCCGGAAGCGGTTTCGGGCCCGTCGACGGCCGCCCCCGGGGAGAAAACCAGGAAACAACATACGAAACAACCGAGAGCGTTCGTCAGCTGGAACGTGTACAAAAAGCCGAGCAAACCGTGCGCCGAAGACGAGTTCCTGTTGACTCTGGACGCTCTCAGCAAAATGTTACATCTGTTCAACGAGAACGAAACGGTGTTGAAAATTAAAGGCCACAAGCCGCTTTTCAGACAAAAAATGGAATTAATGAAGCGACTCTATCAATATGAAAATAACGTCGAAGACGAAACCCGCGAATCCTTCGACATCACCGAGGAGGATAAGGCCAAGGAAGCCGCGAAAGAAAAAGAAAAGAAGCGTAAAGAAAAAGCTATGGATGTGCCGCCGCCCTTGGTAGTTATCACGCCGAAAATAAACGTCGTCGAAGGACAAGAACCATACGCTCCGTACTGTTGTTGGGCTCGCAACAAAATCGTGACCGGCGGCGGCAAGGCGCTGCGAGCTCATCGATGCCCGCGGGTGTGCCGCTGCTGCTGCCGAGATCAGTTGGCGCAACAATTCGTTGAGAGACACAAAAAACCTCCAACAATAGACATTTCTGACGAAGACGAAACTCCAAAATTAAAAAAAGTGAGTGAAAGTATAGAAACTGTCGTGCAATCGGCTCCAAGGTTGACAGTCAAGCCAGCTGAAGAATTACTACCGCCACCACTAGTGCTGTCTAAAAAGAAGCCCAGGAGGCATATAGTTCATGTACCGGCTGCGATGGACGCTAGAACCGTCTCCACTTCTACTGTTTCCACATCAACCGACCTCGATTCTACAGACCCCGCGATGGCTGTCTCAACTCCTGCCGTGAGCGGTTCGCTTAGTTCGGTCCCCACTGCAGACGTGTCCGCTTCGCCCGTTACCACTTCCGTCATTGACGAACCGGGTGTTAGTCCAGTCATTCCCGACCCGGTCGATCCTGCTCCGGTCGTCCCCGCTACGGCCATCCCGACTCCGGTAATCCAGCCGCCTCCATCCACAATTGCTCCCAAAAAACTTAACCAGTCGGAAGTAATAACTATAAATGACAGTGACGACGTTACTCCTCCACTTCCGAAAATAAAACCCCCTAATAAAAGAATGTACCCTTACGCCGGCATGTCACAGCTTATCCGGAAAGACACCTTTGTATTCCCGACGCCGTATCGACCGCGCGTCAAGCATCAGGGCCACATCACCATAGACGCCAGCCGAAAGGAATTGAAAATCCACAGCCAGACAGCGACCTACCGCGACGCACCGGGCATGATGGAGAAGATCCTATACCTCAACAGTAAAAAGCAGGCCGAAGGAGCCTCACCAATATTTCTGGGTCAGAATAAAATTTTGTTGACTGACATCCGATTTCCGCGTAATGATTCTGTCGGGACCGTACAGAGCATGTTACCTCCCGTCAACACAGTGCCGGTGACGATACCCACCACCGCGGAAGCGCCGCCGCCGCAGCTGCCTGCCGGCGTGCACATTGTCCTGCTGCCCGATGGACAGCTGACCTACTCCGTCGAGTCAGGCGTCGAACTTACCGAGCAGGACCTCGTAGCGATTCCGATCATAATAGAAGCCGTGCGAAAACAGCTCAACAGCACAAATAACGCTGGACTGAATGCGGCTGGCCAACTGGATGTTATTAACGCAGCAATCGCCGGTGTAGCAAGCTCTGCTGGTGCAGCGAGCACTACTGGTCAACCGGACACTCCTGGTGTAGTTGCTGACGCAAATTCCCAGGAGCCTGTTGACCTTACCGATGAAAACACTGATGATGCTCCTGCATGTTCAGATGTGACGACTAATCCCGAGGCGAGTGTGCCACTCGAACCCGAAACACAAGAATCTGCTGCAGTTTCGAGTAATACCGAAAATAAAACAGATTCAACGGAGAACGACAGTGAAAACCAAAACCAAATCGAAAACAAAACAGATAATGATTCCGCTAAAATAGTGAACGTTATGAATACTAGCCCAGAAAACATTCAAATGACAGATACTTCAGAAGCTGAACGGGATAATAATAATGCTGCTAGTACTGAAAATATTAGTGAAGTGCCATCAAACCAGACTGAGCAAGAAAATTCATTAACGGAAACCAATGATAAAATCACAGTGCCTGACAATGAAACTACCACTCCAATAGAAATGTCCGATGATAATAAAGTTGATCAAGGAACTGGTGATTCAGCAGGGCCTGCTGAACCCTCAGATGTACTGGAAAATAGTTCCGAAAAGCCAGAAGCTACGACGTCGAGCAATTCCAACAGAAAAACGCTATTATCTGATCTAATGGAAATGTCGGGGATATCTGAGGAAGACATTCAAACAAGTGTTCCCGTGGTGAATCAGGTTGTTCAGACGCAGCCAGTTATGCTTACAGCTCCTGCGGAGGCAGACGTTATGATGACAGCTCCCGCCCAGCCGGAGGCTTTGCTGCCAGCGCCGGTGGATCCAGACGTTGTAATCGACGGCCCAGTTCCTCCGCCCCTTACGCCAAACTGCGCCGAGCTGTCTCCGATCATGTCATTTAGCCAACTAAAGTACGCATGCGAACGTAACGGCACATTCTTCAAATTGGACTTGAAACTTGGAACGCTCTCGAGGATATCGGTATGTTTAAAGAAAAATCCTCCTCGGAAACAGCCCTTGAAAATACTGCCGAAATCTGTGATCGATCTGACGGACGACCCAGAAGACGTGCAGGAGGTGCCACTGGAGTCAGTTGACGAAGATACGCTGCCAAAGACCGTGATACGAACTAACAAGTCTCTATTGAAGGACCCTAAGGACCGACCGACTTCCGGGCAGCCGGAAGCCGTCACACCGTTAAAACTTTTCAGAGCTATTCGTATCTTAAAAAAGAATAAACAAGAATCTCATCTCAAACCACTCATAAGTAAACCTTCATCAAGTAACGCAACTAATAATGTTCAAACAAAACAAACCAGGAAGCAGGAATTGAACGAATCTAGCTTAAGGCATGAATCACAAAGTGAAAATAATCAGGAAACGGGCCAAGAGTCGGTAGACGACGGATTAACATCTCGAGAATTGGACGAAAGCAGTCTCGATTCAGAAGAACTCAATCAATACATATGGAAAGACTCATCAGGCAGTGAGAGCGATTCGTCCGATGATGAACCATTGGCTAAGAAGGCTAAGCGAATGAGGTGTGACGAGGATCAGGAAGAGAGTAACGTTGGGGAGGCACAAATGGATCAAGATCAAAACCCTGCGATTGAAAGGCCTAAAGAGGTAGAAGTTTCGAAAGATACGAATGCACAGAACGAGGTTGAAATGGAGGTTGTTAATGATCAAATGGAGGACGAGAAAATGGTGGAGGAAAGATTGGAGGAAGATGAAGAGGTCCCTGAAGATGCAGATATTGCGGGAGTCGAAGAGGTGCCTATTGCGGGAGGCATGCAGTCAGAAATGATGGAGCGAATGGACGAAGGCGAGGACGACGATAACTGCATTCTTGGAGTTTAATTCCCATCACTCGTAATTTGATGAACAGCGAACAGATGATTTTTGAAATTATTGAAACTATATTTGCTTCAAATGAAGAAATGGGACGTACAAAACACGTTTATAGCATCATATTACAATTTGATATTGGACAGAAGGAAGAGAAACTTTGTAAATAAATAAATGTGTAGTGTTATGTAAATATGTCTTAATGTAAGTCTTGTATTAGAATGCCCAAAATATACATATTCAAACGTAAACAAGGTGTTAATACATCTGTCTATTATGGATATGTATTATTTTTTTAACTTCTTATGGCCAAGCCAAGATATTTTATAGCAGGTATGTACTTACTTACCCTTTTTTTAGTCTCATTCTTATTTTATTAACATAAGAAACTGACACTATTGTAAATCCTATACAGGGTGTTAGGTAAATGGGTATATGAGCCGACACTAGCCCATGTTAACATGGTCATATAAATGGTATGGTGAAATCAGAAATTTGATATCATCATTTTAATTTTTTTAATTTTCATACAAAATTAATTTTATAATATCCGATTTGTATGAAAAATAAAATAATTAAAATGAAGATATCAATTTTCTGACTTCACCATACCATTTATATGACCATGTTAACATGGGCTAGTGTCGGCTCATATACCCATTTACCTAACACCCTGTATACAGTCACTATTGTCCATTTATGTTTATGCCTATATTTATAACTTATGTACAGACCTATTCGTAGTTTCTTTTAATTTACTTTATTTGTTCATAACTTGCTAAATTATCCCTAAATGATGGGACTGTGATATATTTAATTGTCCACTTTAAAGTGTTTGTAATAAGTTACCTATTAGCAATTAGAAATAATATTCAAAAACATTTTCCAATAAGTGCATTAATCTCAGTGTCGTTGTATGTTGTATAGTTTCTGTCTAAGTATATTACAACAGTGTATTATGAAAAAATTGCAAGTCAAAAGTTATGTTATAGGTAGGTACATGGTGTTAGGTAAATGGGTATATGAGCCGACACTAGCCCATGTTAACATTGGGCATATAAATGGTATTTTGAAGTCAGAAAATTGATATCTTCATTTTAACTATTTAAATTTTCATACAAATCGGATTTTATAAAATTTATTTTGTATGAAAATTAAAAAAATAATAATGATGATATCAAATTTCTGACTTCACCATACCATTAAATGCTCATGTTAACATGGGCTAGTGTCGGCTCATATACCGATTTACTTAACACCCTGTATATTAATTAATTAACATAAAAAGACAAATAGATAGTTGTAAAGAATGAATGAAGGATTACGGGTAACAACAAATCTACTATATAAAAATAAGTCGGGTTTTCCTCCCTGACGCTATAACTCCAGAACGCACGAACCGATTTCCACGGTTTTGCATTCGTTGGAAAGGTCTCGGGCTCCGTGAGGTTTATAGCAAAGAAAATTCGGGAAAAGGGGGTAAAACGGGATCCACGCGTACGAAGTCGCGGGCGGCCGCTAGTTACCTATAATTAAACTATTTGTTAATTAATAAAGAGTATTTAACACAGAAGAATTGTAATGTAAAAAATACTAAAAGATGAGTTATTCGAGAGAATCCTCTAGAATGCTACTATTCCCGAGTTTGCGATTATAAGTTGACTAGAGATTTAATACCTACCTACATCACAAGTGTAAATGATGCTTAGTTAATATTGATTTTCATTTATTAATCATGCATTTCTGTTTTATTTAAATGTAACAAAGCGGATATGAAAGAACATCTTTCGATCATAGGGTTTATTAAAATTGTTGAGTATAAGATAAGTAGGTAGTACCTTAATTTTGAAAGCTGCTGGACGGTAAACATGTACTTTATTGTGAAGATTTCGTTTGATTCTTAATTTAATGACTTGTATTTTGTAAACGACGACGGTTTGGTGAATTCTTAATCTGTGAATGCAGCACGAAGTCACAAACTGTAAGATTGATATAAGGAAACTTACAGTCACTCAATTCAATCAAGCTCAATATCTATACTAAAATTGATCTAATATACTTTATTTACAAATTAATAAAGAGCTCAAAGGCATTGCTGTCGCTTATATCTTGTGATTTTGTGCTACAGGAATGTGGATATGTACGGAGTGTATTTAGGTATTTGCATTTTAAAAACACTGTGTATTTATGTGACCGTAAAACATTTAAGTTTTATGAATATTGAGTAGAAATTATGACTGTTTTTAGTTGTTGTGATAATGAATAAAACTTTTATTCGCCTATTCACTTCTCTTTTATTCATTTTATATATTCTCTTACCATATCGTAACAATCTATAATAAAGTAGGTAAGTCAACAGTTTAAAAATAAAATGTTTTTTTATTTTGAACCTGTTGTAACCCATTGCGATTGCGCTACTACGCCATGGGATCGTCAAACTCATCAATCATGTTTAAAATAATGTAAAATTTAACTATATTTTGGGTTTAAACCACATACGTACTTAAATTAATTAAATAAAAATCAACAGGTTTATGAGTCGTCTATACAGGGTGTTAGGCAAATGGGTATATGAGCTGACACTAGCCCATGTTAACATGGGCATATAAATGGTATGGTGAAGTCAGAAAATTGATATCTTCATTTTAATTATTTTAATTTTTATACAAATCGGATTTTATAAAATTTATTTTTTATGAAAATTAAAAAAATTAAAATGATATCAAATTTCTGACTTCACCATACCATTTATATGCGCATGGTAACATGGGCTATTGTCGGCTCATATACCCATTTACCTAACACCCTGTAGATGGCGTTGTGGGTCGAAATGACGATTTGGTGTTCTTATCTGGTTCATAAGTTTATTTTGGTATTATTTATTTTAGGTCGGTAAAAACACAGTATAACTAGTGTTAGTATACTACACTTTATCTACAATCCGATCCGATTGAATTTAGGATTTAAGACACTATTAAATAAACAGTTTATAAAAATAAACGTACCTATCTAATAAATAAATAATATTATGAGCCAGTTTAAAAACACAATGTCACCATTTTACACCCACTAGTATCTAATTTTACACCCACTGACTAAGAAAATACACAGTATTAACAATAATAGATTGTATTAACAAAGCAGCCTATCTAATAACAACATTAAATGCTTCTACTGCTGCGAGTTCTATGGCCTTATGCACTTCATTGACTTCTGCCTGGGTAAGGGTCCGTTCAAGGTGCCTGTACACGATGCTATAGCAGAGGCTATGTTTCTTTGACTTTGGATGCACAAATTTGTCTTTCAGCGTCACCTGGAATGTGAAAAAGAAAATATTTCAATATGCATATCATGATAAGTATGCATTTCTTACGATAAAAATAAAAATTGTAAATTATAAGAGTTAAATTCTATGGATTTCTAAATAATGCTTAAAAATCGATTCAATCTCAAGTCAGATTATGTCCTGATACTACTGGTCTGTATATTGAGATTTTATGCTTTTAAGCCTCAATCTATGCAGATGGTATGGTATTGTCTTTTGCTATGGAATCATGTCTACTAACCTGTTCTATGATATCACCACCAATATCTCTCACAAGATCGTAGAAATCATTGCTCATAAAAGAATCAATTGTCAAAGTTGGGGGCAGCCAGAACGATATATCATTCGTACACTGTGGGTATGACGATACAGGCTTATACGTAATCTTCGCATCAATATCTTTATCCTGAAACTGGCTCAAGAATCCAGAGTCAGTACTCCACATTAGCCTGATGTCCGGTATCTTGTACAATGCCATCGCAAGTCGTTCTAAACCTAGCCCAAAAGCATAAGCGATACTGTTATTGGGTCCAGCAGAAATTAGTATTTCATTCCGAACTATACCACAGCCCAGAACTTCCATCCATTTGTTTTCATAGAATATTTCCAGTTCCCAAGAGGGGTGTGTGAATGGGAAATAAGCTTCGACCCATCGGTGTTTCACGTCTTTTCCAAATAAAGCATGAACTAGTCCAATAAGGTGATTCTTCAACTGGGCCTCCATTAGCTTTGTAGCTTCTAGTGTATGGCAACTTTGCTTGTTTGGGTCTGTGATAGTGTTTGTGAAATTATGAGGATTCTCTGGATCAAAAGCTGGTTCAAATATTTCCAAATCTGGGTGCTCCCTGAACAGTTCTTCTTTACGTTGAGATCTTACTGCGTCCACCTGAAATGAAGAAATTGTTTTGTTATTATAGATCAAAAAATGACATAACTATGTTAACTTAGTCACATTATTTCATAAAATGTAATTACTTACTTGATGAAATACAGGAAAATGTGTAGAATCAATCTCATCTCGTCTGTACACATCGCCTATCATCAAAAAGTTATCCAAACCGGATCTCAGCAGCTCGCTCTGGTGCGCAGTCATGTGAGCACGGAATAGAACATTTTTATTCACATAATAGCAATCAGATTTGGCTCTGCTCGGATGGTCCAACGGTATCAGGAGATCATCAAAGTTCTGCTTCGTTGTAACTATTGGTGACAGGTTATCGTACACACTGAACGTTGGGTTACCTCTCTGTGTAAATGATTTGTAGAAATAGTTCACTATCCGTTGCCGGACTATTGATAGAGGGTTATTTTTCTGCAAGTGCAAGTTGCGTCCCAAATATGATATGATTTTAGGAGTAACATTGGTGTAGTCATCAGACACAAATTCCTTTTCGTTTATACGTACTGTAGACACAGATTTTGGGGCTGTGCTGTATTTGCACCGGTGAAGAATAGCAGAAAATGAATACTGTCGTCTAAATATTATGGTCATAGTGGAACTAGTAAATGTAGATGATCTTTTGTTTACACTTTAATTTAACAAACGGGATTTCTTAATTCAATAAATAAAATACATTACATTTCAGGAACTGATTGAAGAAATTCTATTTTTTCTTCATCTCATCTTCTGTCATCTTCATACTGCCAAAAAATTTTTATCGAAAATTGTAAAGATGACACTTGTCCGAATCAATCAGTGTCTGAAAGTGGGTTGGAATGTTTTTACTCGTAATGTTTTTACTCTTGTAAAATTGTATTTAATACGTAAGTAAATTGTTTTTTACTAAAGATTAATATTAATTTGTAATAAGAAGTAAATTATATTAGGATAGGATGTTCAAAATTGACCCATTTCTTGCCGTTTTATAAATCATACAATAATACCACATTATCGGAATTTTATGTATTTGACAATCAGCTGTTTTTGACATGCGCGATGTATAGAAAGTGACAGGAAGAGCAGTGAACTTAACCTAAAAATATTTTAAAATTTCGTAACATAAAATTCAGTGAATCGTTGTTTAATTTTTGAAGCGGACAAATTAACTTTTAAATTAAACTTTCAATCAATTCACAACAACAAACGCCAATGTTCCGCAAAAAACTTTTTCAATTCGCTCAGTTAAGTTCGGTCGGATTAGCCGGGTACTATGCGGGGCAATTTAGAGCTAAAAGTGACAAGAACGACACAATACTTATCGATGGTAAGGCAGTCAGGAACATGCCAGGGCTGCCCATTTTCGGGACGGTCTCGGCAGCCACTCCGTACACTGATAGTGGGTCTACTAAAGATCGGGTAAGTTTCAAAGTTTGTAGTAATAAGTTCCCTAAGTACCAAGCTAGGTTGTCTCTTGTATGAAAGCAAAATCCGTGTCATTTCCGTCGTGCTAGTATAGGTACTTAAGGTTTTTTTAATAAGAATCCTGCAAAGAACTTTTTCTCTAGCAGGCGCGGATCCAGCCCTCAAAAAAGGTTGTGGGCACAGCAGCCACCAAAAATTATCAAAGTGAGAGTTGGATTGGATTACCTACGAACTCACTCACGCTCGATTTTTTAAAGGCTCACCAGTCAGCCGTTTTTATCATCCGCCTATCGATCTTATCAATAGATCATAATTAAAACAAGCAAATTAGGGTTGTGGGCATGCCCATAGTGCCCACAACGGTGGATCCGCGCCTGTTCTCTAGGCCCTACAGATTTGGATTAGCCCTATCCTAATCTGTGATAGGCCCCCTAGAAGTGGCAACCATTTACTCTTTGTCTCAGTTCCAAGTATTTTGGCCTTGCTTTATCAAATATTATCATATTTATTGTGAAGAAAACACCAAACATTTTTATATTGATTTTATTTATTTGTTTTTAAGTAAATTATACTTAATTTTTTAACTATTTTTTTTTAGGTATCACAAATAATGAAATATGGTTTTCCAAGCTTGGACAATGTGCGGTCCTATGACGACTTTGTATTGTCTTATGACAGGCGGAACAGAGTGCCTAATTGGGTTTTTGAGCATCTAACGAAGGCTCATGTCGCTAGAAACGACCAAGTGGACAGAAGTAAATGTGATTTCACTCCTGATGAAAGTATACATCCATTCTTCAGGTATGTACTTACAATATAATATTTTGACGTAACACATTTTAGGAATTATTGTTTATTTCTGCTTTGTCCCTTGATGCTTCTTCAGTCTTCGATGTGGTAGTAGAGTTAGAGTTTGCAGGCTTATTATGATCAGGGGGATAGTCGGATAGTGTGTTGTCAGAATTAAAAAACTTTATGTACACAGACCCAAACATATAAGAGAGTCTTCGTTCTTTCTCCAATATCTTCCTCACAATAGGCTCTGGAATGCCAAACATTATATCAGTTTGGTTTCTAAAGATTCTTGTATGATAGTGTTTCCACGAATGGCATTCGGCCCATTGGTTTTGTTTGGCCAGCATATTCCGAATATTGTCAAGTGTGGTGACTTTATGAGGGATAACAAGACTGCATCTGATCAGATTTGGCATGTCACATTCTCTGACCACCTTCAGAGTGGGACCTGGCCAAGTCTCTCGCATTTGGCCAACTGTGCGTTCAAGCCACGTGACCGTTTCTTCATTCTCACACCATAGGCGGATTGATCCCCTAATATGAAGTGGTTTGCCTTTAAACTTCGGAACGAATTTATCAACTGGTTTGAGAATTTGATCAATCAAAAGATGATGAAGGGTATACATTGCCGATTTGAACTGGTCTCGTTCGAGGTTTGCGCCAGATTCGGGCATGATTACCATCTTTAGCTCGCTCGGGTCGTGAACCCTGGCACTGGTCGCCGCTAGCCTTTCTCTTCTCTGCTGTTTATATTCTTCAAGAGAGAGACCTTCCTCCACTGCAACAATATTAAGAAATAACACAACTAACTGGCAATGCTTAAAATGACGTCAAGAGAATATGGAGCATTTAAGAAAACTAGTCGTCACGGTAAGGCCTATACTGGCTTTATCGTCGTTTATTCGTCAGTTTAAACAGACGGACAGAAGGTCTTACTCTTATGTCTCATTTTAATGGCAAAAATGGCTAAAAGTTGTTTTAATTAAATTACAGATCACAGAACAGCGACTACAAGGGCTCCGGTTTCGATAGAGGCCACATGGCCGCTGCGGGTAACCACCGCATCGCACAGAGACATGTCGAACAAACTTTCTACCTCACCAATATGGCGCCACAGGTAACAAATAAAGCCTCAACCACAACAACGCGTACAGATCGCCATCGCCGTCGCGATCATGACAATGGCAGGTCAATGACAGGTCGCGCGACCCATGACAGTCCGCGCGACTCATGACAGTCCGCGCGACCCATGACAGTCCGCGCGACCTGTCATTGGCATAATCGCGCCGGCGATGGGCGCTCTGCACGCGTTTGGTGTGGTTGAAGCATTTATAGTGTTTTAGATTGGGGACCGCGCGATGTTGTGATAAGACGGCAGCACGTCAAGCTAAGCACTGTAGTTCTTATGTAGTTGTAATAAGGTGTTATTGTGCATCGAAAATGTGTAATCTGATGTGCTTTCGTCTGTACTAAATGTCAAATCCTCCAGAAAAGCCGCGGCGTGGACAGAATGTCCTTAAAAAGAACAACTAGCATTTTTTATTTTTCTGCACTTCTTTCATACAATGAGAATGTTAATCAATTTTCTTTTCTCTATTAGGTAGGCGAAGGTTTCAACAGACACGCGTGGAATAAGCTGGAGAAACATGTTCGGAAGCTGACGAAGGTGTACGATAATGTGTACTGCTGCACAGGCCCGTTGTACCTTCCAAGGTAATCCATTTTTCGCATAATACGTGGACGCCACGCGACTCACCGGTGAGCCTCGAAAAATTTGTATTGTGTCTAAAGCCCGGTCCGTGAGCGAGATTTTTACCTTTGGAGAGCTAAACGCTAACCAATTAAAAATAATAATTTAATGTAAAATACTCGAGTGTCGTATTCGTATCTATTCCTCCGTGAAAGTCCTACATATTTGATACAAGTTTTAAATAATTCTTAAAAAAAATCATACTAAGTAAAGCCTGGTCCGTGAGCACGTAGAATTTTGTCCAATGACCCCTAGCTACCCATCCTTATCGCTCGCGCGTAATTATATTGCTGTCGCGACTGTGCGACTGGCACCCGCAGTGGGTGTGCGAGCGCGACAGCAACATAATTACGCGCGAGCAATAAGGATGGGTAGCTAGGGGTCATTGGACAAAATTCTACGTGCTCACGGACCAGACTATAGTGTCTGGGCAGTCAACGATTTAAGGCACTATATTGACACTGAAGGAAACTGTGACACCTCAATCGCCCCTGCCTAGTGTCCCTTTGTGCAGACGTTGGGCACAAGGTCAGATATCCATGGGAGAATGGCGTAGATATTGGGGATGACTGCTCATGTTATAATACTTAATGAAACGAAAAAAGTTTTTCGCTATAAACTGATAATGCATTTGCCATAACTTCATAACGCATACATCAATAGCATCAAAGGTCTAGTGCTTAACTCAGGGCCTGAGATATGGGAGCGGAACGGGAGGGGTGACATTGACATTATTTGTGATATGACAGAACAAGAAATCTGAAGATCTGAAGTTCCGCTGACATTTGACGTTACAAAAACCTCGTACCTCTTCCATACCTCAGGGGCATTGACTGAATTATGCGTTAGACCGCTAACCTATAACATCAAATCAACTATCGCACACTCACTGCGGCCGCACGTCACACAGTCGCGACAGCAATATAATTACGCGCGAGCGATAAGGATGGGTAGCTCGGGGTCATTGGACGAAATTCTACGTGCTCGGCGACCGGACTTTAGTACTATAAGTTTTTAGAAAAAAAATATCTTATTTCCAGGCGTGAAGCCGACGGCAAATCGTACGTCAGATACCAAGTAATTGGCGCCAACACGGTAGCTGTGCCGACGCACTTCTACAAGGTGGTGGTGTGCGAGGCGCCCAGCGGAGCCCTAGACATGGAGGCCTACGTCATGCCCAACCAGCGGATACCGGACGAGACGCCCGTGTCTGCGTTTATGGTAAGTCCGACTAGGGGCCATTCATTTGTTACGTAAGACTATTTTCGCTAGTTTTTGACGCCCTCCCCTAGCTAAAGTCCGGTCGCCGAGCACGTCGAATTTCGTCCAATGACCCCAAGCTACCCATCCTGATCGCTTGCGCGTAATTATATTGCTGTCGCGCTCGCACACTCACTGCGGCCGCCCGTTGCACAGACGCGACAACAATATAATTACGCGCGAGCGATAAGATGGGTAGCTTGGGGTCATTGGACGAAATCCTACATGCTCGGCGTCCAACTTTAGAAGCTGGAAACATTGCATTTTCGGATAGAACCAGTTTATTCTGTAACCTATTATTGATATCGTTTGAAAGAGCTTGTGAAGCACTTTCAGGATCAGTAATCAGTTTTTCGACATCTTGTATAGTTTAGAAATAATCGAGTGAGATCACGTATCATTTCCACCTTGTATAGGAAGAGCAGCACTTGCCAAATGTTTGTCTCGAAGCGCTGGTAGGGCAAAAAAATAATGAGACATGTATAGGCTCCTTAAGAGCATTTGACGATTTGCAAGTACTAATTAATTTAATTAGTCTAAACAAATAAAGATAATTTTGATTTTGAAGACGTTGTTTTTTTTACGAATATGTCGAGAAATGTAATATTTAAGACTGACAAATTTCTCTGATTACTTCGCAATTCTAATTAATATGTATTATTTATTTCAGGTACCTCCTGAAACGATAGAGCGGGCAGCGGGTCTGCTCTTCTTTGACAAAATACATAGAAGTAAACTACACACTATCAACGGTAAAAAAGTTTAAAGTATAGTTAATGATTAGAATTGTTTTTTTATTTTATCTGAATTGACAAAGAAAAGGAAGAATCGGATTTTGGACCTGTGAAGCCCAATATTGTATTTTTTTTCTACAAAACTGATTTTTATTTCAATTATACATTGTTTGTTATATAAAAAGACCTTTATTAGATGTGTTCCCATACAAATCAGAGGTCTTGGTTGACTAGAGAACGATTTAAATACGGGTAGTTGAATAAAATTATGTTGAGGATCTGCACCTTATTTTGATGGTGAACTGAATAGTTTAGATTTTAATTTAATGCAATATTAAATGGCGACTTGCTGTGTGCTGTGAATTGTTATTGTTATAGAAATTATGTGTTGTAAATAAATGAAATCGTATACGTAACTTTGGTTTTTAATTACATCCCTAGCTGGTCAAAACACAACAAAATGTAGCGGTAAATAATATTGTAAGTCTTCAGTTTACTATTGTCTATTAATAAGATTGTAGTAAGATATAATAATACCTGGTATTATCTGTGATAATACGTTGTCCCTTTTGCTTCAACTACACCAACGCGTGCTGATCGCCATAGCCTGCGCGACCTGTAAAGCTAAGCGTCCACTTGTCGGTATCGTACCCAACGGACGCATCGTACGAAACACATCGTATCGGATGTGCGATGCGTACGATGCGGACAGGTAGGCGCACTTATATGAGTTTGCATATAAATAATACTACGATCCGTTGCGTGCGATACGTCCGATGCGTACGATACCGACATGTGGACGCTTAGCTTTATTGGCCTAGCGATCTGCACGCGTTGGTGTGGTTGAAGCTTTTTTTATCCACCTGAATATTTCTGCAAAAAGTCGCACGCAGTGTAAAAGGGCCTAACCCCAAAACAATCGTTTACGAATTTTCGTGAAATAAAACGCGTCGTTTGTATAAAACGTGTGTATATTATAGTATTATTAACATGAGGCTATCATGACAGTATGATACAGTTCAGTTGTCGTCGTCTTCGTCGGAGGCGCCGTTCTGCTGCGGTTCGTCGACTCCTGCGTCGCCCATGCCTACAAATTGAAGATAAATTAGTAAAATTGGCGGGAAAGGTTTTAAAACTTCGCTTGCATAGTCTAGGATTATAGTAATCTACTACAAATTATAAATGCGAAAGTAACTCTGTCTGTGTCGCTTTCACAACTAAACCAATGAACCGATTTTGATAGAAATAGTTTGAAAAGGACATAGAATAGTTTTTACCCCGGTTTTTGAAAAAGCGCGCGATAAAGTTTTTCTTTCACAGACTAAATTCCACGCGGACGAAGCCGCGGGCGGAAATCTAGTAGGGTCAAGGAGGCAACAGTGACTCGGTCGGCTACAGTGGCTCAGTCATGTTTCGACCTGAAGGCATAGGAATATATATTTGTCTCTTTTACCGATTCAAAGGTCTTTGTACCCGAACACGTTTAAACCAGTTTGCTCGCCGGTCAAGTGCCGTGCGGAAGGGTGAGGGAATGTTTTTTGTTTTCGCGCCCTCTAAATTACATTCTAAGGTGAGTTTCGATTGTTTTCATATCTTTGTTTGTTGCTATAGGTAATAGCCGTTATATTTATCGGATAGTAGGTCTTGTATCAATTGTCTTTAATCCGAATTTTGACTAATTTGTTTTACATCTTGGTTTTTTTGATCAAATATTTACAAAATGGCGTAGAAGTACACAGTGACTCAATTTTAATACTTTATACGAATTCAATATTTTATAACTGTAAATCGAATTTTGTTTTTTTTTTTACAGAATGCCACGGAAAAAAACTGACAGAAAAATAGGGAAGAAATAAATAACGAAGAGATTGAGATGACTTAAGATCTTATAGGTTGCAATAAAAGTACTAAGAGTCGTGTTGAATTGTTGATTATAATAAGAATAGCTTGTGCAGTTTTGTTATTATTTCTAATAAAAAACTACGCGGAATGGGCATTTTCTTTTCATATAAATACTGCCTTACCACGTTAATACTGTGTACCACGGTAGTGAGTCAGTGTGTACACCTAGTAGTCCACAGTGGCTCAATTATCATTTTTTTGTTTTAGGTTCCTACTTTGACATAAGTAGTAAATAATGTAGAATCATGAGTGCTCAGTTACAGTTCAATAGTGTATCTAAAATGTGAGCAAATTTTAGGCCAATATTAAAGCGATATCTATTTTTATTAAGCTTCGAAAAAAAAGTGAGTCACTGTTGCCTCCCTGACCCTACTGTTTTTAAAGCTTTTTTTTTATGGCAAAGAATTATGTAAGTCATGGCAGGACTGAATTATCCCTTAACCTTGCAGGTGGTTTGGGAGCAGGGATTCAATCTATTTTCAGATCTAGCAATTCTAGACTATGCAAAAAACCTAGCAGCCCATCCACTATTAAATTGAAGTAGATAAAGCTTATTAACATTTCGACCATGGTTAGATTTCGTGATAACAGTTTCTGTTCCGGCTTAAATTATGAGATAGATGAATAATAAAATTCTATTAAAGTACGGCCAACGAAAAGCGATACCAAATGTAAACAAACCCAATGTCATGGGTGAACCCGTCTGACTTTGACATATTTTGGCGGGAGAACGAGACATTACGACAAATACACAAGATGGGAAGAGACAGAATATATTGTCAACTTGACAGTCGTATCGACCTTTTGTATCGCTGCTAGTTGGCCGTACTTTACATCGTCATTAGGTAACAGTAAAATGAAAAATACATGCAAAGAAGGCAGACAAAGCGAATAAAACAACGTAAAATGTGTCTAATAACTAAAAATGCCAATAAGTTTTACCAGTGGATGGACTGCTAACGGTCTACAACTAAAAAGTGCCGTCGCACTTCAGATCACTAGTCGCCCGTCGCCACAAAAGCGTATTGAGATTCCGCAAAATCAGAGCCCCGATTACGGTAATTTTTAACGTCTACAATCCAGACGCGTTTCTGATTCTGCAATACGATTGGTCAAAACAGCTGACGTACGCTGTTGAACGACCAGTCGTATCGCAGAATCGAGAAGCGTGTCTGGATTGGAAACGTTAAAAGTTACCGTAATCGGGGCTCTGATCTCGAGGGGTTAAAACATTCAATAAATTGGATAGAAGATCGGTCACATGCAAAGTTTTCGTATGAAAATGTTAGAGGCGGCGCGAATAGTGGTATAATGTGCGGTATTTTTTTTTAAATTAGGCATTAGTGTACAATGAATACATGCTTACCAAAAGGCTAGGTGATGATCACTGATGAAATGAAGTTTCAACTGATAATTAATTAAGTGCCAAGCTAAGCAATTTTTGAGCGCAGATTTTAAGAAATTTTAGTGAAGTGCAATTTAAGCTACAAGAACGTTTATAGAGTTCTACATGCAGAAGGTGAAACAACGTACGATGTATGGATTTTTTAAGTTTTTATTTTTTATTTATTTATTATTTGAGCATTATTATGCATGCTCATCGGATAGAAAAATCTTCAAATCCCAGTATTGGCACGTTTTGTTATTATTACGTACGTATTGACGTAAGTGTAAATGTACCAAGGGAACATTATATTAGATTCATTCAAAATATTATAGATGTTTTAGGAATTGTTATAAAAATCCAAAGGTAAAAAGGAATTTGACGACACGAGGATTAAGCAAATTAACAATTTCGTAGATGGTAGAACAGTAAAAACACAAAGCAAGCAGTAAACAAACTTTTATACTAATAATAGTCTTATTAAAACTTATCAACAATAATAGAAAGAGATGTTAAGGTCCACAACAATTATTATTTTGTGTATAATTTGAAATTAATTTGTGAGACCAGAGCCCCGATTACGGTAATTTTTAACGTCAACAATCCAGACACGCTTCTCGATTCTGCGATACGATTGGTCGTTCAACAGCGTACGTCAGCTGTTTTGACCAATCGTATCGCAGAATCAGAAACGCGTCTGGATTGTAGACGTTAAAAGTTACCGTAATCGGGGCTCAGTTATAGGCCATACGCGCAACGATAAACTAATAAACTAAAATAATTTAGGCTGAGTTGCACCACCTAATTTTAACGGTAACTATAATGATAACCGGTGCTTTTTGTATGGAGTTTGACAATTTTTGACGTTTGTTAAAAGTTTGGTGCAACCCAGCCTTAATGTGAAAATCGATAAAATTTTATCGATTTCGAACGACAAATCTATACATTTGTCGTCTAAAATCATCGTTAATATTATATCACGGCGTGCATCGTAGCCCGGCTGCCCAGTGGGTCTAGACAAGTGGTACTTTTTGATCGAATCCGTTGTAATGAGGGCTACCGTTTTAGCGCTCGCCAGTTAGCGCCACTGTAGAGTAAGGTCCTGTCACTTGCTAGTAGCGAAGACAGTGGCACCAACTGGTGAGCGCTAAAGTGGTAGGAGGACTATCGCATTTGCACTTATCAAGATGGCGCCACTGTAGAGTAAGGTCCTGTCAATCGCCAGGGGTGCCAACTGTTAAGAATAAAAACGATAGCCCTCATTGTAAAAAAAGGCCTTTGAAAGTGTCACATTTAGCAACTTGTCTATGGGGTCAGTAAATGATAGCCATGGTTACCTTGGTCCTCGTCCTCCTCGGCGGAGTCGCCGGCCACTTCCGCGTTCTCGGCCTCCGCGCGCTCCATCTGCCTGGCCAGTTCTGCTTCGTCCGTCGCGGTCACCACTTTAGGCTAGAATATTATCATCATGGTCAGTCATAAAAGTCATTTCTTTCGATCAAACACTAATAAGGGCTGATTTTTTAATCGTTGGATAACTCTTATTGAAGAATAATTAGAAGTAGTTTCCTCTTCAGTCAGACAGTTTTTACAGTTCCAACTCCTTGCAGTTTTTTAGGATAGCTGCCAAAGCCACGATGACCCAAACTTCATGATTCACCAACATTATATCCTATATTGGGAGCATACGCTGAACTTTCAGCCTTTATAAAATGACGTAGGTCTGGCGTTAACCAGCTCTTAGTCTATAACTTTGTGCACTTTGACAGTTTCAGTATGGGAAATATGTCAAAATGATAAGCTTATTCTTCAGTTAAAAGATATCTGACGATTGAAAAATCAGTCCTAAGTTATTCAATAAAGATTTATTATTACTATTTTAACAATTTGGCTCCACATTCCACGACAATAGTGAAGGGATCAGCCAGTTTGTTGAACTATCACGGCTCTCGGACAATAATGTGGACCAGTGCTATGAAATCACTTTTGTTAGCCTCATTTTCAGGTCATTAAGTTTCCATTGCAGGAACATAACTCTTAATTTACCAGAAATAAATGGAGAATTTGGCCTTCACTCAGACCAAACAGTTTGAGGAGGCCAGACGTTTGCATTATCGTGGGTCGAATTTCGAAAATACGTAACTGATTTTTATCTATTTGTACAGGAGCGACATTTAAAGAAAAATTGAAGTGTACAAAATGTGCATTTCTGCCCTATTTAACTGTTAATACTGGCTTTCTGACAAAGAATTCAGCTACGATCTTTTGTGAGGTTATAAAATGAATGATTTTAAATAACATGGTGTGTTTAACTCAATATCGCCATTTTATTAGTTACGCCTTTCAGCGATTCGACCCACGATATTTCTTCCATAGTTTCTTCATACTTTTCATATTATGTTGATGGAAATGTCTACTTACCGCCATCTGTACATTGAAAACTCCGCCGGCGCCCATGATGTTCTCTTTGATTTTGTCGATTGCGTCCTGCAGGATTTTGAGACCGTCCGCTTTTTCGGGCGTTGATGTAGTCATTACTGAAATCAAAAAGATACACCTGTTTATAAATATATTACACTTAACTCTACAAAAAGCATCTTGTATAAAGTAAAGATAAATCTACACTAAATTATCTACACTTCTACACTAATATTATTATAAAGAGGAAAACTTTGTTTGGTTGTAATGAATAGGCTCAAAAACTACTGGACCGTTTTTAAAAATTCTTTCACCATTCGAAAGCTATATTATCCACGAGTAACATAGGCTACATTTTATTTTGGAAAAAAATATGTTTTCCACGCGGGCGAAGCCGCGGGCGGAAAGCTAGTTAATAATAAATACACAATAAATTGCTAAATATTTTCACAATATTATTAAGAAGTAAAACATTGGAGAAGTCTTTTTCACCAGTTACTTTTTTAATTATTTCAAGTAACGTGAGAAGCTATGGGCTGATGGATAATTTTGGACAATATTTCATAAGTTACTCGGGTATTTAAGCTATGATAATTTAAATAATATACAGGCTATTTACCATATAAAGGTGGGGCAATTAAGTTGATTTTGATTGGCATATCCGCAGTGGACAGCGTAAGGCCAGCCTTCAACGCAGCCCTGACAGCGTCAATGCCTTCGTATCCGTAGCATGCACACTCGATATCCGCACGGATCTTCACCGCTTGTGATGTCAGCTTCCTCTTAATGTTGGCAAGAAGAACGTCTTTTGTTTTCTCATCGAGACCGCATTCGTTTAAAACAGAGGGATCTCTGTAAATACATATTTTTACACATTAATAAATATCATTATGCAAAAATAAAGCCTTTTAGTTATTAGTATTACATGGCATCTAATCTAGGCAAAAGCCAATATTTAAATCAAATATCAACATTGTCAAAAAATAAACACAGATTGTACAGGCCTTAGACTATATGTTTTTATTGTAAAGTATTCTGTATTACAATGAGATAAGATTCTAGCGTGCTTAGGTTGATATGCTGTCATCTGTACAATAAGTATGAAGTTTCTTGGAGCAAGTACTCTAATTAAAAATATTAAATTAACTTACACAGCAGCTTGTTTGAAGAAGTCGTAAGCAGACGCCTTTTTCTTATATTTCTCTTCAAAGTGCCAAGCTGTCTTCTTGTATAACTCCTCTAGCTGTTCGGAGCTTTCATAGTGGAGCAGCTCGGCTACGTGACGCAGGATTGAGTTGACCGCCTTGGCTTTTGCATACCGTTCTGTACATTTTTCTATGTCCTCTGCTGAGACTCTACGTTTTGACAAATCAATGTAACCTGTAACATGAATGTAGGATTAATTAGTGTTGTGTAAGACTATAGTCGTAAGATGGTCGAGTTGTTATAAGGTTGTAGTAAAGCTGTATAAACTTGTATATTATTAGACGATAAATATACACAGTTGGAAAATTCATCCAGTTTTATTCAAAAACCAGAACTCCCACTTCCCACATGAATACATGGTGGTACATTGAACCACTAATGAATGAAATGACACCCTATTTAGTAAAATCTAGTCTCTTAATTTGTTGATGTTAAATTATTTGAATGAATACTGCTTAATTGATCACGGTTTTGTTTACAATACCCCCAAAATTGTTGCATCAACCTTTTTTTCACAAAAATTTAAAAATAATTACTCAACTACTGTGTAAAATACATGGTTTTATAGCTAACCTTTTTCTTTGTCCACTCTTATAACCACCACGGGCTCAGTTTTGCCCACCCTAATCAATTTGTTGATAGACCTGATACGTCTCCTCGACAATTCGGAAAGCAAGATCATGCCCTCAATGTTGTTATATTCGAGCAGGTGCACGTATGCACCCATCTCTGCTATTGACCGCACGTTAACCATCACTACATCCTCCACTTCTGGATATTTTTCTTGGTAAAATCGACAGGATAAAGGCATCTGCAAGAAAAATCACCATCATAACCTATACTTTTTGGAATTCAACCAAATTAACGATTAAAAACGAGAGCAATAGATCAATAAAATACCTTGACTGATTTAACGTGTCTTTTTAGTTAAATAAACACAGTAACGCCTAAAAAAATGATGAAATCGGGATTTTGTTCACGTTGACCACCGACGACAACTATTACGTTCCGTTTCAATTTGACAACAGAATTTGCAGAAAAAATACCGCTTAAAATGTCAAATACAGAGATTTCACAGTAGCTCGCGTAGAACGGAACGTTCTCAGTGCTGCCATTATAAAAAAATGTCTCTTTACACGCAGATTGCGTTGCGATTTTCGGTTTTCAACAAAAATGAAGAAACCTTTTAAAAATAGAGTCAAGGCCTACACGGGGTCCTCTGGAGTATGGGTTTTACGTTTTTATTTAGCAGATATGATAATAGGTAAGGTACTCATCTAATATACTTCGGAAATGTGAAAAAAATATTTAAAAAATCTATCGACTTATCCTACTCTATTCATATTGCAAAAAAATGTGTAAAAACGCTTTGTTTTTAATTCCATTGTCGCACTTTAAGTACTTTAGTAAGAGTGCATTAGCTAGGCTACCTACATAATATCTTCGGAGAGTAGAGTAAGTAGGTATTCAACTCTATAAACTGCTAATAGGTAACACATTTCTGAGTAGCCACTTCAGATCACAAGCGGCGCTTGAACTAATAATTAATATCATTAGCGATGACCATCATGCACTTGCCGACCATTTGCATCGCATTCCCGACATGAATAGTGAGGAGGTTCGGGGAACTCGGCCCAGATAGGGCGCCCTTGACAATGCGAAGTGGCGCATGAGAAATACAGTCAGCTTCAAATAGCTCGTGACACCCAAAGTGGCTAAAAAGTTGACAACACAACGACGATCATCAAAGAGATGTTTAGGCCAGTAGAATTAAACACAAAAATTGATTAAATCGGAAATAATTCCTACAAAAGATTTTTTTGCTTTAATGGCTTCATTGGTTGCCCATTAAGACTCTCCTAAGTTTTCGACTTCGACGGAGTTGTGCTTAAGTGGTGGGGGCCCCCGAAAGGGGCGTTTTTTCGGTTTTCCGGTTATACCGCGTAAAGGACTTACCCTATCGAAAAGTGGTCTTCATGACGGTTAAAGGGCACTTAATCCTGCATTGAATAAGACCAAATTCATATGTTTTGGACAAACCGTTCTCGCGCTAAAGTTCGGCAAAGAGACGCTGATTCTGAAACACCATATCGCTGAGTTTTAAAGAGCAGCTAAATCGGCAAATATCCCTTGCAAGTGTAAGTCATCATCATCATCATCATCTCAGCCATAGGACGTCCACTGCTGAACATAGGCCCCCCCAATGCTTTCCATGTTGCCTGGTTGGTCCACCTTGTGGGTGGACGTCCCACGCTGCGTTTTCCGGTACCCGGCCTCCACTCCAAATTCAAATTATTTATTGCATGTCACTCCAGAACCTTGCTGCCCCATCGGCCGTCAGTTCTGCGTACTATGTGCCCTGCCCATTGCCACTTCAGCTTGTATCCGTCGGGCTAGTATGTCAGCGACTTTAGTTCGTTTACGGATCTCCTCATTTCTGGTTCGATCTCGTAAAGAAACACCGAGCATAGCCCTCTCCATGAGCTTCTGTATAAGGCCTACAGTGAGAGGCCACGTTTCCGAACCATAAGTCATCACTGGTAACACACATTGGTTGTAGACCTTAGTCTTCAGGCACTGAGGTATTTTGGACGAAAAGATGTTGCGTCGTTTCCCAAACGCTGCCCAGCCGAGTTGGATTCGACGATTGACCTCTTTCTCGAAATTGGACCTACCCACCTGAATCGTTTGTCCAAGGTAGACATACTTGTCAACAATCTCGAGAATTGAGCTCCCAACTGAAACTGGGTAGGGCGCAACATCTTCAAACTCGCCCATCAAGTTCACCCAGCGGATCCGATTTCATTGTATGAGAATGGGGGTAATTGTGGAGAAATCCTTAAAATAGTTCTAAACAGGTTGTTGGCTATACCGCCGACCATTTAGCTGGGTTGATGATGGAGTCAAGAGGTGACCATAGGAACTCTTAAACGAAACGGCGGAATCGCATCGAACTTGGGTTCGATTGTGCGTATGTCGCACTGAAAATTGCGTTTATTACGCTGGTTCAGGGAATTTGATTTGAAAGTGGACTGTATAGGTTTTTTATAATAGAAAATTGATGAAAGGTAGATCAGTCCTCGCAACACAGAGACAGGTAATCTGAGCTTCACCAACCTTAAAATCGACCCTCGCCACGGACGGAAGCCAACCTGCAGACGCACGGCGTTCTGGGCGGTGGAGCACTGCCAGAGTATGCTCGGAGCTGATGCTGATGATGATGATGGTACGCGGAGCACGGCTACACGCGAATTATAGCAAAAGACACGGTCTTTTCAGGGAGTGAACGTCACTCGTAGACTCGCTAAGCGTGCGCGACACACGGGTGTGCGCGATGAGCGTCGCCGGGCAAGTGGGGCTTGCTCCGACCATTGGACGATGGTAGGAAAATAAAGTTGGCGAAGCAAATGTGAGAATACCCGCCAATATTTTTACAAGGACTGAACACTCCTTAATTTTGTATTTATCAATTAGGCGCCAGCTTAACCCGTTTTGACCGATGTCAGTACCCCTGTTACTAATTAAAATAATTCCACCATGGTCGATCGTGTCAAGGCCCCGTTTATATTAATGGATAGGATTTAATATAATTAAAAGCTTTTATTGTTCCAAATGTGTTCTCTAGTTGATTAAAAAAACGTTATGAATCACAGGGTTTGAAGTTGGGGGTCATTAAAAAGATGTTTATCGTACAATTTAATTTGAGTCCATGAATGTATTTGTTAAGTAAATGTTTGAATGAATCAGGAAAATAATAAACCGGTATAAAATAAAAGGTGAAATAGAATATTATAACCAGTAAATATTTGACAGCTATAAAAACAATCGGCAATATAATTTCAGATGAAAATCTATTGTATGTTTTTAGTTCATCATCATCATTTCAGCCACATGACGTCCACTGCTGAACATAGGCCTCTCTCAATGATTTCCATATCGCCCGGTTGGTAGCGCCCTGCATCCAGCGCCTTCCTGCTACCTTTATTTTTATAGTCAAGCACTATAAACATAATAATAATTTTGGTATAATGTACGCCTGCGCTTGTTTTTTAAAATAATCTAAATGCACACCACACATCCAAACATAAACATATCAGTAAAAGTAGCTTAAATATAGTTCTCCGCTGTAAATACGCGTATTTATTCACAGCATGGACTTTAGGCTTCCGGCGATGTCAGCTGCTAACATAGTTAATATTACTGCTCTGATATTAAATATTCAGTATGTTATTGTCGAAACGTTATTCTGAGCGAGTTAAGTGCATTATAATTAGCATACGAGGAGGCTAAGTTTAATCCGCTCTTGGATGTATTGCCATATCAAGTCTGGCACTTCTTGAGTCACTCGGCATCAGCATAGATGCAGCCTTGCATACGAATGACGTCACATGTTTAGGCAACGAAACCCGTGACGAGAGAGATTCTTCTTCTTCTCAGTCGGTACACTCTTGTCAGAGTGGTCGTGGTCATCATTTTGAATCACGATTCAGAGTGATGTTCCTCGTAATACGGCGCCATTCCTCGTGGACTGCAGCTTTCCGGGTACTTTCGCTAACCGAGCACTTAGTTGCGGCCTTGATCTGGTCCGTCCATCTCATTGGTGATCTACCACGTGGTCTGGTGCCCTCAACTTTTCCCTGCACTACGAGACGCTCTATGGAGTCATTACTGCGCCGAGATACATGGCCGAAGAAGGTTAAAATGCGTGACTGAACCGTGGTTGATAGGCGCTGTCTGATGCCGAGTTCTTTTAATATGGAGTCATTGGTACGAAACTCGGTCCACGATATTCCCAGCATCCGTCTCCAGCACCACATCTCCAATGCGTCAATCTTCTTCCTTTCGGTCATGGTGGACGAGAGAGATGGTGTGACATAATAGCGTAGAGTGTAGACTTCTGTAACATATATGGAATTTACGACACAGAAATAATAGAAATAGTGTGCTAGTAGTTAAGTAGTTTAATAAATATAAGATAATGTTAATGAACAATCTTTTAGATTCTAGCTTTCTAATAATGTAACGATGATTGGTAAAACTTTAACAATAAAAAATAAATAAACAATACTGATTACCCACTATTGAAATTAGATTTTATATGTAGCACAAAAGAACGTTCAAGTCAATGTATTTTTTGCCAAAAATGCGTAAGTAATTGATGGTTTAAAGCGAAGTCGCTCTTTGATACGTAATTTTGTCTTTTCGAGGAAGATGTGCGTTTGATTTATGAGTTCTTGACATTCGACATCTGAATCAAAATCAAAATGAGCTTGTGGCGTATCTTCGCGGAACTTTTATGTTTCATGAAAATCAATAATCTATTTTTTGTGCTGATTTATAGAGCTCTCGTATTGTTTCAATTTCTCAATTTATACTTACTTTCTTCATTTCTTTCGGCGAAGGCAACAACCTAACATATTGGAAATATTGAAAATAACTCCCATTTTCGCATTTAAGTTTCGGTTTGAAACTAAAATAACTTATAGTCGCGAGCAAATCCATCATAAACAAGCAACTTTAATATCACATGTGCGTAACGGTCTCATAAGTGATACAAAAAAAAGTATCATTTCGCTGCTATCTTTTCATCTCCAATATTAAGCGGCAACATAATAATATTAAAGTTATAGTGCTCTGAGGAGGCGGCGAGCGAGAGAACGTCTATCGCTTGTATTTAACGAGTATTGCAAAATATAAGCGGCGAATAACGTTAAACAAAAACACAAGACTAGAAACTTTATTACAAAACCACACAGCTTAAAAAAGTCATTTACCAATAAAAACAAACAAATAAACAGTACGCAGAACTAACGGCCAATGGGATAGCTAGGTTCTGGAGTGGAGACCACTTACCGCAGCATAAGACGTCCACCCATAAGGTTGACCGGCGGAAAGGTAGCAGGAAGGCGCTGGATGTAGGCCGCTGCCAACAGTTCATCATGTAACTCATTGGGGGAGGCCTATGTTCAGCAGTGGACATCCTATGGCTGAAATGATGTTGATGATGAAATACATAATTATCTTACATACGA